TATTCTTAGGCAAGATGAAGGCAAGCGTAATCAGATCTCGAGGGTATTGTAACTTCAACAAGTTGTCCCAGTATTCCTGGTAGAAACGCGCCATTGGGGTTAAAATAAGGACAGCCTCTCGGTTTCCAATGGGATCCGGGGTAATTGTAACACTATTTAAGTTGAAGCGCCGGACAGGAGGCCGTTCGACGATTAGACTCGACTTCGTGCTGGGCTTACGGGTAGCGGATCGGCTCGCATTGGCGGATTGTGAAGTCGAACCGGTATGCGAGAGAAAGTAAATTATAAAGATACAGAGAATTGCGCCGATAGATAAGGTGAGGTAGTTTGTCCTCCGCAGGCGGACCGGCCCCAGAGGGCGCGCCATGGTGAATTGATATTATCTCTCAGATCAGGACGTGCAGAATGCCTAGGACAGGGCGTAAAGCGAAAAAAGGAGTGTTGATGAACGGAATGAAATGACTAATTGGCACGGGCCATCGAGGGCATATAAATGGTACTGCTATCGGGATAAAGATTCGCAATAGGTAGAATAGGAAGAATAGGTAGAATAGAGATCGCAGGAAGTGGTCCCGGAATTAGCAACGCCAGTATAGGACGGCGATGCGTGCGTCGGTTCGTCAAGTTGTTGATGATGTTATGAGGCTGTCGTAGAAAATTGTTGTTAAATTTCCCATGGCGAATTGCCAGATAACACTAAAACTGAAATGGATTTCGAGTTAACTAACACCATGTACATACATGTAACCTAGTATGCTATGTACTATTAGGCCTAAATTAGGTAGTTACCTACTATATGGTTGCTAAGCACCAAAGTACCTATAACACCTAATTAGATAGGCGAAGTACCTTATAACCCTTATACATAGTTCAGGTAGGTTAGGTAGTTAATACCAATACGAACGTTGTAGCAAGGCGGGTAGCTCTAGCGTTAGGTACTGCATAGACCCACTTCGTTCTTTTCAGCCATTGCAGCAGCCATCAATTGTTCCCCATAGCAAGTCTGCAGGTGTCAGACCTGATAGCAATAGATAGGGTATTTTACTCGCTGGTCCAATCTCATTCAACCGGAAGCGTAGGAGGTGTTGGGATACTACCTTGGATACTACCTTACAACATGATTAACATATTTGTCTGACTTATATATAGAAGACATTTGATCAGGTATGTAATAATTACGTTAACCCCATACATATATAGTGGTTATACATACAGATGCGGTGTTGTCTTTGTACAATAACATACTTATAAGTTGCCAGTAACTACCTACCTACCTAACCTAAGGTATATCTTACTAAGGCATAGGGGTCTTTTTCCTTCAGGAGCCACTTACCAACAATAGGCTAGCATATGTAGAACAACACTCCAGCTAGTAGGCTAATCGCAACCAATGAGCTTTCATCCATGCATAGAATTCATTCGCCATCGTAAGGTTAGGTACATATTGACCGCAAGTGAAGTACGTATGGAAGTACATATGTACCTAATATATGTAAGTACCTATGTACCGTATGTGTGTTACACAGATGTGTATCTTAAGGCACCATGAATTATTATTATACATACTGGATCTCAAACGATAGGGTCGCACAGCTTCGCCAAGCGGAAAAAGTTCTATCAATCGCACATGCCATTTGGTAATGTACCTAGGTAGTGCAAGTTGTCGACATATGTACCTAAAAGAATATATGTGCCAAGACATATGAGGCAGTTCCAGGATAGGGTTAGCTTGTGGGGCTGAATTAAGGGCCAATCAGTGGTGGAACATCGAGTCGTTTTGATTCAGGCAGGGACCTACTGAGGTAGGCTAGGCCGTTCCATGTACTGTACCTTCTCCGTGAATACCTTCCTTCAATTATTTAGTGGCTGCTAGCAACCAAAAACCCGCCGCGCTACTAATGATACATAATAAATGCAGGTGATCTTCTCCGTATGTGCCTACCTACATCCACCTAGCCCATTCACCTAGCATTTTACCTAGCCTTAAACATCTTCATACTCCATCTTCGGTCCCCTCTTTCAAACTCCGAGAAAGGCAAACCGAATTCCAGGTCACCATCCAGAAGGCTAAGGGAGAGAACCCCGAAGGCGAAGGGTCCCTGTCTTATTCCAGTTAACTTCCAGTTAACTAACCCGTCTCCGGAACCTGGGGAGCGTCTCGTGTATTATAATTCCACCACCGCCTCCTCTCTCCACAGTCTCGCAGTGTCGGAGTCACGCAAGTCACGCAGTCACGCAGGCTTGTAACCGTTCCTGGCATCTGGCATCGGACTTATCCGTCACGGCTCGATTCAGATGTCATGTTTCGTGCCCATACCACTCCTGATGGACTCGCCCACCGCTACTAGCAACCCGGCGGCCAACTAAGGACCACAATCACAATATCACAATAGTTATAACATAACACGCATACAACGCGCACAGTGACCCTTTCATTCTTCTTCTCACCTCAACCTCTCTCTCATCACCTCACCTCGCCTATGCACCTCTCACGCATAGTCAACCCCAACAAGTCAGGTCAACGCGGGAGCTCGGACACTTCAAAACTGACTCGGTACGACATATGATCCGCATAAGATTCAATTTCACTCCTCGTCTCTACCCTACCTACCATCGTTCCACAACAACTTCGAACCGGCGGTCGCAATATCAACCCAGCTCGTCCTCTCCCTCGTCCTCTCCCTTCGCAAGCAATTCTTGATTGTTCGGTCTACTCCCACCTGAGACCTACATTCCAGAGTCGCACATCGGACGGACTACCGATCTTCCTTTCCTATTGACCTTCAGCGGTCGGCCATCTCGACAAACCACCCCTTGGCCACTGTCTTGGCCACACCGCTTCATGTAAAGACGAAGTGAGATAGACCGCTTAGGCTTGTCCTCGTTGGAAATGGAGCCCGTCCCTGAGACAGAGAGAATGGAGGAATTCCGCTCCTCTCCTTTGCCTACTCTGCGTCTGCAGCCAGCTGCCATCATTACGAATGATTCAGATCCTAGCCGCAAGCCTTACACCTTTCGCAGATCAACCGAGCCTCCGTCTCCAAGCTCACCATCTTGGACGACAGCAGCCTCTCTTCCGTATCGACCTCGAACTACCTCCCCTTTGACTGGTACTCACGGCAGATCTAAGTCAATGGCCAGTCTCGCACCACCTACCATCGGCCGTACGCGATCTATGCCAGGTGTTGATGGTTCAGGTCGTATCATTTACCCGCCGTTGCTTCGTCCAGCCAGCCCCTTGGGTTCTCCCGGCAGAAATCGAATGCCTCGAAAGCCGGTCGATGAAGCATATCCCCCGACCTCACCGGTTCGATCTTCTGTCTTGGATGGCGAGAAGCATTTTACCGAGCTGGGCGGTTCCCCCAGTTCTAGCACCCCGAATTTGGGCAATCTAGCTCATCGACGAACATCTTCGCCCTTACGCCTTACGAGTTATTCATCAAGCACTCCTTCTCTTCCTGGAACTCCCTCGGCTACAGCAGGTTCGCCTTCATTCCGGCCTGAGAGTTTGTCGTATAGTTACACTTTCCCTTCTTACTATCCATCATCGTCAGTCCCCTCGACACCGACCTCCATGAGATCTCGCAGTCCCAGTATTTCAAGTCTAGAGACTATTCCTGATTCTCCCGATGCTGAAGAGGCTGCCTTGGAGGCCGAAAGAATATCGCAGTTGAAGGCTGCCGCAGATGCCGCGGAAGAAGGAGAGTCTGGAGAGGTAAAGGGCCGGGACGCGCCCGCGCGTGGAAGAACTATGGGTCTTGGGTCAAGAGATAAGCGCAAGCGCTGGAGTGTCTGCGGAGCCGAACGACGCGGTGATCTTGACTTGGAGACGATCTGGGAAGACTGAGAATTCCGCGTCAGAAGGAATACGAATGAATGACCCTGTTGCATGGCACCACAGCACAGAAGGCGGGTCCTAATCGGTTTGCAAGGCATATTTGATTTTTGGTCAGGATGGAACAGTATGGCGTTCTGCAAAGGTTGCTTGATACCCTATTGCGTTGCATTTCATGAGAGACATCATCACGAAGGTTGGCAAGCATCATCACATTACGTAGCCCCAATATCAGCATTCGAGGCTGAGAAGTTGTAGCTGACTTTGCTTCGTCTACTTTTCCGAGCTTTAGCCGCGTTGCTTTTTGTTTTTCTCCCAGAAATCGTCTTCGTTGTTGCGTTACTGCATGATTTGCAACCTCTGTTCAGAAAACACACATAAACTACTTACTCGACTATCCTATTGTTTGCTTCATAGGGGCAAACATGACAGTTAGAACACCGTAGTTCAGTAGGTAGGCAATGCAATATGATACAAGCCCATGAGTTACTCATAAATGAAGCACAATCGATGTGTTTCCGCATACCATAAAAGGGGGTATAATATGCCACCGATGTCCGTCCATTACAAGCAGCAATCACTACATAGCCATATAGTCTATAAAAGCTAATCATATATGAGCTAGATATATTTCCAGTGCCTTTTTTTTCGAAGTGAATAACCGTGTTGTTTGCGCTTTCGGTGAGTGATCTCGGTGAGCGATATTTGCCATTAAGGTAAAGGTCAAAGCATATGGTTTACTCTCATAAACTACTTCATAACTAGTGGTGAAACAAACTTAAGTATTGGGAAACCTCTCATACTAAATCTAGGTGACTTGTTTGTACTATAGGCTTAGTAGATTATTGGGTTATCTTATAAAGTGAAAGGGGGAGAATCTCTAAAGCGAGTGATATTGAAGTTATACTTACATTATACAATTCAATTGAGTCGATCAGTACTCAAGTTTCATGAACAAGACGGGTGTTTGTCTATAGCTTAATGCAAATCCCACTTTAGCAGATATTTAAGGGTAGTCATATGTCTACTTCAACAGCTTTACCATACCAAAGTACACTTTAAACAGCAGCGTACTTAGCCAACAGAATTAACCTCCCGTTTCTTAGACAGCTAGGTTAGAATGTTAATAAGTACCTATTTACCATAAACTCTACAGGAAATACAATGATATGACAAGTTCTCGTTTACTACGGTGCTAAAATTAAAATAAACGCCCATACTATGCTATATTTTTTGTATCTTTCTTTTGTTACTACGCGTGCATGCATGCAAACATCTCAGAGAGAGGTGGGAGCGTGAAATATACAACAACCGATCCGAACAAGCCTACTGATAAAAGCCTCAAGGATATCTTATATATGTGTATCTCCGACAGTATTCCACCCAACCGTAGGTTTCTAGCCGGTTCATATCTTCATCGAGACTTGAACAAACGATGAGAATCAGACCACCCCTATCCCTACATTGAGGTTCCGTAGGATTCCCCCACCTTAGAACTCAATCACAAGCGTCTCCGAGACACCCAGAGCACCATCGCCCCAGATACCGACGACCGCCATGGCGAAGCCGATGCCCGCGAGGGCCGTCTGTATCAACTGGTTCCGAACGAAGTACTGGACCTCGCTGCGGACCTCCTCGCCGTTGAAGTCCTCCTCGTGCTCCTCGCCGCTGGCCTCGTCGCTGTGCGAGCCGCCGAGATCTTCGTAGGAAGCCTCCATGCGGCGGGCGGCCTTCTTGTCCTTGCGGGCCTGGACCACGGCCCGGCGCTGCGCGGCGGCGGAGAAGCTGGAGACGGGGGCGCCGAAGATGGACGGCGTCACGTAGTCGGACAGGCGGGTGGCAAAGCAGAATAGCGACGTGTAGAGTAGGTACGGGTGTCTGAAGCCAGGAGGGGATGTGAAAAAGGCGAGCAGGAAGGCAGAGCCGGATAGGCTGGCTAGGGAAGTGAGATGTGTTGATGCCGTTGATGTGAGGTTGCGGAAGGCCTTGGCTGCGGATGACGCAGAGGGGAGCTCAAGGACGGATGGGAGGGTGAAGGCCGAGAGGGTGTACGAAGTGCCCTACATGACGTATATGTTAGAGCTGGCTTGTATATGAGGGGGCTTGATGTTTTATGAGAATGAGGTTTGAGGTTTGAAGATTGTCGAGATACGTGGCTGCGTGAGGCGCCCATCGCGGGCGGCGGGCGCGGGGGAATCTGGAGGGGCAAATGCGGACAATTGAGTTGAATGAATCAGTTGGAGGTACTTACCGTTAAGAGACCCAACGAGACAGTCCCCACGAACTTGAGGACTGACACCTTTCTTGATGCCATGGTCTCTAGCTAAGATGTAGAAGACCGGAGATCGATAAACGATGCTAGATGGGGGGGATGGGATGTGAAGACTCGGTTCCGACGGATTGATGGTGTATGTACGAAGAGGTTTTGGTTTAAAAGTGGCGTGCTGATGCCAGAGCGAGTTGCCTTATGGTCCGGTCTAGTCTAGTCTTGTTGGGCGTGTACGTATGTACACTAATACATGACTTCTGGTTGGGTTTAAGGCCTCGAGATGGGCTACACACAAATCACGGCGTAATCTGTACCTAATGTGGGCAAATAACAATTCACAATTCGAGTATGAGATAAAGTTAGACTCGGCTTTGCACCTACGAATAGCGGGGTGCAAGAATACTACCTACCTAGGTACCTAGGTACGTGGGAAATGGTATATCTGGGGTACGTAATTGGCCCGAGCTCTCCAGATTAAAGTCGGAGCTAACAGATTGCGGGAGAGCGGACTCTAAAGCCGAAAATAGACATACAGAGGTCTTTCTATGCATCTATCCGCATGTACGCTCCTTCTGTGCATTCGATAAAGTGGGTCTAGTTCGCTCTCGCTTTGAACGCTTCGAACGGAGGAATTCCTCAACACGTCCTAAGCCGAGGCAACTCGCGCCTTCATTCAAAGTTACACCCTAGGTTTAGGTTAGATAGACTTGTTAATCCGTACCAACAACTAAGTACTTGGAGTTGAGTTCCTTATAAGAATACATATTATATAATTTGACGTCACTTCTCTTTCAAATCCGTCGTGATTCATCTTCATCTTCCTCTCATTAAAATTCACTGTAGCTTAGAGGCTACTTAAAGGAGTCGTATCCTCCTCAACGTTAAAGACCCTGCATAGCGCCAGCTATCCATCCATCATGCCGATCCCAACATCTCAGTACATAAGCAATGTGTGGAAAGAGGGGATATTCGGTTAGTTCTATACGACTGCCAAAGTAATTGGATAGACAGGCTGATATATATCGTTTTAGATGGCCGTGTTGTATTCGTGACTGGCGGCGCCGGTACGATCTGCAGCGCGCAGACGAGAGCTCTGGTCCACCTCGGGGCGAACGCTTGCATTATTGGTCGTAATCAGCAAAAGACGGAAGCCGTCGCGAACGACATCGCCACGGCACGAAAAGGCGCGAAGGTTATCGGAATTGGGGGCTGTGATGTGAGGAATGTAAGTTGCTGTCATAAACACAATTCCTTTATATACCATATTGACAATGAAATAGCCCGAGAGCCTAGTTAAGGCCGCCGAGAGGTGTGTGAAGGAGCTTGGCGCCATCGACTTTGTCATGTAAGAGTCTGATTAAGAATAAGATCGTACTGGGTTCTTTGTGCTGACTTCTTCTCAGAGCTGGTGCTGCGGGGAACTTCGTAAGCCCGATCTCTAGCCTTTCGTCCAACGGATTCAAGACCGTCATGGAAATCGACGTGCTTGGAACGTACAACACCGTCAAGGCTACTATACCGTATCTCGTTGAATCTGCCTCCAGGAACAAGTCGAATGAGAACGGGTTGACTGGTGGAAGAATCATCTACGTTTCAGCCACTTTCCATTACACAGGTATGCCCATGCAAGCTCACGTGATGGCCGCGAAGGCTTCCGTCGACTCTATCATGGCTTCCGTGGCCCTGGAGTACGGCCCGTATGGTGTAACCTCGAACGTCATCGCACCCGGCGGTATCGAAGGAACAGAAGGAATGGCGAGGCTCGCGGGCAAGAGTGACGAGGAGAAAAATCCCGCGGCGGGTGTTCCGCTAGGTCGATGGGGCACAATCCGAGATATTGCGGATGCGACTGTCTATCTTTTCAGCGACGCTGGCAGCTATGTTACCGGAGAAGTACTTGTTGTAGACGGCGGCGACTGGAGGAACGGAGGTATGGGCGTTGGTCTCGATTCCGGCATGAAGTACCCGGATTACCTACTTACGGGAGAGTTTTCCAAGCATGTTAAGAGCGGTAGGAAAGACAAGTCCAAGCTATGAGCGAGAATTGCATGTTCGGAGCTTTATGTGGGGGGAGGGTATGTTCTTGGCGCATTCAACAGTATGAAGGCGTTTATCTAGGTCGTAAACGAATGGCTCTGGGGGTTGAGCCATACGACCTAGCAAAGGTAGCCTCTACGAGGTTTCCGCTCATCCCCGTGGAGAAATGCGCCACGCGTGGTATCATTGTATTTCTGGCATCTAATAAGTACATATGAAATCGGCGTTAGTTATGAGTAAATAAGTCTTGAATATAGGCATCAGACCCATTAGGTTTCTGGGTCAGAAATCGTTGAGCGAAGTGCATACCTAAGTGTCTCAAGTATTGGGTTGCTTAGTCACCAAAATGAGGTAGGCATGTGAGTCCGTTAAGTCTTCGTTTACTTTAGGGTAATAGGAGAGAACGTCAAAAACTTATCGGTGTCTTTCATGGAAGGTTAGGTATTGGGTGTGTGTTGAGTAATAAGTCAAAAGGAGGTATGGTTAGTGAGCTATAATGAAGCTAATTGGGTTGGTGCGAAAATCAGGTAGTAAATGAAGCTATTCCGAAATCCGTTGTCTCCTTAGGTGCGTAGATAGGCATTATTTAGGTCCTTCTAGCAATGTCTCTTTGTTGACGGTGGGCTTGATGTAAATTTATGTGAGTTACAAGGAGAGAAAGTGTTTGACGAATATGATGTTGTTATAATCGGTAATGAAAATATCTAAAAGGGCGTGGTGTCGATTACTGATCCCCATGCTTCCTTCAAGAGTGTGGGTAACATTCATCTTCGGGAGACTCAAAGGCGAAAGCATCGAGTAGTTGACAGTCATGGGGTGTCACGTGGAATTGTCTGAGATGTGACAGGTCGTGCTACAAAGGTAACGTCAGCTGTGATCGATTTAATTTACAATAGGTAGCAAGGTAGGGTCTCGTATGTCTCATAACACTATCCATAGCTTAGAGGGAGTAAGCCAGGGGGGGGTTGAGTATATGGGCAAGTTTAATTAGGTATGTAAAGCTATCTACTTGTCTATTCTAAGAAATATTTAGTATGGTAATGTGTCACGACATCCCACCTAATCGGGGATATTCAAGTACATTCCAGAGCAGGCAACAGGCAAGAATGTTTACTTCATTCTTAAGCCTTTTTTTGGTCGCGACGACCTCCAGAACTGAATAAATTCTGGTCGTCGTCATCGCTCCACCAGCTCTCCTCGAGGGCGTCTTCATCTTCACATGGAAGTTCGTCTTCACTGGAATAAGATTCCTTGTCCTCAGGCTCACTTTGACCATCGCCATAATAGCCGTCGGACTCTACAGGGTAGGCGAAGCTTTGAACCTGTTTACTCTTCCGTTGCTGTTTCCGAAGTTGGGAGTTAGACTTTGAATTTTGTTTTTGTTGTAATTCGTCAAGCTTCTTATCAGAAGTATGATTGCTTTTAGACCTGGCGTCAAGAAGTCTATTAGAAAAGCCCTGCAATAGCCCGTTACGCGGATGCTCTTTTGCTGGTTGTTTTTTAGTTAGCACAAGTTGGCATACGCCAGTTACTTGAGTACTATCGGTACTATTTGCCATACTAATGATATCTTAGGTAACTTTTAAGCTCGAAGTTAATGATGCTTTCGATATTAGATTGAAAAATCTCGGGTATAGAATATCAGTAGGTACCAAGGTAAAAGGTAGTTATTTAAAATATCACTACTTCATACCTTACAGTAGGGAAGCAAGTTTTTATAGGTATTGCTAAACACTGCTAAACAACTACTGTTAAAAAATAACGAATCTATATAAGAACTATCTGCAAAAATACTTAAAGTATGGCTACCAGCTAATCGTTTCCAAACGTTTTCAACACTAATACGAAACAATGAGGTTGTTACATCCAATCACTGTAAGTTCCATCACATATCTTAAAATTTTTTTTCCATAAACAAATTCCAACTTGCTTTCCAGTCGTTTTCTCAGTAGATAAGCTGCTTTTAATTTAAATATAATCAATCATATGGCCTTTAGAGAGTGGATCTCATCGTCGCATTATCTTTGTGTAAAGAATAGCACTAACGATAACCCTTTCCGGCAACAACTTTAACTTAAAGTAGGAAGTGCTTTCATTAGTACGTAACTGGCATTTAACATCAAGCTACTTTACTCTTTTTCTATATAAATATAGCCTAAATAACTATCAAGTTAGTTTATTGTTTATATGCCTTGAAATAAGAAACGCACAAGATTTAAAATGTTTCTTCTAGGCTTGTTTTTTTTTTAAATATATTTCCAAGTATAGCTTATTCAGATCTTTTTCTATCTTTAGAATCAGTTTTGCCTACATCTATCATCCTTTCAAGATTAGTTAAACCTACCCTCCTACCATGACAATCATTATGACCCTCACCTACTACTACTTATGCCCTAATTTAATTCAAGTGATATAGAATTATGACTCAAGTACTAACTAGCTAGGCCTACGTCATAAGTTAAGTAATTCTTTGTATGAGCCGCAAGAATTAGTCTAAGCTTGGCGAGACTCATAGGTACCTCTAGGGGAACGCTTTTTGTAATTCAGAAACATCATTGCAGCTGGTAGAGATTATGGTGTTGATAATAGATCATGACCTCGGGTATCTTATAATAAGGGATCGGTAGAGGTATTGTGGTATATACGCTAAGGGGTTTCATCCCTTGGGAGAGTTTCCTAGCTGCTGAAGCCTAGTAGAGAATATTGATGGGCTAGAAGATCGTTATAGATCTAAGCCAATACACCAGCCTATAGAATACATAAATATGCAATGAGGAATAAAGAAAACCATTCTGATGGCAGCTTCCACCTCAGCGTATTAGCACTACTTCCAAGACCATTTTCTAGGTTGTCGTCAATAGAGTTAGGCTGTTGGATGATGGTAAAGTCTCCGGGTGCGAATAGAATGCCGACACTATTAGCAGACTCGGCGTCGATCTCCTCTGGTGTGAGCAAAGGGTTATTCACTAGGTCACAAGGCGGATTGTCCCCGGTGAATTCAATCTTATTCGTGACTGAGATTGGTACGTCGAATATTGTGTAGTGATCCTCCCCGTTAAGACGGAAGTTTTGGCGGATGGATATCTGGGAAGAGAGCATGAGTAGTCTGACTTAAGTGGGTACATAGAATCTTGGTGACTTCAAGTACTCACGTTGTAGGCCCCACGATCACTATCTGCGGTGTCCGGCTTTCCATCGCCGATGAGACAATCTGGCCAATGCCACTTGACATGTTTGACAGTGCTTCCCGGTTCGGACTCCATGATGTTGCCTAGGCTTATATCATTTATCGAGGCCGTTCCATTCGTTATTGTGAAGTTCCTTCCCGTGTTATAGCTGTAGAGGAAGATGGTGATGTTGTTGATCCGACTGGGGCTATCATCACCATAGGGAGGTAGACGTAATTTGCCATTGGCGGTCACATCGAGAGCTACCTCGATAGTATCTACGCGTAATACATTAGATCCTGAAGTGGTTTATGGCATTAGTTTAGGGCATATGATAAACATACCTCCACCTAACGGTGTGCCTGGCTGAGGCGCATCAAGAACAGCAAACCCAGGTGTAAATATCTGGCCGCCAGCGATGATAAAGTCAGCGGCTCGGGCTTTGCAGATGAATGCCGCGAGGAGGGCAACGGGGTATGGTAGATTCTTCATTGAAGCTAGTTGTATCCCTTCGGGGAATACGAGTATATATTTTAGAACAAAAAGTGACGAAAAGCGTATGGTTAATTAATATAATAAGGTGGGGGGTATGGACTATGTAGTTTTTCGTGTGGGTGCTATATCTATTGGACGGTTACTAAAGAGATAGGAAAAGGAAAACCGGCATCTTATGATAGAGACTGATCTGTACATATTAAGAATCTAGACGGTAGTCCCCCCCTTGTCCTCGGAAGACGGAAGATGCGGGAGCTTCCTTTACATTTGCTAAAACTTGCTGAGATGCTAGCATAAATAATAAAAACTCCTCAAACGGATATTTCACGGGGTCTCGTCTTTTTACTTAAGCCTTAAGGCAGTGGAATGGGCTTTATACACTATATGAATAGGAGCGTCTTTTAATACCTGAACCCTTCTGTCGACGTAAGTGATCTCTTGATCAGGGCCACCTACGAGATGTCAGATCCTAAGTACCTACCTCATAGTAGGTTCTTCGCGTAGCCGGTATTCTAGCCGGTATTCTTAGCTGTATTGCCGAGTTCACCAGAGCTAAGAAGGGAGTTAAGAAGGTGGGAGTTTTAGAATGACGATGAAGCTCAAGACGGACCCCTTGTGGTTTCAGATTGAATTGCGATCGAATGTACGGATTACAGTATGTACCTAAGCGGGATTAAGCTTAATGAGATGATAAGTTGAGCCCAAAGCATGAAAGCAGATCAGCCCAAACCAACCCTTGTAGCTGGAGAGGAGTCTACACCTCATCCCAAAGTCATCCTTGACCATCAACCCAAAGTCTAACCCGATTCGGCAAAGGCTGGGATCTTGATATGATAACACATATAAACTTGTACTGATGTTCTTCTTTACCCAAAGATAGCAGCTATAAGGTTATATTAATAAGTTCGTATAAGTGGTTACCTATGTAGTAACTTATCCTAAATATGTCTCTTAATGGGCTTGGTTCACTGAAATTACAGGGGACTTAGTGAATGCTATGCCTTATTTCGGCGATTCGAACCACTGAAGTTCATCCCAAAGCGGGGGGTCTTGTAGATTTTGGCCAATCAAAATGTTGGATTTAAGGTTTAGCTCTTGCTAAACCGGGTTAGACTTTGAGCTGATGGTCTGGGATAGCTTTGGGATGAGATCTCTAACTTGATAGATCAAGTTAGCGTTTGCCCTGAGCAACAGAGCGACTTTGGCCCCAAAGCCGCTATACTACCGAATCAGGTTAGCGTTTGGGCTCAAGTAAAAGTGGGCTAGTGGGTTAGGTTGTTCGATAAGCACATATCTCATGGTGGGGCATTGCATTCTTAAACTTAGCTATCTTGATGTCGAAGGGCGCGCACTACTTTCACACGACATCCGATTCGGTATTGGACGGGAAGTATTACACATAATATGATGTATATTTAAGTGTGAATATAGTTTCCCCCCTGAGGTTTAAGAATATCAAGATCGATCATAGGAGTCAAACCCTATCCGCAATGAGTTTACTACGTCGGTCATGGCTCTTAGCTAGGGGCTCTCACAGCTGTACCAATCAGTGGACTTCGTTTGCTCATGTCCATCGAAGGCCATGTTCTAGCTCAAAAAAACTAGAGCGAATATCAGCTCTGAAGAACCTCCTTAAAGTATCTGAGGAAGTCACCGATGCACTAGCTACGAATAAGCCCGTGGTGGCCCTTGAATCAACTATATATACCCATGGAGCCCTGGGTAATGACTTGGACTTGGAGGGTATTGTTCGACGAAATGGCGGCATACCTGCTGTGGTTGGTATCCTGGGAGGTGTGCCTACGGTTGGCCTCCTGCCCCATGAAATAACTCGCATTGTCGAGGGATCGCCGAAGAAGGTATCGCGACGGGATATAGCCTATCTGGTTGGTATGGTATGTGTCTAACTCTTGGATCTGTTATGGTTTACTACTATACAAATTTGCGGTTTATTCTGAATGTATTGGTGTATAGGGCATTGCGGGAAATAAGATTAATGGAGGGACGACCATTGCTGGTACCATGATTCTGGCAAGGCTTGCTGGGATTCAAGTTTTTGGAACCGGTGGCCTTGGTGGCGTGCACCGTGGAGGCCACGATTCGCTTGATATCTCTGCTGATCTTACCGAGCTCGGTAGAACGAGGATGGCGGTCATTAGCAGTGGCTGTAAGGGATTCCTGGATATTCCTAGGACCCTAGAGTACCTAGAAACCCAGGGAGTGCTTGTGTCAACGTTCTCGGACGGTCGAAGTGGTGCTGTGGACTTCCCTGCTTTCTGGGCAAGGGATAGTGGTATCAAAAGCCCATCTGTTGTGCAGGATGAGAAACAGGCCGCTGCCATGATCTTAGCGCAAGAGAAACTAGGCATTGAATCAGGACTGCTGTTTGCAAATCCGATACCAGAAGATTTTTCCATCCCCCGAGATGAGATGAACGCGGTTATTGAGCAGGCGGTCAGCGAATCAACACAGCAGGGCGCTCTTGGCAGCGAAAACACGCCCTTCATCTTGAGGAAGATTAGGGAGCTTACAGGCGAGAGAAGCGTATTGGCGAATAAAGTACTGGTACAGGCAAATGTAGAGCGAGCTGCTAAGATAGCTGTTGCGCTCTCACAGCTTACTGCAGGCGAATCTGTACAGTCTCATAAATCGTGAGATTTAAATCCTTTGTAGTTGTAGCGTTTGAATCTAACGTATGGGGCAATAGGATGAAGAAGCAAGGCGGATTTATTCCCCTTGAGAGCGAGATCAATCCATTTGACGAAATGCAAAGAGAAACAGAGGTAAGAATGTACACCTTGCCTCTATACCCCGTGTCGCAGCGAATCAATGCGCACCTGGCCTCGAATCTTGATGCTTCATCTAAGCAGAAGCGACTATAATGTTGTTGAACTAGACTGATGATTATAGACCACCTCTCAAGCAGACATATTAGTTGCCGGCTCTGTGGCAATAGACCTAAGTTGTGACTATGTAGGTGAAGACTCATTAGAGAACCCTACTCCTCACTTGCATACATCAAACCCGGCTCATATTGGCCAATCTATTGGAGGCGTCGGTCATAATGTAGCACTTGCAGCCCAGAGGGCCTTACAAATTCCTAAAGTGAAACTTTGTAGCATGGTTGGTGATGACCTGTGAGTGAAAAAGCTAATAGTGGGTAACTAGTAGCTGATGATTGCAATTTATAGGGCTGGATCAACCGTGCTATCGTCTCTAAGGGCAAGCGGCATGGATACATCTTACGTCAAGCAACTTAGTCGCGAGCATTACCCAGCTAGTCGGACTGCCCAGTACGTAGCTGTCAACGATACTAACAAGAACTTGGTCCTCGGTATGGCAGATATGGGTATTTTTACGGCCCAGTCGTTTTCAGAATACTGGAATTCTGCAGTGAAAGAATCTAGGCCTAAGTGGCTCATAGTAGACGGGAACTGGGCTGAGCGTGACATTCGAGCTTGGGTACGAGCTGGCAAGCAGAACCAGGCTCACGTGATATTCGAGCCTGTGTCAAAGGAGAAGTCTACGAGGTTGTTTTGCAAAGAGAAAGGTCTTGAGAGTTTGGGTGTCTTTCCTAACCCTGGCGTTGATTTGATTACTCCTAACCAATACGAACTGGCAGCTATGCACGCAGCTGCGCAGCGCAACGAATATTTCGACGATCCGCGGTGGTGGGAGACTATCGACACCTTCGGCATGATGGGAGCTCGAGATCGCTTTGTTAAAATTACATCTCCTGATATGACGGATGCTGGCATTCCACAACAGGCCATACAACTTCTTCCGTATATTCCCACTATCATAACGAAGCTTGGGAGTCATGGTGCCTTGTTGACAGCTATTCTGGGGAAGAACGATCCTCGCCTGATAGACCCGGCGTACGATAGGTTTATTCTCTCGAGGAGTTTCAATGACCACCCAGAAATTGGAGGCGTCTACATGAGACTATTCCCAGCGGCTGAACAGGTGGAGGACATTGTGTCAGTGAACGGAGTTGGCGACACATTTCTCGGTGTGCTAGTTGCAGGCTTAGCACAGGGAGGCAATGTCGAGAATCTCATCAATGTGGCTCAAAAAGGGGCGACCTTAACACTTCGCAGCCATCAGTCTGTAAGTGAGAATCTGGGGATATTAAGGGGCGAACTAATTGCTGCCGCTTCTTAACCGTGATAGATCACCTAAACTACTTTAAACGAATTGTTGTACTAGAGTTATATTTAGAAGAAGGAATCATGAAAAGGGGAGGTATAGAGAATACCTCGTTGTATATACCTACCTACCTAGGTACCTATGTATTTCTATCGCGAGAGTGAATAAAAGGGGGACCGGTACGTACCGAAGCTGCAGGGTTAGGTACCTACCTATGTAGTAGCACTAGACAGTGGGGCCATCTGTAAGGCTACTGTGAACTTGAAAAAAAAAGTTTGGATTTTTGCTACGATGGAAATTCTATCGCATCCACCTTCGACAAGCAAATTGAGTCGGCAAACCACAATGTCTCGAAACCGCCAAATAGATACTATGGACGATGTGGGACATGCATCATCCTCCAGCCGAGAAGAATCCGACATTGATAGCGACGAAGAAATTGCGCTGCAACCCCGCCAAGCGCAAGTGATTGACAAAGACTCTGACGAAGATGAGCTCGAACGATTTGTGCTTGGAGATACGGCCAATTTCCGTGAAAACTTGTTTCGAGATGAGTCGAGAGCCGACGATGCAGGGAATATTTTTAGTAGCCTCGCTGAAAAAGAAGGGGACGACCTTGAGACAGGTTTAGAGGATGTGGACGATGCGGACCTCTTCACCTTCGACGTAGGGGGTGCTGCCCCCAGCGGTGACAAAGCCGCTGTGGTATCATTGGTCCCTAAAAGCCAGGAAATACCAGAGAAGAATCGGCCTGCTTGGGAAGATAGCGATGACGAGAAATTGACTATATCACTGGCGGACGTATCTCAATTGCGAAAACTACGGATCAGCGAGGCAGAAGACGTTATCAGCGGTACTGAATATACTAGAAGACTAAGGCAACAATATCTTCGGCTGAATCCTCTTCCCGGGTGGGCGCGAGAGGCCGAGGAACGCCCAGCGAAGCGTCGTCGACGGTCATCTGCGGCAGCAAGCAACTCAAGCATATCGGACGACGAAGCAAATGAAGGGGATGATGAAGCGTCTGCGCTACCTCTGGAAAAGTTCCTCCGAGATGCTAGTACATTAAAGGATAAAAACACTCAGAAGGTGAAAAGGCTACGTCCAGAGGTCATTGACATTCAACGATCTCGAGATATACCCGATACACACAAGGACGAAGTCACATCTCTTGCTTTTCACCCAGAATACCCCGTTCTACTGTCTTCTAGCACATCCTCTGTATTACACCTACACCACATCGCGCCAACCGCCCACCCAACTCCAAACCCCCTCTTGACGTCGGTACAAGTCAAACAAGTACCCGTTCGGAGAGCCGAATTTCTGTACCCCACTGGTGATAAAATCTTTTTCGCCGGACGGCGACGATATATTCACTCGTGGGACTTGGCTACTGGTACGATACAAAAGACCAACAAAGTACAGGGTCATCGGTTGGAGCAAAGAACGTGGGAGCGTTTTAAGCTTAGCCCCTGCGGGCAATACTTGGCATTGATCGCCTCGACAAGGAAAGGCGGTGGTATTATCAATATATTGAACGTTAATACTATGCAATGGGTTGCTGCTGCCAGGCTCGACAGCAGAGGAGGCATTGCAGATTTCTCCTGGTGGAGTAATGGTCATGGGCTTACAATTTTGGGTAGGGGAGGCCAAGTTGGTGAATGGAGTATGGCCACGAGGCGTTTCCTTGCGATCTGGAATGACGAGGGCTCCAACGGAGGAACAGTGATGGCAATGGGGGGCCGGGACGGTCCTATCACTCTCGGCGGGGACCGGTGGATAGCAATTGGGTCTAACAGTGGTGTGACAAACATCTATGATCGACAAGCTCTAATATTACCTTCTTCGGACGAAGAACTGGAAGTCCAGGAAAGACCCGAACCGACCCGAAGGTTCATGCAGCTAACCACTCCGGTCACGGTTCTTACATTCAGTCCCGACGGCCAACTGTTGGCATTTGGCAGTAAGCACAAGAAGGATGCGCTACGACTGGCGCATTTGCCAAGCTGCACGGTCTACAGGAACTGGCCGACGGAACAGACGCCCCTTGGAAGGATTTCAGATGTGGCATTTGGTAGAAAGAGCGACTTGCTAGCTGTTGGCAACGATGCTGGAAAAATTAGATTATGGGAGATCCGAAGCTAGATTAGGGGGTAGCAGATGCTGCTGCGGGCAAATCATAGGCAATCCGTATTCACGCGTTCTCTGCATACTGTACTATCATGTCCTTGGATCTGATTCCTTTCAGGAATAAGGCCCTACTATGTCCTGTGCTATGAACTCAATCGCAATCTCGGCCCCGTTTGGGGACAATGTTAGAGAATAGTTGCCGAAGCGGACTGCCCTTTGGCAACAACTTCTTAGGGAAGAACTTTCTGGTTCTGATTGTGTACCTGCTTAGCTGGTAATGGTTGGGGAAGAATCGCGGCCTGCTACATGTACTGATGGCCTCAAAGAAGTCTATTATGTTCACCCAGGCGTACTTGAGAGCCTAGAGGAAGAAATTAGTGACAGACGAGAGATTTCGTAACGGGGGAATATCCCATACCTTTCGGCACTGGTTCTTGCTTGTAAACGTCTCAGTGAAGCCTAGAAGACGCATCATGGCCTGCCAGCCTTCAAGCCCACCCGATTCGAAATATCGGATCCAGAATGCTGGGGGCCTTATTTCCTTTTTAGCCTGGTTTGACGTGGTTCCTGTGGAGGAGCCGTTGGTAATCTTTTTGCTCTTCGGGCCCATGGTCAATGACTAATGTGAGAGACTAAATCGTATATCTCTTGGCCTGTATTTTGGATATTGATCGGCTCCTTTGCTGTTGTCACAGTCACTTGATCGATGATTGCTAGCGGCTGGCCAAAAGCTGCTAGGGAGGAGGACTTATAACTGCGGAAGACTGAGAGCTTCCTAGCTAGGATGAGAGAACATCTTGCTATATATTCCACGGATCTCTTTCATCTCGTTTGTTCGCATGTTTTTGGTTTGCCTTATATTCAAACAGAACCCGCCTGTAGGCACCCTTGAGGAGAGACAAGGTTGCCTGGTGCCGTACGGATCATCTTAAGTGAGGATGAACGAGAACCTTTCAACTATGTATTAAAGGAAAGGGGGGAAGAAGAAGGAAGGGAGGAAGGAAGGAAAAGAAGAGAATTTTCACGGGATAATATCATCGCAAATACGTTGGTGTATGAGAGATAGCGCAAGTTACATGGAGAATAAGGCATCTTGTGCTATATGAAAGTTAACTCCTGAAAGCAGCCAATGCTGTTCATCAAGCTTCTGGAAATCTCTAGCTTTCATTCCATTTTCCCCATCATATACGCATGCGAGGAAGGCCCTGGAATGAGGAACGAAGCATCACTCGTCTGACGTCTTAGGTATTGAAATTTACCCTCTTTACGTCTGATTAATACCTAATTTACCCAAACATATGTTTTCTGTACTGTAAGACGGTTTAAGATGAATTAACTTGAAGGAATACGGTCTTGTAATTTTATTTCTAGAACGGCTGATTGTTACGTACGATGGTGAATTGATGAATTAACACAATAAGTCTTCTTTTGGGGTTACAATTAAAATAAGAGGGACCCGTCCCGAGGTCCTGGTAGTTGGGTCCCGGTGTCTGCCGAGAGTGCGGATAGCCTAAAAGACTAAAAGAATACCCCACAGATGTACCTCCCCATACTTGTGTACCTACCTAAGGTACGCCTTAGTTTTTATACTTCAGCTAGTACAGTGGGTGTACATTACCTAAGGTACTTTACTTCTCAATTCATTCGTCCGAACGAAACCCTCCATCTTTAAATCTCTCAATTTTGGGTCAACATACAAAAAATGTATGCTGGGTACTAATGCACGCAAGAAGAGCCGGTAATACTACCTGCAAATCATAGAAGAGAGGTGTCAAAATCGCTCAAGATCGGACGAATGGGGATCACACCACCGTATTATTCTGCTCCGCCCCTAGTTCCACCTCATTGTCGTATGGATACCCAACGTTATCAACAAGCTATGTACCAACGGGGCCCGCCGCCTTACTGGTATGTTGTGTTGTCTCTGTGTGATTTGCTGATTTGCTGATTTGCTGATTGTATTGGTATCTAACCTCTTCCTACCTCTTTCTACCCAAGACTTATCTCTCCCGATTCTGGCCGGTCCAGTGCTAGGACGCGTTCGTAGTAAGAGCTTGGAATGCCGCGACTTATCACCAAGTTCCACAGAAAGGATGCCCCCTATCATACCATCCGTACGGCTGTGCATGCCAGAGTTGGTGGGTGTGCCTCGCAATATGTGGCATGTTATAAGCCCTACGTGAGACTTCGATAGCCGCGGGTACCGATTTACTTCGGCAGAACTGACGTATATTTCATATCTATATGGCCATCTTATCACATTCTCTTCCTTTTTTATTAGCATATCTCTAATAGACATGTTCCATTGCTCATCAGTCCGTCCACCTTTTCGTCTACGAGGACCTACACAATGGATTCCGTCTCGTCAAAACGGAGGCCCAGGTCGGGGGCCTTCCCCGGGAAGTTCAAAAGCTTCGTTAATGATGTAAAAAAGTTCAGGGTTCATCGTCATGAGAGAAAAGAGAACCATGAAGTATTGATGGTGGGGTCTTCCCCTGCGCTTATCCCTCAGTCCTTCCAGCCCTCCCAGGCCTCCCAGGCCTCTGAAGTCCCCCCCATATCTGTCTCTGAAACAACCGTCCCCGAGATCAACATCCCAGATATCGATGATCCCGATATTGATAATGCCGAGATTGATGATCCGGAGGTCAATATTCCAAAGATCGAAACTCCCGAGCCGAAGCTACTGTCCTCATCGCAAAGTTCTCTTCCTGTAGCAAGTCTCGCCGTGCAGGTCACTATCACTTTTGATGAGCCATTGAATTATTCGTACAGTCGTAGCTATGAGACTTCCCCCGATTTCTTGGCCACCGACGCATTATGCCAAGGTCTATTGCGACGGGCTGATCACTGTTGCTACGAGTTGATCACTCGCAAAGACTCGACCGCCATGGAATATGCAGCCGCAAGTGGTCCGGATAAACCATTAAGATATGAGATCCAAATCGATATTATTCGGGGTTGGTCCGAGATATGGTCTTCCAGGACCTTCAAGTCATATCAAAAGCAGGCCCTATCAAACGAAGCCGCAAGGGAGATTATCACATCGACTCATCACATAATAGGGTTGTTTTTAAAGCACCACGATCAGAATTTTGTCATGAAGGAGGGTTTCGTAAGAGAAGACCCGTTAGACGAACAGGCGAAGTTCCCACATCGGGCCGGACGTGTTCAGCCTATGTCGTGCGTACCACGCTCCCACTTCCTGGAGAAATCACAATCTTTCGAATCGCTACCCGGTTATACGATCAACTTCTCCTTCACGAGTCGATGTCAGCGTCGAAAGCCACACGAATGGCATACGAAAATCAAAGTTGACAGTGAACAAGCAGCACCACTGAATTCGATCGGGGCAGAGAACTTACTCTTCGAGGCATCTTACGCATTAGACGGCGTTTTGCGATCAGAAAGAGAGACATTTCAAAATAAACACAGCACTTGTGTGAACTTGGATGGATGTAAAGACTGTCGTCATCATGATAATGATGGGTTGGAGTTGCAACTTTCGATTGCGAATAATCTCGGCCCTCAATTCCTTCACCTAGAGCGGACTGTACACTGCAATAGCAACCTCTCCTTTCATTCTGATACCGAAAAATGTGTGACATTTACCAACCAAGTAGAAGTTGCTCTCGCTGGAGTTCGAGATGGTGCCGATAAGGTCATTAGTCGAATGAACGATCTTGAATTCAGGATTACAGAACTTCGTGGCCATGGCTGGGCGCTGGATGAGCCGCTCATTTTTACCCTACCTTCTGCCGATTTCCATCCCCGGAGAGATATCGAAGCGATACTAGATAGAATTCAGGCCAGCGTTGCAGAAATACTTCGAGGTAATGCTATATCCGTTCGAATGACTGCGCATAAGCGAGGCCATTTTATTTTGGACAAGACTTTCGTGGCCAGAGAACCCCTTGAGAAGGAAGAAAAGAAGAAGACCAAACCAACTGGGAAGCCAAAGGATTATGTATTGAAACGGCTGCAACAGCGCGTTGAGCGGGCTATTGAAATGGTCTGCAAAGATACCTTGACAGTTGAAGATGCAGAAGAGAGGAACGAAGATGCTGGAAAGGAAGCTTCCATTTTGGAACAGAGGCCGCTTACTCGAGATACTCGGAATACAGACGCTACAACCTTTATAAGCAGACCTAAGACTGCTGAGTCTACCCCGAAAGACACTTCAGAACAGCACAAAGCCTCTTCATATCTAACAACGGATGCAGAAGCTAGTGCCGTCGCTCCAAGCTCGAAGAGCGTGATAGAGAACGAACATCTAAGACCCTTTACTCCTACTCCTGAAGCTACCCCAAAAGCACATTCCGCACCATCGTCGCCGACCCGTCGTCCTCCCATTCCCATACGGCGATCGTCGATGGTCCTATACTACTCAAAAACGGGTGCTCGAGCCTTCCCATTAGTGCCATGGGCGCATAGTTACGGAGAACTCGAAGGCTTAGGCGAGAGGAAATCACAGCAGGATATATTCGGTCAGCAGGAAACCAGCAACTTACTACACAAGCCATCGACGCTGACTTCCCAGCAAAGTATTCTAAAACCTGGGGAGCCCAAAGCGAAAGAGGCGGCTGTAACAGCAAACCAAGAGAAAGGAGTAGAGTCGACCCCAATTTATGAGCATTCGATTGCTTCGACACCTAGTCTAGTATTTGGGGGCGACTCTTCTCCTGGTAGTAGTCTTTGTAAGTCTTTCCAGTAACAACCCTTTGTTCTCCTGATACCCCTTTTCAAATGTCTTGTATTTTAATGACACCCCAAATCGTGTCTCCAGCGAGCAAGACTACCCCCTAATAGCAATTACTAACCTTTGAATATTATAGTGATAACTCCTAAGACGCATCGTCTTAGTGCCGAGGTGGACTACCATAAGAATGCAATTCTCGACAGCGACGACGAAGATGTTAGGGAGTTAGGGAACATGAGTGTGGAAGCGCAACAGGATCTGCGTAAAAGCCAGCTATTCCGTACGCCATCTCCACAACTCACCACGAAACCGGCAAGCTCATCGCCACTTCGCGTGAGCGAAACCATACAAAGCCAAAGCAGTATTTCCCTTTCGGAGAGCGATAAAGTGTCCCTGAAGAATAGCACTAAAGGTGTCAACTCAAAGCCTAACCAGGAACCATTGGTTAACGGGGCAGTTAAGAATCCCGTTGTTGCTGTGGCACGTGTCGAGCATACCGAAGTTGGCGTATTAACGGCTCCTGTAGATGAAAAACGTCTAGATACAGGCAACACCAGCATCGAAAGCGAGAGTTCGAACGAAGACACATTCGCTCAATCTAAACCAGGCTTCACCTTCTCATCTCCGCCAGCAACCACCCCAGACGGTGGCAATTCGGAGGGCGAAGACACCTCCCAACCAAGGCAAAGGGAGTCGAGCCCAGACCCCCCATCCGAGGACGTGGACATGTCGCTATCCCAGGAGTCCCATCAGCAAGCGCGCGGCTCCTTCGGAAGCGCGGGTATCCTCGGTTTCCACGAGCAGATGTTTGGCTCGCTCAGCCTACGGACCGCGCTGATGCGCCACCGGCCAAGCTCTAACTTCGACGTTGCCGAGCTCGCGCGCGAGGAGAAGAGGCCCGGCACCGCGGCGTGATGGATAGATAGCTCAGCTCCCTAGTCGAGTCCTCTCGGGATGAAGAGAGGGAGCCCATTAATAATTTCTTCCCTTTGTATGGTTAGGTAGATACCTATGTAGGCATATCGGGCCCGGAGTTCAGGATCGACAGACAGCGCATGCATTGTGCCTGTTTGCATGGACGGGATAGCAATTGGGTCGGTATATATATAAGGTGGGCGTACCGCTAGGTATAGGGAAAGAAAGAAAGGAAAGGAAAGGAAAGGAATATATTACCCTGGGTTACATGGGAACACGTCGACGACGTTAAAAGTTGTATATATTATTGCAAGATGGCAAGACTTTGGCCTCAGGGAAATCGAATATTAGAATAATATATTAAATTCAAGATTGCATCATGGCTTTATATATACGTTCAAGTGGTAAATATGATAGGTTGAGCGCCTAGGAACGAAATTCACGGGTGAATACTAGAAATATTATCCTTGCTTTGAGTAGAATATCAACATAGCATAGTCATCATATAATAGCAATATCCATATACGGTATTTTTATGTATATACAATTTGAGGCGAGAGACTCGGCGCGTATGTACCTAATATACATCTCACCCTTATCCATACAACGTTATACAAATATCATCTCACATAACCTTTCCGCATCCCAAGTGCCCCCTTTTCGTACACCGAGTCTCATTCATTCCCATTTTCCACAGACGCCATTAAAACAATTCCTCAACCCAACAATAACAACAAGCTTAAGCCCGAATTACGAAAACCCTTTCTACTGTTACTGTTGCTGTTGCTGCTCCGACTCCGCCGTCGCCACGGGATGTACTTCCAGTCCGGAATTATCCTCCTTGATACGAACAGTCGCCTTATCGCCCCTCTTCAACTCGCCGCGAATAATCTTATCCGCAAGGCCATTGCTGATCTCGGTCGTGATGAGGCGATTCAGCGGCCTAGCACCGAACTTGGGATCGTAGCCCCGCTCCGCCAGCCATACGCGCACTGCATCGTCGACGTCGAGCGTGATGCGGCGGTCGTCCAGGCGCGTCTGCAACTCGCGCAGGCGGATGTCGACGATGTCGCGCAGGGCGTCGATTGTGAGGCGCTTGAACACGATGAAGGAGTCGATGCGGTTGAGGAACTCGGGCGGGTAACTGCTCGCTACGACGTCGAGGACGGCCTTGCGCACGTCGGGGCTGATCTCGCCGTCGGGGGTCTCCGAGTAGGGGTGGTGCGCGTTGGCGCCAACCAGGATATCCGCGCCGAGGTTCGACGTCAATACGATAATCGTGTTGCGGAAGTCCACCTTGTGGCCCTGCGCGTCCGTCAGGTAGCCCTCGTCAAGAACCTGGAGGAGCAGCGCCGAGATATCGCGGTGCGCCTTCTCGAACTCGTCGAAGAGGAGGACTGCGTAGGGCTTCCGGCGCACGGCTTCCGTCAGCTGGCCTGCGTCGTCGTACCCGACGTAGCCGGAGGGTGCGCCGATGAGTCGCGATATCGTGTGCTTTTCCTGGAACTCGCTCATATCGAAGCGGACTACGGCGGACTCGGTTGAGAATAGGAAGTTGGCGAGTTTCTTGCACAGCTCAGTCTTACCGACACCGGTGGGACCGAGGAAGAAGAACGATGCTAGAGGGCGGTTATCGCCGCTCAGGCCAGCGCGCTGCATGCGCACAGCGTCCGCGACGGCTTTGAGGGCTTCGTCTTGGCCGCGGATGGATTCACGCAGCGTGTCTTCCATGTGTATCAACTTCTCGATGTGTCCCGAAGTCAGCTTAGACACAGGGATTCCCGTGATTCTCGAGACGACGTTTGCGATGTCGTCTGCCGTCACCGAATCATGGATTAAGGTATCGGGGCCTTGCGCATCCGGCGCCATCTCACCGTCCTTGGGAAGTTTCTGCTCTAGGTTCGGGATGATGCCGAAGCGCAGCTCAGAGGCCCGGCCAAAGTTACCCGATCTCTGCGCTTGGTCGAGCTCGATGCGGGCTTTGTCTAATTCCTCCTGAACTTTCTTTAGGGCATCAATCTCTCCTCGTTCCTTTTCCCACCTTTTGGTCAAAGCCTTCTCCTCCTCTTGTAATTTCTTGAGGTCCTCCTCGAGCTTTTCGCGTCGTTCACGACTAGCTACATCCTTTTCTTTTCGCAGACTTTCCAGTTCAATTTGTATTGTCATGATTTTCTGATCAAGTCGCATAATATCTTCGGGCTTGCTCTCCTGCTGCAAACGTAACGAGCTTGCGGCCTCGTCCATCAGATCGATAGCCTTATCAGGGAGGAACCGATCTGTGATGTAGCGGTTCGAATACGTTGCAGCCGCTACGAGAGCTCCGTCCGTGATTCTGACACCATGGTGGACTTCATACTTGTCTTTGATACCTCGTAATATACTGATTGTATCCTCCACAGAAGGTTCATTTACCAAGATAGGCTGAAACCGTCTCGCTAGAGCTACGTCTTTCTCGATCAGCCGATACTCAGCTAGAGTCGTAGCACCGCAGCATTGCAATTCTCCTCTAGACAGAGCCGGCTTGAGCAGATTCGAGGCATCGATAGAACCCTCTGCTTTTCCGAGGCCGAGGAGAGTGTGTAGTTCGTCAATGAACAAGATGACTTCACCATGCGCTTCTTGGACTTCGGTCAGGATCTTCTTCAAACGCTCTTCGAAGTCACCCCGAAACTTGGCGCCGGCGATGAGCGATCCTAAGTCTAGCGATATAACTCTCTTGTTCTTTATACTCTCTGGAACATCGCCCCGTACTATCCGCAGCGCTAGACCCTCTAGGATTGCCGTCTTTCCTGTTCCCGCGTTTCCGATCAGGACTGGGTTATTCTTGGTTCGTCGTGACAAAACCTGAATGGTCCGTTGGATTTCGGCGTCCCTGCCAATGACGGGGTCTAACTTTCCATCTCTCGCCTTTGCTGTAAGATCAATTCCATATTGCTCCAAGGCTGGCTTCTCGGGCTCTCCGCTCATGTCCATTCGATGCGTACCACCCGGCGGATGAGGTCGGCCATTTGCGTATGTTCGATATATAGGAGCGGGTAGAGTAACATTGGATATTGCTTTTGCCGTGCTTATAAGCGCAGCTCTCGATAGTTGTGAAGGGGCTACACTAAGTCGGGCGAGTCCCCTCGACGAGGCGTCTGCGACTCGCCGTGAAGATCTAAGTAATTGAGCTCTCGCTAACATGATGAGAAGACTAAGGACCTTAATCTTTTAAGGTTGTATTCTTTTGTATAATTACATGTATAATTACATGTAGTAGTAGAAGAAATTAAGAAAGAAAGAAAAGAAACAAACAAACCGTCGAACCCCGGACGGGTGATGAAATATCACGAGAGCTTCAAGCTAATGCGGTTGTCGCCGCCTCTGGACCTTTCTCGAACTGTCGAACCACCGGCGAAGCTCCAGTTATTACCTTTATCGATAAGTTTATAGTTCCCGATAAGATAGACCGTTATGTGGCTCTTTGGGCAACTCACGCTAACGGGCGGTACCTATGGACCTGGGGGGTAAAGTGTGGCTGGTGGCTGGTAAGTACATACCTAGGTAGGTAGGTACCTAAATGTCCCCGGGTGATTTGGTCAACCCTCGCTCGAAAAATTTCAAAATACATCCCACCATACCTCAACCCCACCTTGCGTCTTCTTATTTCTTCACATCTTCACAGGCTTTTCGTTTCTTCTCTTCCCAAGATACCCCCGAGTTTCATTATACAGACTCTCTATTATCCTTCATTTCAATCGTAAAAATGGGCTTCACCGATCTTCTGAGCGACGCCGGTTTGGCCAGTATGTTTTTTGTCTGATTCGCAGTTCCACGGCGGGGTTTCCTTCTATCAGGATCTCTCGTCTGGTCTGGGCACCCCCTCGTTATTTTGACAATAGCTAACGACGATATAATCCAGTCCTTAACAGCTGGTTGACCACCCGTTCATACGTCACTGGGTAAGTCATCTACAATTATTCCCCTAAAACCCTGCGCCATCGTCGAATGCGACCCCTCGATAGTGTGCCCCCCTCTTTATCAAAGTGCCTTACGAGCCCAATAACCCATCATGATGAGAAACATTGGTCCGTGTTTCTGAGCAGACTCAAGACCTGTCAAGGAGGACAAATACAATAGCACTCTTGTGCATCTCTGATTTTATACTATACCATCCATATCCTCATTGCTCGCGCTTGATTCTCCCATATACGCCAAGAACTCGTGGCTGACTCACAAAAGCTACGCTCCCTCCCAGGCCGATGTTGCCGTCTTCAAGGCCATTACCTCTGCGCCCGAAGCCGCCAAGTACCCTAACGCCGCACGATGGTACAAGCACATCGCCTCTTTCGAGGATGAGTTCCCCACTCTGCCCGGTGACGCTTCCAAGCCCTACACCGTCTACGGCCCTGAGGAGATTGCCGCCACCCTAAACCCCGCTAAGGCACCTGCTGCCGAGGAGGAGGATGATGTCGACCTATTCGCCAGTGACGATGAGGAAGAAGATGCTGAAGCCGTCCGTGTCCGTGAGGAGCGTCTGGCTGCTTACCGAGAGAAGAAGGCGGCCAAGCCCAAGACCATCGCCAAGTCTGTCGTCACTCTGGACGTCAAGCCTTGGGGTATGATTGCGCAATTTCCCGCTAGAGTTAACGTTCAAGCTAATGCATCATATAGATGATGAGACCGATATGGCTGCTCTTGAGGCCGCTGTCCGTGGAATTGAGAAGGATGGTCTAGTCTGGGGTGCCTCCAAGCTGCTGCCCGTTGGCTTCGGTATCAAGAAGCTACAAATCAACCTCGTCATTGAGGACGAGAAGATCTCCCTTAGTGATCTCGAAGAGGAGATCCAAGGTTTCGAGGACTACGTCCAATCTACCGATATTGTAAGTCTCCAAAGCGCCACCAAAATCCCATCTTCGTATACTAATCAAATTATAGTTTGCTATGCAGAAGCTGTAAACAACTATCTTCGTTAGAAGACGACATTCTTGCACCAACACTCAATGCATGATACACGACTTGAGAGCCACAAAGGATGGCCGATGATTGTGATGAGGTTGGATGGATGGTAGGACATCGGGCTAATATCTCTATCGAGACAAAGTTCCATAAAGGACATATGCTTAGAGTAGATGCATTGAAATGCTAATAGGAGACTTGCCCTGATGAACTATTTATTCGGACTTGAAGACCTAAGTGTGCGCTTCCGTGTCAAGGGGGAAATGAGCTGCTACTCTCGAAAGAAAATTTATAGTCAAATTCATAACATTCACCCGGTCTCGTGTCTCGAATTGTTTTGAATGTTCTTGTTAAAAGATAATTCTGCTACTCGGGAACCTATTCAGGAGCCTTGTACAGGGACGTTTAGTTTTCTCAGACCAGCACCTACTCCATACATCCTACCCATATTCCCCTTATCACATTTGGTATCTATCTTCGTATGTTTCATAATATTTGGGTTTTCTTGTTTCCCTCCTGTTCCCCTTATTTTTATCTATCCCAGCCGGCCGCAACCGTCCTTACCCCGTGCTAGGTCCTAAACCACACACGCCGTTTGATGCCGCTCTCTAGTGGTGGAAGAGTCGAATGTTCTGCTCCACGAAGACGATGCCGAGCTTCTCAGCCGTCTCGTAGACGGCGGAGTCGTTCTGACTGCCGCCGGGCGCTGCAATGTACTTTGCGCCGGAGCGGTGGGCGCGGTAGATGTTATCGACAAAGGGGAACTATAGAATCAACGTTAATGAAATTACTCGCTACAACCTCAAGGAACTAATTGTTGATGAAGGTATACTTACGAAAGCATCGCTAGAAACAGCGACATCACCTAGCTTGCTAAGCCAATCGTTACGCTCGTCTTCGGTGAAGGCGGCGGGAATCTCCTCGAAGACGGACTCGAACGCTTCACGCTCGGGACCGCCCTTGGGAAGCTCACCGCTCACTAGAAGGTCGATAGCGTTGCTCTTGTCGGGGCGCTTGGTGCCCTTCTTCCACTTGATACCGAGGACGCGGGGGTGGAAGCGCAGCCACCAGTTGTCAGCCTTATCGCCGGCCAACCGAGTGCAGTGAATGCGGGATTGCTGACCAGCACCGAGACCGACGACCTGACCGTTCTTGGCGTAGCACACGGAGTTGCTCTGTGTGTACTTGAGGGCGATTGTGGCAACTGTCAAGTCTCTAGCAGCAGCCTCAGGGAGGGCAAAATCCTTCGGCGTGATAGTTCGAGTGAAAGAAGACGGAGAAAGTTCAATGTCGTTACGGTGCTGGGTGAGGTTTACTCCATACACAGTTCGGACCTCAGTAGGGTCCGGCTGGTACTCGGGGTCTATCTGCAGAACAAGGTACTTGCCACCCTTCTTTTTCTTAAGGATTTCCAACGCGGCATCCTCATATCCAGGGGCAATGACTCCGTCAGAAACCTCCTTGGAAATTATGCTAGCGGTAGGAACATCAACCACGTCACTCAGGGCAATGATATCGCCAAAGCTGCTCATCCGGTCAGCTCCTCGGGCTCGAGCGTAAGCCTGGGCAAGGCCTGAAGTCTCAATGCCCTGGATATCGTCGACAAAGTAAACCTTGCGCTCCTCAGCGCTTAGAGGAACGCCAATGGCAGCGCCAGCGGGGGAAACATGCTTGAAACTGGCGGCCGCGGGTTTTCCAAGTGACTTCTTCAGCTCCTTAACCAGCGGCCAGCTGTTCAAGGCATCAAGTAGGTTGATATATCCAGGGGCACCGCCAAGAACCTTGAATGGTAACTTGTTGGATGTCGTGTATGCAGCAGCAGGCTTTTGGTGGGGGTTGGCGCCGTATCGGAGAGGCAAGTATTGTTGGTACTCTTGGCCTTCACCAGCATATCGCGCACGGAAGAAACCAGAGATGTGAGCATCGTAATCGGCTGTGTGCTCAAAAGCCTTAAGGGCATATCTCTTACGGCTGTCCTCCTTGATCTCTCCATTCTCGAGCTCCTTTAGGAATTCGGGATAGTCATTAGGGTCGCTAAGGATGGTGACGCGGGAATGGTTCTTAGCAGCCGCTCGGATAAGTGTAACACCTCCTATGTCGATCTCCTCTACGGCTTCGGGGACAGTGACGTTGGGCTTAGATACGGTGTCCTTGAATGGGTATAAGTTACAGATGACGTAGTCGACCTTTTCGATGCTCTGCTCGGCAAGGTCTTTCTCGTCGGTAGCCAGGTTGCGCGCAAGTATACCGGCGTGGACAGCCGGGTGCAAGGTCTTTACTCGACCGGACAGCATCTCCGGGGCTTTCGTGATAGCAGAGATGTCCCTTCTTGGAGTCAGTCCCAAAATATCTAGGGATATAAATACAAAATTGAGTTGCTAGTTATCTTACTCGACCGGGAATCCAGACTCGCGAATCATCTTAGCCGTGCCTCCAGATGCCAGGATTCGCACATTCTGTTGCACGAGGCCCTTAGCTAGGTCCAACAGGCCAGTCTTGTCGAAGACGGAAAGTATGGCGATTCTCTGAGTTGCCGACATTGCGACAAATTTGTGTGTAGGAGGCTTGATCTAATTGCAATTGTTTCAATCGGAGAGAGATTTATGGTGAGATTTATGGTGAAGGAAGTAACCTAAGTGGATTTACGAATCGACGGGAAGCGCACAACGATAGATTGACGACGATAAGACTTAGATTAAATTGTTGGGACGATAAGACTACGGAGAATGACCGAGTTTAAACAGACTCGTCTAATCCGTTTCTATCACTTGTGACGAGTAACGATTATAAGGGCGCCGTTACGGCCGTGATAATAGAAGAGCGAAGAGCGAAGAGCGAGAAAAATAAAATTTCGAGCTCATGGCGGGGTCGGAGGTGTCAGCCCCACCAACCCCTCGGTGTTGAAGTCTTCACTTCAAGTATATCGCGCCATACTAAAAACGCCCTAAAAACATAGAACCCCACCATACATAGTCCCTTCCTCACTGACTACCTGACTTGACCCCGCCTTCTAGTGTAGAAATTACCTAAGAAGTGAAACGCGTTCTCGAATTTCATACGCGCCTTTCGACCTTTAGTACCTCGGCCTCATCTTACTTCACTTACACGGCTATTCATCTCACTTAGGCCGTCATATCGGTATACGAACTTGTCGACAATGTATGGCGATCTAGGAAACAAACTCGTGAGTAGCTTATGATTATATTGTACATCCGTTGAAATGAAAAGTTATCACTAAGTAATATCAGGTTCAACATGCAAAGAGAACTCAAAATCTGTCACACTTACCACCATATCAGACTGAGCTAGTTCGTGCAGTCACACGAGAGGTTCGCGACTTGGACAAAGATGTGGCAGATATGCTAGAACCGTTCCAGGGGTCCTTCAACCCAGCCGACGACCCGGCTACGGCATGTACCCTACTTATAAACCATTTATCCATGCGGCGGAATAAGCGTTGTCTGCTAGCTTATCACCGAACGCGGGCAGACAGACTCGAAGAGCTTGTCTGGAAGGGCTACGACGTAGTTGATCTTGCCGGACAGCAAGTTAGGGACGGCCAAGGCGGACTCAACGGCCCATCGGGTATGGCAACTAGCAATAGTGGCACGAGTAGCTTAAGTCCGCAGGAGGAAGATTACGTGCGACAGTACAGCGATCTGCTAGCTGCTTATAAAGGCCAATGGACAGATATCGATCTCACAGGAAGTCTCGAACCTCCTCGCGACCTCTTCATTGACGTACGGGTGCTAAAAGATGCGGGTGAAATCCAAACCGAATACGGGTAAGAGAGTGGGCATCCAAGTAAAGTAGGAAGAAAGTATACTAATATACCATTACAGCGCGATCACACTTACTAAAAACAGTCAATTTTACGTTAGGCAGGGTGATGTAGAACGTCTGATCGCCCAAGGCTATCTCCAAAAGCTCAGTTGACCAGACCTAGGTTAGAGTGCAGTCAATCCTGTTTAATGTATTCTGGAGAAGAATCACGCCTCGTCTCAGTCATCAGACGAACTAGGGCAGAACTATGTTCTGTCTGAGGCACTCCCACATGCGGTTAGGCCCCAAAAAAAAGCAAAGAGCTCCCATCGCGGCGGCATAAGGTTGATTCCCCGGAAGCTTGTTTGCCTGTTGGAAGGGCTGGCAACATATATGCACAGATGGTATCTTCCTAATTAAGTCGTGGCAAACCAGATTTGCAATTCTGACGGAATAAATCGCAAAAAGAGGCGCGCATGACGACCGAATGCAAGTGGTACAACCGGGCGCTTGGCCTACAGCTCAAGGCCAATCACCAACCATGACTGAGGACCGTTGCGCCGAACTCAACTTTCAGTGGAACGTATTTACCTCGAAAAGCAGATGATATGCCCGGTGAAACTTAGTGCGTATACATAGATGGTGTAACGGGAGCTTCGTAACGGAGTGGAATGATTCTTTTGCTTGGTATCCTCTACCCGACGCGAATGCGTGCCAAATTACCCGATACAGACTATTATTCATTCATAATAGCATAATGATGAGCACAGTACCTAAGTAATAGGTCACATATGCAAATGCAGCCCCTCAATTGGCGCGTTCTAGCTCATGGCGCAGGGCTTAAGAGCTACTGAACCATACGGAATACAACGTTGGCCGTGCTGGTCATTCAGTTGGAGGATTGGTATTTGCGGGGAGCGAATGAGAGGATTGAATGTGGAGAATAATTGGAGGCTCCCGGGGAAATACTCAACTTCACACCTGACAACCAAACTTTTCGGCAGGCTTCTCAAGGGTAGGCTGTACGTTAATGATCGTGTCGCATTGACGAGACCGTTCCGTCCAAAAGGTACCACAAAGCGACTCGGCGAATACCATAGCTTTAAAATACGTAATAGACTTCACGATGAGGGATCGACGTCCGACTTGTCCTGCCGTGATCGTAGAAGGGCCGGAAGCGTTGATAGTGAGGAGAAACGCAAATGCATCGTGAATCACGATGCCAAGTCCCGTTCCAAATATAACTGAGGGATATTTTGCATAACTAGTTATTGTATATTATACTTTAAGAGCTAGGATTAGACTAGCCGGCTCCGTGTTTGCGGTGAGTGGTATTGACGGTAAGATATTCAGGGGCCATAAAATACCTAAACGACTAGGTTAGAAAACATCCAAACCATCGAAAACCTCGTGGAATTCGAGCTGAAAATGGAGAGAACGAGCTGAATTACTTGATTCACACGGTCTAACAGCTCAATGTCATCCAGGTGCCCATCTCCAGGTTCTTGTCTCCAGGTTCTTGTCTCCAGGTGCCTGCCAGCTATTGAAACATACATGACATGAACCGCATCTGCTCTCGGGATGTATGAGCTAGGACTGTTTGCATCATGCAGCCCGAATATTACAGGATCCAAAAACATCTTGGAACGTTAGAGCTTCAATAACGGGTGAGGGGACTACACGATCATCTACCTGGCCAAGGCTGGATATCATTAGCCGCACGGTAGATGACGAGAAGATATTTGATGTCGTCGAGTAGGCTAGTAGGTATATACAGCGAGTTGTTACACGAAGATATTATAAAAGATTTGTCTTACCCAATGGCATTAAATATTAAATCGTAACGTAAATGATTAGATTATAGCATTAGTTCAGGACCCACCACCCAATAATCTTTGAGCGTCTTTCTAGAATCGGAGATGCCCCTCTATACCCTTGTCAATTGAGTTAAGGCCATACGCCAGAGTTTTCCGTGTCCTACGTGAGTACTCTTTGATAAATACCCGTTATAGTTAGCGCATCTAGTGGACACGACAAAATTCCTTGATAGCTACCTAACCTAATACATACCTACCTACCTACATAGTATGTACGCTACCTCTATCTCGTGAGGTCTAGATTTAGATCCTCTCGTTATCATCGAACAACCTTTGCGGCTTTGAGCATACTATTTTTTTTCATCCCTTCACTTTCTGTCCACCGTACCACTAATTCTACTGGCCAATTCATAAATTTATATTTCTAACGTCTATACAAGCCATACAACACCCCCAACTCCTTTTAACGTATAATTTGAATTCGCTATTGTATATCATGATTGCGCCTCGAGGACTAACACCTTGGTAGTCTACCAACTTTCCTCGCACATGCGCACTGTAGCCCGGCAGCCAATGTATATATATTCAACATAGAGAGCTTGTAAACGCCTTACTGTAGAATATGGCTGCACCATCGTTCGGTTTCTCTTCTTGGAGAAGGAGATCCTCATCTGTTACCTCTCAGCCAGATGCGGTAGATGTTCCTGGGCAAATGCCCACTCCAAATCAAGGCTCGCGATTAGGTCCAGGAGATTTACGACAGCTATCGTCTTCTCTTAATTCCCATAGCTATAGAGAGCCCACCAGATCTTTCGTGCCTGGCTCTCTTAGGGATCATTTGTGTAAGTCTATATGCTTACATCGTCGTACGTTTTTACTAACATCCTCCCAAGCTCCCGTGGACAGTGCCAGTTTTGCTCGTAGTGTCCGTGAAGACACCGCCGAACTCGCTTCATACGTGCTTTCAGACAAGAAGGATAGGCGCAGCACGTCATTTCTCAATCGAATATCGTCTACCTCGTCCCACCCTAGCCACGACCAGCCAATCTTCCAGAATGAGTCGCCATCCACAGGAGATTTGCAAGCATCAAGCACCGACACCATAGATGAAGTTTCCGAGCCCTCCTCGCTGTCATCTGAAACGGACGGGCCACCCAACTCAGGGCCCTCGGCACTCACAACTATGTTCAAACGCTCTCCACCTGAGTCTCTACACGGCCAGGACGCCGGTAGTAATTCAATGTCACAAAATGGCCAGCAATTACCATCGATAGGCGTATTACAAGCAGAACCCGATAATGAGTTATCAGAGACTACCCCTCTCCTCAGGAGGGTATCACACAGGCCGGAGTCTCCGGATAGTATTGCAGATATCGACATCGAAATTCAAAAACCGATGCTACCGCCTTGGGGACCGTCGTCGACCGGTCGCGGTATTCGAGACAGAATTCGTACTGTTAAAGGTATAATGAACCCAAAGACTTGGGATAAGAAGATTATTTGGCAGAGGGCTGTAATAGACCCAATACACTGTTTACCAGCTGTGGTCGTCGGCCTTTTACTTAACATCCTTGATGCTTTATCTTACGGTAAGTTATAGTCTCGAGCATGTTATCGTCCAAGAGCCTAATAATATCTGTAGGAATGATCTTATTCCCCTTGGGCAACCCGATATTCTCGAGCCTCGGGCCGGCTGGAATATCGATATTCTACGTTAGCACAATTATCTCACAACTGACCTTTTCGGCCAGCAGTCTGTTTCGGGGCGGCGTTGGATCAGAGTTGGTAAGTGCTCTTGAGCTCTACGATTTATGAATATGTGCTCACGTATATAGATCGAGGTTGTTCCCTTCTTTCATAGTATGGCGACTACTATTACGGCGGTAGTAGGAGAGGACCAACCAGACGCGGTTATCGCTACAACGATAACCTCCTTTGCTATTAGCTCTATGATGACTGGTATCGTCTTCTACTTTATGGGAAGATTTAAACTGGGCTATATCGTCGGCTTCATCCCTCGCCATATTTTAATCGGATGCATCGGTGGCGTGGGCTGGTTCCTCGTCGCGACGGGCTTTGAAGTTTCGGCGCGACTAGAGGAATTCCGCTACGATCTCGATACCGGGCGAAAACTAATTCAGCTAGACACCTTGCCTCTATGGCTCATCCCTCTTGCTTTGGCTATCCTTCTCTTCGGCCTCCAGAAGAAGATCACTTCCAAATATTTCTTGCCGATCTATATTCTATCCGTGCCGCTCTTCTTCTATTTCTTCGTATTTACGATAGATAGTCTAAATCCCGACAGCCTCAGGAAAGCCGGGTGGATCTTTCAGGCCCCTGAAGCTGGGCAGCCTTGGTGGTACTTCTGGACTCTCTATAGTGAGCAGTTCAACTATTTCTAGAGATGAACTTATTACTGACTGGCAACTATAGAATTTAACCTTGTTCATTGGGGAGCGATCTTGGAAACTGTCGGGGCTATGTTCGCGTTGACCTTCTTCAGCGTACTCCATGTCCCCATTAATGTTCCTGCTTTGGCGCAAATTTCCGGGGAAGATCACCTTGATTTAGATCACGAACTCAAACTACACGGCTACTCAAACTTCTTGTCCGGGCTCGCAGGAAGTATCCAGAACTACTTAGTCTTTGCTAATACACTCTTCTTCATGAGATCAGGTGGCGACAGTCGTCTAGCGGGTCTCATGCTAGCAGGCCTTACATTCGGCGTCATGACGATCGGACCAGTGATCATAGGCTACATTCCCGTCATGGTTGTCGGCACCTTGATCTTCGTTCTCGGGTTTGAGTTATTAGTAGACGCCCTCATATCCCCAAGGCGTAAACTCAAGTTATTGGAATACCTGACGGTAAGTTTTGCTTTATTGTCTTACACCTACATACCTGAGACTAACTAGAAATCACCTTAGATCGTAGTAATAGTTCTCACCATGGGAATCTACGATTTTGTCGTGGGTATTTTCGTTGGCATTATACTCGCCTTTGTTTCTGCTATTTTCCATGCATCTCAAGTTTCAGCCATCCGAGCAACTTATACCGGAGACCAAATTGGGTCCATGGTCAGGCGGAACCCATCACAACATCGCTACCTCCGGCAAGTTGGTAGACAGACATACGTAATCAAACTATCCGGGTTTCTCTTCTTTGGTACTATCGTCGGTGTCGAGGCGAAAATCCGAAATCTAATATCCGAAGACTCTTTCAGGGAGCACCCTATTAAGTATCTAATCATCGACCTGTGGCATGTTACAGGGATCGATTATTCGGCAGCCGAAGGGTTCAAAACTATCAATCGGCTCCTAGCTGGGAAAGGAGTGCACCTTCTCGTAAGTGGAAAAGACGCGGACAGCAGACTTGGTCGAGATCTTAGAGCCGTCGGACTCGGGTCCGACGGACCTAGCGTTATGTTTATGCCAGATTTAAATTCTGCACTGGAAAGCTGCGAGAACGAACAGCTAAAAACCTTCTATGCTCGTCAAGAAGCTCTAAGAGTCTCGCGACCAGCACCGTCAAGCAACCTTGATGTGCCTAATAACGGCCAGCTTGGCCAATCATTAGAGATTCTGTCTCAGTCGCCGAGGAAAAGTCACCTCGACCAAGCGGCTAGGAACGTGCTGAACCAACAAGAGATGAGGCGGTCAACGAGATGGCAAAACATCAGCGAACCCCTCCGACTTATGCTCCAAGTCTTCTACGACGTGAGCGATAAGAACGAGGATTTCTGGTTCCGAGCAAGGCCGTTTTTCGTTCGCAAAGAATTCGCCGCCAATGCCGTCTTATACGAGTGCGGCGAGCAAGCCAATGGCTTCTACCTTCTGGAGAGGGGCGAGTTGCGGGCGGATTATGACACGCCGCAAGGTCGTCTATACGAACCGATCGTCCAGGGCACTACTTGCGGCGAGCTGCCCTTCTTCTCCGAGACGAACAGGACGGCGACGGTGATTGCAGTTAAAGACTGCGTCGTCTGGGTTATGGATAAGGAAAACTGGGAGAAGCTGCAAAATGAGGAAAACGACGTGGCGCAGGAATTGCTACGGGTTTCCCTGAAGCTCACGAGCGAGCGGATGGAGGCTATGACGAAGTATATCTCGGCGGTTGGGAACTGATTGTTTGGATGGGATGGGATGGGATGGGACTGATAGATAAAACAGTGGATATTTTGGAAATGTAATCAGATCTGCTAAATGAAAGACTGTTATGCTACATAGGTAGTATATGCTGCTGTTGTGTAATCAGGGGCTGGCTGCTATTTCGTAAGCAGCAGAACCGTTCCGTACCCAGCATCACATATGACAAACAACTATATTGGCTTCATAGCAGATTGATATCTCTAATTATTCTGATACTCTCGTGAGTGTAACATTTGATTTGCTCGTAACAGTATCACTAAGCTAAAGCCACCGGTCGTAGAGACTTAAACTGTAATATGTAACATGCCAGATATCTTCTCTTCATTACTGTACAAACGTGCAATATGCTCTAATTCATGAACGTCTGCCCATCCCTTAAAACCCCGCCGTCTCGAAGCCAGCCCATGAATACGCCTGACAGCACCCAGAAACAAGATGGTGATCGAACTGCTCCTCCACCCCAAAGTACGATGCTATACCACCCGTTTGACTTCGAAGAATCTTCGTAACCACCATACCTGGAATAGAGACTCGCCTACCACGACGCCGATTACGAACAAGTTCCACCATTTGACTCGGCTGTTTGTGCTCTCGGCGGTGTTACGGTGGGTGCGTTCACGGACGACGATGTAGGATTGCTCATCCCTTGCCTGTTCGACTAGTTCGGAGAGTTGCTTGACTATAGCCCCGTTAGTAAATTGATCTAAGCCGTATTTGCTAACGAGTAGGTAGATAACAACGCAACACTTACTCTCTTTCTCTAAGGGGTCCTGAGGGGCATCGCCTTCGGACACGTATACTATTCCGTGTACGTTGAACGATACCTCCTTGCTGTTGGAGCCCCAGTGTTCGTTGCCGAAGCAGTAGAGGAATTTGCCGTCGTGTTTAGCCGTAAACGAGAAGTCGCCATTCGAAACCGCCTTCTGGAAGGTTTCGTGCTGGCCCATCGGGTTCGTGATCTGTAGTTGTGGATCAACATGTAAGTCATTGTATTTATTCACCGACTATTTTTAAGAGTGCTGCCGTACCCAGAAGTCAATGTCGAGGTTCCCGGCACCGCCAAACTCCCTGTCGCCGGTCTGGAAAGTCACGGTCATGACATCGTCCTTGTGGAGCTCCTCGTGGAAGCACTCGCGGCCGTGGGCGGGAAGCTGGATATTGTGGGCGAGCGCAGCTTGTAGGAAGCTGGCTGCCAATAGCAGGGCTTTAGTCGAGAATAACATATCTTCTAGGCAACGAGTGACTCAATTCGTTCGCTGAGCCCAGTTTGAGAAATGACGTTGCCTAAATGTTTGTCATGCGACGGTAGGGCTTGGACTTAATAAAAAATAGAGCCTACTAACTAAACGAGCTGTGAGGCTTGAAACTTGAGATGGACACTTTGGCGATTGCCAAGGATCGAATCTGAGTGGACGCTCGGGATGGTTTAGCGCAGTTTTCTCATGCTATGTTAGGTATGTATGTCCATATGTACTATAATAGGTAATGTTAGCGGCGGTACCTGAGAGATACTTCCTGAGTCGCGACGTGTTACAAACTCGTGACTGTCTCCTTCCCGGAGAAGGCCGACTCCGCAGCGTAGAAATCTTGGTCGTGGTCAGGGGGTCTAGTAAGTATAGTAACTGTATCTTATCAGGCTGGATTAAGCCAAAGCCAAAAAAAAATTAAGATACAAGACCCCCCAGCCCAGCGACTGCCAGCTGCAGGCAAGTAATTACGTTCATTTCCATGGGACTCCGTCTTTCTCCAGCCACATTGCATTTTTACCTAACTTTCTGAAAAACACATCTACTATTCTCTCTTCACCGATCTCCAACCACAATCCACCGCATCAACCCCTTTTGATAACCCATCGCCACGAGATCTCTCCTTCGCCGAGCAGGTCTCATTGTTGCAGAATAGTAAGTCGACCACTACTTCAGCCTTTCTACATCATCTCGACAAAGAGAATATTCTTTGGTCTTTTCGCTGTTTTGTATTTTTGTCGCCTTGCACGCTTTTCGCTTTACAGTACCAATACCATTTACCATTTACCATTTACCATTTACCATTTACCACTACCACTACCACTATCACTACCACTACTAATATCAATACCATATCCACGTATCTCTATCTCTACCTATCTACATACCTCTACCTAAATATTACATATTACATACATCTACATACATACCATCCAATCTACCTTCAACTTCCTCTCGTACATAGTAATTGTTCGGCCCACCTGTTCATTTCTTTATTTCTCCTCTCCTATCGTGGCAGCCTAGAAATAACACGGGATAATCGCGCCCAACAATACCGACTCATCCCCAGGTCATTGCGCAGTCTTGGAAGACCAATCGATCTGTCCTTACGGAACACTAAACCCCATAAATCCCGACTGGCTGCCAATTACCTCCAGATAATCACATCATCTCTTTTTTCCATCTTAACTAACTTCTCCTCTTTCTCGTGCTAGATATAGCGACGTCGCCTTAGGCCCACAGCCGTAATAGATACTTACCGCATCTTTTCTTCAAGTCGCAATCATGGGTCTCACATTCTCCAAGTTGTTCGACAAGCTCTGGGGGAAGAAGGAGATGAGAATTCTGATGGTTGGTCTCGACGCTGCCGGAAAGACCACGATTCTTTACAAGCTCAAGCTCGGTGAAATCGTCACAACTATCCCTACTATCGGTATGCCCTCTCCACCCGAACGTCAGCATCGCCACCCTTTGTTTTGATTATTGACACGCGTCGCGCTTCCAGGTTTCAACGTCGAGACGGTCGAGTATAAGAACATTCAATTCACCGTGTGGGATGTTGGTGGACAGGACAAGATTCGTCCTCTGTGGCGACATTACTTCCAGAACACCCAGGGTATCATCTTCGTCGTTGACAGTAACGACCGAGACCGTATCGTCGAGGCTCGGGAGGAGTTGCAGCGCATGTTGAACGAGGACGAGCTCCGGGATGCTATTCTGCTAGTCTTCGCCAACAAACAGGATCTGCCCGTATGTTCCTTGCCGTCTTAACCGTATTATTTACAAGTTTTGCTAACTAATGATTATAGAACGCCATGAACGCCGCTGAGATTACTGACAAGCTCGGCCTTCACAGCCTGAGACAGCGCGCCTGGGTATGTACTCATTCTATATTGTCTCACATTTATAACATATGCTAATCAGTAGTGTAGTACATCCAATCAACTTGCGCTACATCCGGAGACGGTCTGTATGAGGGTCTCGAATGGCTTGCCACCACGCTTCGTAAGGCTGGACACCAGTAAATGGGAGGGGGCACTGTGTCATTTTCCCGTTACGACTCACCATGTTTCCCCTTTCCTCCCCAATTTAATGGGTCGGTTGTAACTCGCAAATTCATTCCCGGAGCAATCGATATATTCCATAAATGACGCTGGTCTCGGTACGCTCTCGCTCTCATGGGTTACGATGGACCTGCAAAGTGAAGACGCAAGTTTGATTTTGGAAGCATAGGAGGGGAGTGGCGTACTGGGACGAAATCTGTACGAATTGATATTACAGAACGTAAAAGAGAACTTGATGCGTTGGGTCACGCTACCAGGGGCTAGCGGAGCCTCGCATTCTAGTCCGTTTTTCTCGTTCACGAGGCATTTCCCGTCTATTGTTCCCCATTAATAAGAATGATGATTAACACAATGTCATGACATGATGGTGGCTGTTGTGAAGCCCTGGTGGGATGTTCTCAATATATGGTCCTGTTTCCCTTTTTACGCTGGCATTACGAGATAGAACGAGATTGGAAGGCTTCGTAGTTTACAGTGGTAGTAGTTGTTGCAACATGAGATTTGTTTTAGAGATTTGTTTGCCATGTTTTTTTTTAGTATAGGAGATAAGATCTATCTTGCGTAATTGTATACGGTCATGATTGAGTTGAGGGTCGCCCTCACATGGTCCCCATTGTAACTGGAGTAGACTTATGAAAAGATAAGTTGTAACTCCTTGCTTACATGTAGGTAGATAGTTACATTGTACTCGGTACTTCGTAAAAGTATTACGCTAGCGGTGAATAAACTCGTACATATAAGTAATAACTAGGTAGCATGTACCGCCATAATAACTTGTATAATTGCCAAGCAGGTGATTGGTATATGTAGGCCTAATTATAGGTCTGATTATTCACAACTCACTTAAAGTTTACAATTTCCTCCCTAAACAACTTTAGTAGCACACATAGTAATTACATTATTCAGCTAGTACAGGTAAGGCGGATTTGTAGTACTTTCTACAAAAGGCTTAGCTTTCTCCTGGTTTATGTTGCGTCACCGTGATATTAATCGAATTCGGGGGTTACATAATTATGTACCTGATAGGTAATAAAAGATGGCCCCACGTAAAGCCGGGATCGGCAATGCTGGGATCCCGACGCTCGTAATATATTTTATATTTCAACGGCGAGATCTTCTCACCGACAACATAATTTCGGAATTGGACCGCCAGACCGGGGGAACGTGTCCTGCACCTTGACTCCCTGCCAATTGATCCTCAATTGACCAAAATGAAGCCTTCAGGGATTCTCGTCACAGCTAAGAGGGGCCTGCCAGCGCTCCGAGCGCCCTTAGGACGGCAACCCCGTTTCTTCACCCGAGCGGCGTCTTCCTCGGCTTCTGGGACAAACGCCTCGGCTGCGATAACCACTTCACGAACTCACCCTCGACTACGTGCATTATCTAATCGTCCTCCCCTCGCTGTTCAAAGCTGTCGAAGTTACGCTTCGGCACCGACAGCAGGATCCAAATCTCTAAGCAAGACATCCCTTTACGATCTCCATGTCTCACACGGCGGTAAGATCGTGCCCTTCGGCGGCTTCTACATGCCGGTTCAGTACGCCGGGCTGAGCGTCACCGCTTCCCACCACTTCACGCGAAGCCACGCCTCGCTGTTCGATGTCGGACACATGGTCCAGCATCGGTTCGAGGGTCCCGGCGCCATTGCGTTTCTCCAACGAATCACACCCGCCGGCCTCGAGGGTCTCGGCATCAACTCGAGTACCCTCAGCGCACTATTGGTCCCCAGTATCGGCGGCATCGTCGACGATACCATTATAACAAAGCTCGGCGACACCTCTTTCTACGTCGTCACCAACGCCGGGTGCCGAGACAAAGACCTCGCATATCTAAGTGAGCAGTTAGGACAATGGGAGAAAGAGGGCCGTCCGTCTGTCAACCACAAGGTCCTCCACGGGCAGGGCTTAGTCGCGCTGCAAGGCCCGCTTTCCGAGCAGATCCTCGAACAGGTCCTAGCTAACCCCAAGGAAACCGATCTCCACGGGCTGTTCTTCGGACAATGCCGGTCCGTGACGCTGAAGCTCCAGGACGGGCGTGAGGTGTCCGACATACTAGTCAGCAGAGGTGGATATACCGGCGAGGACGGGTTTGAGATCTCCATCCCCGAGGAACACACGGTCGCCGTCACCGAAACACTCCTGCAATCCGCCGGCCCGGAGAAACTACAGCTGGCAGGCCTGGGCGCGCGCGATAGCTTGCGTCTCGAGGCGGGCATGTGTCTGTACGGGCACGACCTGAACGAAGACATCACGCCTGTCGAGGGCGCGCTAAGCTGGATCATCGGCAAGGAGCGGCGCGGCGAGACGGACCTCTCAAAGGGCGCGTTCCACGGCGCCAGCGTCATCCTCAGCCAACTAACGCCCAAGAGCAAAGGCGGAGCGGGCGTCGAGCGCCGGCGAATCGGGCTAGTAGTCGAGGGAGCACCCGCACGGGAAGGCGCTGAGATACAGGACGCAAATGGCGCCAAGGTCGGTGTCGTGACTAGCGGGTGTCCGAGCCCAACGTTGGGCAAGAACATCGCCATGGGGTATGTCAGGGATGGCCTGCATAAGGCGGGGACCGAGCTCGTCGTTAGCATTCGTGGACGTCCGCGGAAGGCGGTTGTGACCAAGATGCCGTTTGTGCCGAGTAAGTACTGGAGGGGGATCGCTTAGGAGCCTGCCCATGTTGTTGCCGTACTGCGTTTCGACAGTATATAAAGGTACGTACGTAGGTTACGGAAACCAAGACAGGCGTGTGTCTATCTATACAATGCAATATAGGATGGTGGGAGCGAAGAATATGGATTGGTTGGTGGGTTGCATTTTTGGGGCACTTTGAGACTTTCAACAATCCAGGGGCGTCGGGGTACATAAACTACTACTTGTAATGCTTGCGTGTGCATGACATGGCATGGCATAGCATAGCATGGCATGGCATAACATAGCATAACATTACATTGCGCATAGGTAGATGAGATAGATACCCTCAACGAAGATCTACGTTACGGTTACCGTTATTCGACGGTTTTGTTCTGATAAATAATACAAGTTAAATTGGCTGGGCTATACGGTTTGTCTGGCTTGTACATAAGTGTATAAGGTGTTGCTTTCACTAGAACAGCGAACATATCCGTAGAAGTAGAAGGTCGAGTTATAGTTGTCATGAAGAGAGAGAAGAATATAAATACAGTTCTCGTGTAGATGGTACATAGCATGTCGTGTGATATACCAAGAAATAGAATGGTTACTATCCTCACTATAAGGTAAACCTACTCAGTCTGTGCCGAACTGAACAGTAAACTGGCGAACAGCAAAATACACAACAGAATACGCAATGTAGATATATACGCGTAGTAAAGTGCGATAGATCCTAGTATAAGAGTATATGTGATGTGATGTGGATTCAATACGATACGATACGATGTCCTCCTTCGATCTGCCTCTGCCTCTGCCTCCGCCTCCGCCTCCGCCTCCGCCTCTACCTCTTATCTCTTACCTCCACCTCTGTCTGCCTCTCAAAACCCACACGTCTGTCTTAAGTCTCATCATGAAGCATATTAATCGTGCTTCGCAAGTATCGTGCGATGTATGCCATATCATAAAAAAAGAAGTGGTTACCAGTACAAGACGTTTCGCCTTAAGTCTGTCCGCTCCCTATAGGCTATAGGCCTTAGCTCCGGCATGCGCTTAGAAAAACCGAGCGAAGTGAGAGGCGAACTCGTGGCGGGCGAAGCGTCCACGAGGGTTATATACTGATAAGTCCGGCTATGTCCACTTGTGCATCCCTCTCCCAAAGTGTATCCCGATGAGAATCTGTCTGTTCTGTCTCCCGAAGGCTAGACTTCCCATCTTTCCACCCCGCCTCTCCCCGTGATATAAATAATGTACGCAATAAATCCCCCCGGACTACCAACAGCAAGCGGTATGTGTTCCCCCCGGGGAATGAATAAACAAAAAGTGAACGAAGAAGAGGAAGCAATGAACCGATGCCCGTCGCTTGCTGCCCGTTTAAATGCTTGGATATCCCAATAACGCCTTCCCATCAGTCCTCCCTCGCCCTCACCCTCACCCTCACCTTCACCCTTACATTCATCCTCACCCCTATATACGTCGCATCAGAACGTCCAGTCTTCCAACATGGCCGCATGCCTCCGTTTATGCGTAAGAGTCCGCTGAGAGCTTGGTGTTGCTACGATCTGTTCCGGGCTTTGCATCCAGTCGTATCCCGGGGTTCGCCACCAACTCCCGGGTTCCCTGTATTTCCTATGTGCGTAACTGAAGTTATCTTCCGCCCCAGCATCGCACCGTTCCAAGCGCATGACGCCTCCTCGAGAAAGATCGCATGACAACGCGATCAAGTCTTGTCCCTCGTTAGCAAAAGCGACGCCGCCGAGTTCGCCGAATATGTCGACTGTCTGCCTGGTATTGAATGTTTGGGCATCAATCAAATTGACAAAGTCGGCTTCCTCGGCGGCGACTAGAACTCGCTTGCCAGATCCGAGAGGGGAGAACCGTAAGCTACGGGCACCAGCCATCTCGGTTCGCACCACAGCAACCGAAGTACCTTCGCCCTTGCTATTCTTCCATTTACGAGCATCCCATATTCTGATACTCCTATCTTGGTTTCCAGTAGCGACGGTCCAACCATCCGGCGCCCAGTCGCAGGCGAAGCCAAAGTCTCTATGACCTTCGAGACTTTGGAGTATCTCACCCGTCTCCGCGTCGGTAATGAGTACGTTTTGGTCGTCTCCTACTATGACACGAAGCCTCATATCTGGACTTAGCGCAGAACAGTTCATCGCCGAATCATACATGATTTCCGACTTAACACTATTCGTAGATAGATCCACCACCCGGAAACCAAAGTCGTTGGAAGCGAAGGCGGCCAACGGAGCGGATGAATGCCGAGAAGAATGGATTTGTACGTGGTTGGTTATACCGCTGTTATCATTGGTCAACAGTCCTTCGTGTGCCTCGAAGTCCTTAGAGGAGTTTAGGTAACGGTAACGATAGGTTCCATAGAAACCGCCAGCAATCAGGATGTCATCGCTAGCGGTTAGTGTAGATATATGAGCACCGGTTTGGCTGTCGAAGCGCATCGCTACTTTGTATCGTCCTGTAGTAGGGTCATGCTCCTTGATCGTAGTAAAGCTCGGATAGAATACCCTCGTTCGCGATGCAACGCCTAATATATTGCGAAGCTGAAAATGTAGCAAGCGCACATCGCGCCTGATGTCCATGCTCTTATATTTAAAGTAATTCTCGACAGGGCGTAGCAACCTGTCGGACGAATCAGTATGAAACGAATCAGAATTCGCTCTATTCATATAGTTATGAAACGTCGCCATACGACGACATCGCGCCATATTCCTCGTTACTCCCAGATCCCTCCAACTGATGCCTTGAAAGTCGTACAGGTCGCCCCTCAACTGCTTATAATCTACTCGGCGCGGGCATTCCCGGGCCAGCCGACTGATCTGTTGAAAGGACGGCACAGGTCCGTTTGCTCGTAGTTGCATGTCTGCATTGCTCTGCCACCCCCAGAGCTCAAGAAACTGCATAACGTGCGGGTTCTCAGGCCCGAGCGACACGGGATTCGCATTACTAAAGGCCATAGGATGAAGACCAGTGTTCGCGGCGGCGTCGATTTCGTCTTCGACGGGGTCTTGAACCTCCGGGAGCGGCAGCAGGGTCTGCGAGGGTAGGATGGCACCTATATCGGTATCGATGGGTAGCGAAGGTTGAATTGGGATCCCGACATGGTTAATGAGCGCATATTCGAGAGGCGCCATAACGTGGCTTTGGTCGTCTGGATCTTCCATGTTAAGATTGTTTAAAGGAGCGCCGCCTTCTTCGATATCGATGTCCAGCATGTCGTGGTTATTATCGGGGCTGCTACTACCGGCGTCATCACTGTCATCAAAGACTTGGGCGTCGTCGGAGTTGGCATGCGCAGTAGATGTCGGGACGTATGGGGATGACGACTGGTAGTCATTCATAGGACTGTCAGGGTCGTCAGGGTCAGGTAGATCAACTTCAGCAATTTGAGGCTGAGAAAATAAGAAGGCATCTTGGTCGATCTGAGGACGGTCTGGAGCGAGGAATGGAGAGACGGGTGGGGAATTAGTAGGGCGCATCGTTGTTGGAGGTGCTCAAGTCATTTGGTTGGAAATTCGAGCCTAACCGCTCTAGTATGGGGGTTCACATAAGAACGAACCCGTGTTGCTTTTATGTTTCTGTCGTGCAGACAATTCCTATTGGCTTAGGTATAAAATAGGGAGGTAACGAGGTATACATGTATGTAATGTAGCTGTGTAGCTGTGTAGCTGTGTAGCTGTGTAGTAGTTGAGGTATGTAGGTAAAAGTAACCTAGGTAAGTGTGTAGATGGTAGATGGGCGGATGGGCGGATGGGCGGACGGGATGGATGGCGGATCTTCAGCAGGGCGCCAAGATGGGTCAAGGCAGCGATCCCTAGTTTGCGGCTATCGAGGGTGGTATACAGTAGCGTGAACCTTTTATTCTATGTATTCTGACATTCTGGCATTCTGGCATTCTGGTATTCTGGTATGTATTGTAGATAAACTTTGGCATGTAATAGATATGTACATAAAGAGGGTCGGCGGGGTATATATCGTATAGGAATGAGACTAGGTTAATAACAGAACCACGTTTTGAACCTGAACTTAGGTAGGTACCTACTTTTTCGCTTTGTTGGGTCAACTTGGTTAGTATATACATATGTAGTTACCTAAGAGTTAGAATTTACGAGACAGTATTTATACCCAATCGATCGATGTAAGATAAGCAGCGGATCAGACTGCTTGTTACTGCTACATCGTGATGACGATGGATTGGGGGAGGATGGGCTACTGATAGAAAAGATACAACGTCGATGCCCATTACATTACACTAGGTTAGCGGAGAACAAATGTAAATGCAAAATGCAAAATGCAAAATGCAAATAAAGGACCAATATGACGACCACGCCACAGCTGTTTCGCTAAAGGTAGGTACATGAACGCATATCCACGCCCATTTCCAATATATAAGAGGTACAATACATGTATGCAAGTACATTAGGTACATAGGTAATGTATCTACCTTACCCACCGATTTCCACAGGCAGGAAGTTTGGGGGTCTTGGAGTAAGAGCCATTTTTGGACTGACTTACATGTTAGGTTAGGTACATATATACTACCTACATACAAGGTCGTTATTGCAGTTTATTTCACCAATGCGCATGTATATATAGATGTACACTACCTGGCTACCTATTTGACTTATCTCCTACGGACCCGTAGTGTAAAACGGGAAGCAACATTAAAATCCACAATCCATCATCTCCCGTACATTATCACATGTCCCAGTCCCATGCGCCTAACAACCGGAGAGAATCATCGTTAGGAATAAAGCATCAAGTGTTCATTTTCCATTCTGAGCAATTATTCGGCATAATGACGATATGTTGGTACATTGCATACATTACTACATACAAGGCAATCCTCCATCCTCTATGTATCTCTCCCATCCCCCGTCCCCCGTCCCCGTTCCCCCGTCCCTACTTTAATTCAGGACGTCGGTGCCCTTTTGGCCCTCCGTTATTAGTCTTTCAAATTTCAAGTATGATATATCACTTTTTAATCCCGGCACCCGTCCTATGAACCGCTCGTCCAAGTCACAAAATAAAAAGCTATTGTTTCCATAAACCCTCCATTTCTCAACCAGTGAGCCCATGGCTTCTCGGGTTTGACAAGTCAGTATTCTATTACATATATATATTACGAAGTGCCTCGCCGGGTGAGACACGGAGATGGAGAGGCTTGATTGATGGGATTTAAATTTACCCTTCGCACGGTTCCCGTCGAGTCTTCATTCCCCATGGCCCGCCCATAGGGGGGGCAAGAAACAGAAGAAGAGAGGGCCTGGGGTCGTCAGGTCCCGCAACGTCCATAAAAATAAAAATAAAAATAAAAATAAAAGTGTATGTATGTACTCTCCCGAAAGCACTCACTCACTCACTTACATACATACCTACTCACTCACTCACCGCCGGCACACGAGTTATTAACCGAACTTTTCGAATCCGAGGCGGCAAAGGTCCGAAACAGGATAAACTGAGGAACGAAGCTAATAAGCCAGCAACCCTTCGGTACCAAGCATACGGCACTGGGGAAAGGACAATGTCCAGCCAGCCCTCCAGCCCTGTACACCCCGCACCCGCACCCCTCAAAACTTGTCTACGCGCAACTAACAGCTAACTCCGTCGCTAATTTTGAAGAGGTCCGCCGCCCAAAGAGCACTAATTTTGGGGGCCAGCACCGCTGATCCGCGTGCATCAGAACCCCGTCAACAAGAAGAAAAAACATCGCGAGGCAACGCGCCGCTAGCATACTCCCCGGCCTCCACCACTTTCCATTGTGGGTGGTGATACAGCATGATCGATCAGGGTCTATTTTACGCCGGCATGTCCCGTCTTCGTCTCGACTTACCACCATTAAATTATTCTTCTCGCCGGCCCAGAATCGGTTGGCTCGCACGAAGCCGGAACACGCTCCTTTACTCTCGTCTCCCCTTCTTTCTTCCTTCTTCTTTTCATTGCTCTCGTGTCTCATTTCTTGTTTCGTTGTACAATACCTTACAACACCTTGAGGCGGAACACGGGTAACTGCAGTGTAGCATTGGCTGGTTCTGATCTCGCTGTTTCGAGCCTAAGATCGCCTCTCGATGCGGCCCTTCGCAGTCTTAGAGCGTTCTTGGTCCTTTTACCACCTGGTGATAGTAGGCTGACAATATCTTCGACTCGCCACCAACCAACCAGAGCCATCACCATCGTCCCGGCTGCTGGGTCCTGTGGCTGCTGGGCTGCTGGGATGCGTATTTTCGGGTTTCTTCTTTCGCCCGCGGTTTGCTCTGTGGTTGCCGATATCCGCGGACATGGACTAACCATAAGCAAATCCTCCACCTCCACCTCCACCAAGATGCTTCGACATCGTCATCCCTTTGGTAAACTTCGTGGCTTACGGAAGGTTACCTCGTAATGAGTATATTTCTGATTCGCATCCTAGCAAACCGGACGGAAAGAACCGCTGTATAATTTCCCATGAAGCTGGGGTAGGTCTGTGCTAACACGTTGCTCCTCGGAATTCTTATCCGCGTGGGCGATCGAAACGAGCTATCCTTTTTAGCCTCTCATGTGTGCTCCGTTACAAATATTTGCTACACCAGGTCTTCCACGCCGTAACACGCGCGTGCGAGATCATGTTGCACAGCCCTAGCGAGCAGTAGACGATGGTCCGTCCTGTAGCTGCCCAACCGTAGTACGAGCCTAGCTTCCGACCCCGAAGCTGGTTACTGCCGCGATCGCACAACTTCACTGTACGTACGAAGTATTCTGTAGAACGATGACTCTACTATGCATCTCGCAGTGTAAGATCACGGAAAGTTACACACGTAGGCAAGTTGGAAGAAGAGAAGATAGCAAGCAAGCAGAGACTACAAAGTTGTGAAGTATGATGCGTATACTGTCCTATTAGTTTTACGTCACGATGGAACTTAGTGAGCTATGTTATGTACAAAAAGCTAAACGACGCCGAACGCTTCTCTGCGTTCTCTCTATACATATAATTCAATCCATGCTATTGAATCCTGCATTATAGGATCTACACTTCATCGGAACAACCGCTGCCCGAGTCTGTCTACAACAGCACCGATCCCTATATGTAGCAAATGAATAACTTCGTAATACTCGATACGTAACCCCCGCCCCCTCTTGTTCATGCGTCCGAATAGTACTGGTCGTCGTAAGAATGATGGTACGGCGCGTTATTAGGTCCCGAAGGGGGCCAAGCTCCGCTGGCTACGTTATCCCTCGATCCCCAGTAGTTGTCCCTAATTCGGCGTTCCCGCTCGAACTCGGCCCACCGTTTCATAGTAATCTTGCTGCTATCGAATTCGCCTTCGTACTCAATCCCGGCCTTCTTCGTCTTCTCGCCCGCAGTCTTTCGGGTATCACCCCACGAAAAGTCGTCAAACTTCCAGAAAGCGTAAGTTGGGAGTACAAAATTCCAAATTGGCAGGGAGAAGAGGTAGATAGTCATCCACACGACATATGACCACGAATGAGCCGTGACAACGATGAGGACGGCCGGAAGACCAAGAATCATGCCAAGGAGGATTAACGGAATGACTTGTACTGGGCCAATAATAGAAGAGATGACTAGAACCATGTTAGAACAGAGCTACGAGACATCGGAGATTAGGGATATGGCATGAACTTACCAACATAGAAGGTGAAAGCGATAGCTGCGGGAAGAACCAAAGTGCCCATCAACTCGATGAAAACGACAAATTGCATACTAAAGCAGAATGTACCACAAAGATCCTTAACGAGAACCAGTTCCATCAGGTTATGGATCGTGGAGTTAATCCATCTTCGTCTCTGGGAGAGCAAAACGCTGAATTCGTCGGGGACGGTAGTTTTGCAAACGGCCTGAGGGACGAAGACTTGCTTACGCTTAGGGAAAGTTCGAAGCATGAGAGTAGTCAAGTATCGATCTTCTCCAAGAAGCAAAAGATTCTTCCGGTGCAAAGTATCAACAACGTTTTCTGAATAATGCTCGACAACGTCTGGGTTGGCCAGGATAGGAACCCAGTAATTCTGCGCGCCCTTGGGGGCTTTGATGCGATACATGCAGAAACAGCCGGGAAGACAAGTAACACCACCGAAAACAGACTCGAAGGATTTGGACAAGTGATGGGAGATGAAATATTCGAAGACTTGAATAGCCGATACCCAACTCTGTCTCTTGTTGGCAATCTTGGTCTCGCCACAGAGTCCCATGATATCAGGGTCGCGAACCATCGCGCAGAGCATATGAGTCAGACTGTCGGGGAACACCTTGGTATCGGCATCCACCATGAGAACCGCTTCGTAATAATCAGGAGAAATGCCGGTTACTTTCCAAAGTCCGTTGAACATCTCAAATTCGAGTTCCGTCATGCGCTCATCAAACATAACCTTCTGCAAGAACGACATCAAGATAATTTGACTGTCACGCTTGCCTCGGTTACCGGGTTTGGACTTGGTAGCTTCGTCAGGCGTGCCACACTTGACCACTAGCATCATGGGAACCCTTTGCTGTTTTTCTACCGGAATGGCGGACTTAGCACCGTAGTCGTAAAACCCAGCATACACCTTGGCCATGTTGTGCCGCTTTGAACCACTGGCTACGGCTACGTACGAGAAACCTTGAACTTCCTCGATAGGTACAGTGTGGTCCTTCATCATACCAAGAACAAAATCGGGTGTCGTCATACTCTCGCCTTTACCCTTGATCATACCGTCGCAAATAACGAGGATGACCTTGTGGCTGTTTGGATAATCTGTCATGGCAATTGAGTCCAGCGTAGTCCTGATACCCATTTCACCTTCGGAGTAGGCCGTAACAAGGCAGATAGAGTGAATTAAGGGGAAGCCGAAGGGCTGGTAGTCAGAAGGCGGCTGGGGCACCACCGCTTCGTGGATGAATCCAGCGGGGCCGTAGCCATCCATCGGACTGGCTGTACTACCGTACGGATCAGAACGGAGCATACTCGACTTGCTGTCGTTACCCTGCTTGTACATCGAGTTAGGGTGAAGTAGAGGCCCAGTCGAGGCTTGGCTTGCCATAGTCGTCGGCTGTGGTCGTCTGGGGTTTCTATCAGTACCATAGACAGCTGAGAATCGAGACGTCGTCGGTAGGAAAGTGCTGGTACGTTTGCTCGTTCTATCAGACCCCATATAGCTGCTGCCCACGTCTCCGGGCATGCGTGGTGGTGCTCGGTAGATATCCTCAGTCCAGTCCTCGATTTGTCGATTCCGCTTCTTCTTATCGGCCGATTGCGACGTCTTAATAGCAGCATACTTGCGACTGATAAACCATTGAAATATCAGCGCCAAGCCGAATCTTGCTATAACGACGGATAAAATTAATATTAGAGACACGTAAAGAACTACTTGGGCCGCGATGCATCCGACTGTATCTGTATCTACGGTCCCAACTTTTGCGATCTCTTCGAGACACCCAGCTACTTGTTTGTCGGCGGGCTTCTGGAATGCTCGGGTGATATCGCGCCCACGAATTGCTTGGTTAGCAGGTGAGTTCGTGTCTCGCAATTCCTTAAACCGGCTCGGAATCTTGACCTCGTCTTCGTTGAACCAGTTGAGAAGGTCTAGATCAAGGACGTTACCAGAGTATACGACCAAGTTCCGCGAGCTGTTCTTTATATCGTCCCAGGTGAAGAACACATCGCCGGTGCTACGAAGTTGAAGATAGAACGTATCCCGAGCTTTCTGAGTGGTGTGGCATGCGTAACCGGGACTGTCGTACGGCCAAGTAAAATTAGGTTTAGATGAACCATCTTGGTTAAACGCTGTACACGGAAAATACCAGGCGAGCTCGTCCGGGTCGTTAGCGTTGTGCGGAACGTCCGAATTGTCCGCCAATGTAATAAGGCCTTTGCATTTACCGTTAACATTCTGGAAGAGAAAGCTGCCGTCCATGCCGCCGTAATGTGTAGGCAAATCATATAAAACATTGGGAAATGAACCGTCCTGGCGAAGTGGGATACCCTCGGCCGGAGGGTGACCAGATCTCGTCAGATCGTAGGCAGTACCATGGAATATCATGTAACCACTAGAAACGTCATTGATATGAAGACGTACACCAGGCGAGGCGCAGACGGTTTGCTGGAAGCCAAAGGTCAAGTAACCAACGAAAGCCATGATGTACAATATAAGACTGATGAGACCCATCTTTTCTCTCCAGGCCCTCTTCTGCTCCTTTGCATTAAACCCACAACATCCCAAGATAAAGTCGGGGCACCAAAAGGTAACGATGGCGCAGTATACGTTCCAAGCGCTCGGAGGACTAATAGTCTCTTGCGACTTCCGGCGCTTAGCATCCTTGGATTTGGAAATTTTATGTCCTGACGAATGCCGTTTCCGGTGTGATGCTTTGGGCTTATGCTTCTCGTCATCCCCGCTGGGTTTCCGTCGAGGAGGAGAGCTGTCCGAAGTAGCATCGATAGTCCGTTCGCCAGATAAATCTGTCCTTGCTTCTAGCTCTTCATAAAGAGGATCGTTTCCGGTGGAGGACGGAATTGTCTCCATATTAGCGGCATGTTGCCGATAGTGATAATTCGGATGGTCCTTGTCGATTCTATTCCTTTCCGGTTTTATGAGACTCCTCTTGCGGGTCGGTACACCACTAGGAATTTCATCTGGAGAAGCCGGCGAAAGAGGTGATTTGTCTGTAGTTGCATTAGGATTCCTGATTGTCTCAGCAAAAGAATTTCCCGATGGCGCACGCTGGTGTGAGGACTGCCTCCGGCCGGGAACAGGATAGTACCCGGTTTCTATATCGGAAGGACGGGCGCGTCTCGACGACGATTGTCGATAGGAAGTCCGATGTTCATACGAAGGACTCGCCGGCCCCGGTCGCTCGGGGAGCGACATGATTTTAAGTGATCAACTGAATAAGGAAGATTATTTGACGAATATTGAGCGATTATGTATATATGAAGAGTTTCGCAGGTCAAGACGTTTGCTGCTGGTTATAGCACGGACTGGCGGACGTGTCGCAGGCCGACCCTTCGCCTTGACGAGACGCGGATTGGCTCAGGGATGGCGGAGGTTGGGACCTACTAGGCACGGAACATGGTAAGAAAAGATCTGCATGAGTTATGTATGGAGTTATGTATGGAGAATGCGGAAGTTTGCTGGGGATAATAAGATTGAGATTGAGATTGAGATTGGGATTGCGAATGTTTTCCTTCTTACTTACTGATTTGTTGTGATGGGCAACTGGTGGTCGGAGTGTTCCAAGTTTTTAGCCTGCAACTAAAGGGAAACTAAAGGGAGGAGGATCCCTGCGCCAATAACCAACGATCTATGTGAAAGCTTAAACCCAGTGCTAAGTAAAGCTAAACAGGGGGGGCGCGAGTATGTATGTATATGAATGTCCGTGACCTGTGATGCCGAACTTTTCTTCAAAAACTTCCCCTTCCAACGGCAGTCAACTCTGGAGCAGTTGTTCTCTTAACGGCGCATCAGCAGAGTAAACATAACCATAAAGAAGGGTATTGTCGAAAGTCCCGTAAGCAATTGCAGAATTACGGACTAGCGGGTATCAATGGGTAACACAGGGCGCCAACTATGAAGAAGGAGAAAAGGGCTTAGCTAATCGAACCTTCTGCCCTGTAATAAATTGGAGACGGCCGATCGCATCGGTTAGACGACCAGAAATCAGGAATATTGCAGTTTAAAGCCTTGAGCGAGAGTATAGTAGCAGCTACGCAAAAAGAATGCAGTGAAACGAGAGTAAGGCAGAGGCTTGACAATAGCGACAGTAAGAGCGAAGGTAAGAGCCTCCGACTTGGTGACCCGAAGGACAATTGAAGCGATCAGACGAAGCAGTGGTGGGTGAGGATGATGATGAAAAAGGACAAATCTTGACAAATCTTGCCGTGTTAGCCACGGAGAGGAATCGGGGAAAGGGGGGGCTGCATTGCACAAAGTACAGTGTGGTCTTTAAGTTAAGTACACAGTCCATTCCATGTCACTGTAGTAACCTTACATCATCATTCTCGCATTACCTGGAGCTAAGTATCTTAATAGCTGATCCTATATGCACAGGTACAACTTTTCCACGTACCAATAGCAGTTACCTATCTTGCTCGTGTTCATCGTAAACCTCGATACGTATTTTAAGAGCATCCTAAACCAGCCCATAAATGGAATTGTGTAGGTAATTAAATACGAATATTCATGAATTTGACAATTGTAACTTTGGCTTACCGCGCGAAGCAAGGGGGAAAAAAACTTGGTATAATTTCTCAATTATATTCTAGCCGTTTGGCTATTACTAAAAGTCGGGCAAATATACTAATGTAGGCTAGACTTACAAATTGCGATATGCACATCACCTTCGATTAAAGCTTGTTAAATGCTAAGCGTTGGACTTGGCGTAGTGCCCAGGCGGCTGGGTTAAAACTTTGAGGTACAATAAGTCAGGCGGTTGTAGCAGTTGAATTATTAAGGAATGCCACCTGCCAAATTGCTTCGAAGAAAACCACTAAAGTTAATGACAGATGGATGTACCTATTCTGTATATCCAAGTACACTTTCATCGCAACGAAATACCAGGTCGTGGCGCGTTCATATTCAAGACACCCCTGCCTTAAAAAATCTCTAATGAAAATCTATAGACATGAAACAAACCGATCTAGATCTAATCTCTATGGCATGCAGCATGTATCGTCAAGATTAGATAGGTAACATACAGCCTCGACAACTACCTTGAATTTACAATTAATAAGAGCCGCAAAACAACAAACAAAGGAAGAAGTCGATGATAGAGAACACGTGACGATCTGTGGAAGGTAGTCAGTCATACCATTATGTCCCCGTTGCGTCGCCGTGTGGGTTCATGCAAACTTCAGCACGTGGTCTCAATATGACAGGTGTTTCGTGAAACGAGAAAGGAAGCGAACGGACGTCTCTGTTAGTTTCCCGAATAACTCGGCGACATGCTTGCTGGTCTTTTTAGGTAAGCTCTTTTTAGCAGCTGAAAAAAGGAAATGAAACAGAAGGGCTGGAAAGGTCCTGGACTCAGTGCCAAGACAAAAAAACGCAATGACACCATACGATTAGAGGTTGGCGACAGAGACCGGTTGTTATTCTGCTACCGCATTGAAAGCACTATTGAGTGTGCCTAAACATGGCACCCACAACGGCGCGATCCCAAGCTCAACCCCCGCTAGGAACCCGCTTGACATGACATATTTAAATGATAGACAGGAAGTGACAATAAAGCCGGCGGTTAGATAGACCGGATTGTTGCCCGATGCTATATTGGTACATGAGTGTTTGTGCATATAGCCCCAGCCGTGTTGCCGAGACTAGAAACACAAAGGGTCTTCTTTTAAGCTTGTTAACCGCTTCTGTGTACCGTATTACGCATATCGTAGTTCGTAGTATATGGTAGTATATGCGTGTACAACAGAGTACGAAAGCAGCCTTACATGAAGTAAGAGATGAAGCTAACGTACAAGTGACGCAGCAAGCTGCAGGCCTTAAATACCGACCTATACTAGATATATGCAAGTAGGATGTAAGTATGTAGGGCACAACTGGATCCCTTTGTGCGCCCGAGTTCGTATTACTGCACGTGGTGCTGTCAGCTTCAGCTTTACGAGAAGAGGGATTTTCTCTTTGCTCATTCGGGCTCATTCTAACTTGACCGATGTCGAAGATCTCTGTAACATTTCCGCTTTCGTCATCTTTCGTTATAAGCAGTTAAGGGTCTATGCTGACAACGCCGGCTTGCTTCATACGGTAACTTTGCTGTTTGACATCTAACTATAGTGGAGAAGAAGACCGCAGAAATGTGAGTACGCTCTTTGACACAGCTGAGATTGATAGGATAGACCATACCAACGTTAGCTGCTGGTTAGCTGGTTAGCCGGTTAGCTGGTTAGCTGGTTAGCTGGTTAGCTGGTTAGCTGGTTAGCTGCGTGATTGGCGCAGTCGTCAACGTTACATCCCCTACGGGTCTCGCCAGCAGAACTCTCGATCCTTCGCACGTATAAATAGACAAATCGATACATTGTTTGCAGAGGAACCACTTTATATTTAGTGTTGTCTTAAAGACAGGAAAACGTAGGCGTTATGATGGGATTTCCATAGGCTATTTGGCGTTTAACTAGGAAAGTCATCGGTTTTTCAATTCGATTTGTAACGAATTGCATATTGCACGTTACCAGAGTTGCCAGAGTTGCATACTACATATGTATATAGAGGGAAGAAGAATATTAGTACGTACAATGGAACCAATAGAACCAATGGAGCCAATGGAGACCCGTATGTTAGGTAGGCAGGTGGGGAGACTGGGGAGACTCACCAGGGCTCTTTACAAAGCCTGCAAGCCAAGATACAATACATCCACATATGTCTCCGAAAAGTCGCTAAGTATACGAAGTTACGCTATGTACCCCAACTAGGTACATGTAGCCATGTAGCCACCCCTAAACTCTCTACCACTTACCTCCGACCGACCATCGAATTTAGGTTGATCGCTTTGTTTCGTCGACCTGCAACATCCAGTCCCTCGTTTTTCTAATTACTGCTGTTTTTTCTAACATCACACATCGTACAACAACCCTACCAGCGGCTGTAGCCTCAGCTTTTTACAGCTCTTCCGCCAAAGTTTTTTCCTGTCGTTATTGCTTTCTTGTCTAGAATTTGCATCACCAATTAGACTTATTGTCTGAGATACCCCGCGGCCATAGATACAATAACTTTTTTCGATTTTTGCATTTGGTCCGACCCTGAAAACCTCCGAGCCCTGTTCCCCGTCCACCCAGCCGGCATCCCCCCGGCGTTCGCTCATTACCAACCATTGAGTTGTTATTAGAGTTATACCGGCCGAACAACCATCACTGCAGTAATTCTAGGGGTCCAATATATGTGATGTTGGTGGAATCACAATAGAAACGAGCCTGCTGCGAATCAATGCTTGGGTCTGGGCTACGGCTCTAAGGACTACCTGTGTTCATTCCTCTCTCCTCCTTAGCCATTGCGGCCGCGGATCTCCCTGAGCAATGGCTACGGTTACGAGTCCTCCGACGCCTCCGACCCCAGCTACCGCCTCTCCCGCCAGGTCTATTCAACGGAAACCTCTTCCCGTACCAAGGCTCCCTCTCGGTCAACATGATCGTACCGATTCTCAAGAGAGCTTTGCCGACAACACCCTACCGACCGATACCATGATCGAGTCGCCGAAAATCAGAGAGTTGCCCGTGTCTCCGATTAGACTAAACTTTCAGCCGGACAATTGGGCGCAACCGTCGAATGCGAGTATCGAAAGCTACCAACAGGCACAGCGAATGTCCTATCCAATGCCTGCAGCTGGCGACGTGCGAGACATCTCGGGGTCTTCAGATGCACACTTTCTTCCCCACAACAATACATATAATCAGCCCAGGACTTTGACACCTAAACAGACATTTGCTACCGACCTTCCTCATCGATCGGGGCGGGAGGGTCTTCTAAGCCCTACTCTGGCTCAGACTGAAGTAGGGTATGTGGAAGCTTCGGCTGCGCCGGAGCCAGACGGCCAAAGCTTCAGTGAGAGCTCTCGTAGCGATGATCCGAATCGACACAGTCGTGAATCAGATGCAACCGCGAGTACGCAACAGCCGACATCTACTGATTCGTCTGTCGAGACAAGCGCAAGTTCAATTTCAGGGGGTCTTAATGAAGCATGCGAGAACCAATTTATCCCAGATGAGACATTTCAAGAAGACTCTTTTACTGAGAGCTCAATACAAGACAGTCAATCAGTACCTCAGCTACAGTATCATCACCAGCCATTTCTTCCACGAGTCTCCAGCGTGCCAGTTGAGTCAAACTCGAGGAATTCCTCCAGGTCTGATATCCTCTCGGATCCGGCTATGCCTATAAATCGTCATTTAACCCCGAACTCTTTCATGAGGAGAAGTTCTATGCCCCGGCCGCAATCAGCATATTCCGAATTGGGCCCGCGCGGACGGTCGCCGAGTTACGGTGCCCCTCATGCGCGTACTCCTTCCGCCCATTCCCGCAGGTCGCCTGAAACTAGACCGACTTCCTACGCAGAATTGCTTAACGTGCCGTATCCTCAGCAAGCTCCAGCTCCCATTACATTTGATAATTCTTACCTGCGCAACAATGTTGGAAGTAACGCTTCCTTACTAAGTGCGCAGAAGACGCTGGAGATGTATAGGCAAAATGTGAAAAAGACCAACGACTTCTCTATTCAGTATTCATTCGCTATCTTTTTGATCTCTACTGCACAGGAGCAGGGTTTAGAATATGAGGAACCTTCGCGGAGAAAAGGTACTCCGAGCAAAGACAATCCGGACTCTTCGCCATTGGAATTGGTTCGGGAAGCTAAAAGTATATTGACAAGGTTGGCCAATGGCGGCTATCCCTTTGCACAGTATTATCTAGCCGATGGCTTTGCGTCGGGTCTGTTCAACAAGGGCAAGGAAGATTATAATGCGGCGTTTCCCCTCTTCGTTTTGGCCGCGAAACACGGCCACGCTGAGTCTGCTTATCGCGCCGGACTATGCTACGAATTTGGATGGGGATGTAGAAAAGATCCAGCCAAAGCAGTTCAATTCCTACGAACAGCCGCATCCAAGAATCACCCAGGCGCCATGACGAGGCTTGGAAAAGCTTGTCTCTCGGGAGACTTAGGTGAAAATCGGTACAGAGAAGGAGTTAAATGGCTGAAGCGAGCCACGGAGGCAGCAGACACCATGTATAATGCCGCCCCATATCATCTTGGTTCATTATACGAAACTGGATATGGCGACGACATTTTTAAAGATGAAAGCTATGCTGCTGAGCTATTTACACAGGCAGCCGAGCTCGGACACCCCGAAGCAAGTTACCGCATGGGAGACGCGTATGAACACGGTAAACTAAACTGCCCGCGAGACCCAGCCTTAAGCGTTCATTTCTACACCGGGGCGGCAGAGCGTGGCCATGCTGCAGCCATGATGGGGTTATGCGCCTGGTACATGGTCGGCGCTGATCCCATCTTGGAGAAGGACGAGGAGGAAGCCTACGAATGGGCTCGTCGATCAGCAGAACTTGGTAAGTCACCAGTTGGATATCCGCAGTATCTTAGTATATTACTAACCGGGCCATCGTAAGCAGGCTTCGTAAAAGCTCAATATGCTGTTGGTTACTTCACCGAAATGGGCATAGGGTGCCGCCGCGACATTCTCGAGGCCAACGTTTGGTATGTCAAGGCAGCTGATGCCGGTGATGAGCGAGCCAAGCAAAGACTCGCTGCCATTCGGGCCGCTGTGAGCGGCGGCGGGACGCCTATGGACGTCGCCCCACCACGTAACGCGAAGATGAGAAAGAACCAGACGAAAGACGACAAGGATTGCGTTGTAATGTAATACGTTCATACGATGGAGCTCGCTAGTTACGAAATGCTGGGGATTTTTGATGATCAAGCCCCGCCGTCAAATACCAGACATGTCTATGTTGGAAACCGTGCAGTACTCAGCAAGCAGTGCACCTTTTTTTTTTTTTTTTTTTTAGAATATCCAATGTCCCAACCCCTATTCCAGGGGTCTTTAAGTTGAGGAGGCTGATTTCGAAGCAACACATGGGGAGATTCACGTGGTAAACATAACGATTGTGGGAGGCAGGAAAGCAGGAAACTTTCATTTTTGTCCTAGACCAAAGGATTCCCCCTTCTTTTTTTTTGTCGAGGGTCACGGGCGGCCGGGTTCGCGTTCTTCTGGCACAAACCAAAAATCATTGCATTTGCATGTGGTGCGAAGAAGGGTCACGGAAAAATATATCGGGTTGGCAGAAAGGTGGATAGCCAGTTCCGGTGTATTTGCTGATCCCAGGCTTGTATCACAAAAGGCGTTCGATCACCATTTTCCTCTTTTACTTTCCCTCCAATTGTCTACGCGTTGTTAATAAGATGAGACGGGTTGAAATGGCACGGGGCGGGTTTGACGTACTGATTCGAAACCGGTAGTTAGAACGGCTGTGGTGGTTGGATACTTACACATATGTGTCCTCCATATCGAGCTGGTTAGCATCGCAGACACTCGGCGATTCGCACACACATCCTCTGCCACGGTACTGTTGTATATATCAGGAGAACCCCGATTAATGATACTCGCCATGCTGCATACCTAACCTAGGTAGGTAGGTACGCAGTGTGGGTTGACAATCATGGTCAACCACTATTTAAATGCAACTTTCGTGATGGCAGTCTCATTTATTATCCACAAGAGCCATCACTGAACGTAAAACAGTCCTGTATATTTTATCATTATTGTATCCTACTTATTAATACATAATACTACGAAGTACGCCAAGTCGTAAGAGACTAGAAAATGTACCTAAACAACGAGCACAATAAACACATGAATTTTCAGATGGGCTTTGCGTACGTAAACCCACGCTTACACCTCTCCCCCTTCTTACTTTCGGGCGTCGTCTCCCCCGTGCTGGATAAAGCACATGCTTATCTAAACTTCCAACTCTGTTTTAAAGTCCACGATAACATACATGCATACGTATGGATGGGCTGATGCATCGGCCCACGAGAGAATTAAGACCTGAGTTTAAGAAGTCTTCGAACCCCGGTTAAGATACCTATCGATGAGAGACTACTTCCGGCCTGTTTATATCTTAGAGCCGTAAACTATTATAATATGCTGTCTTTCACATATCATCAACTCTAGCATGGTTATGATTTGTCTTGACCTATATAAAATATAAAAGACTCGGATTGAGATATACTTGTATGTGGAAACAAGAGGTAGCCAGTCACTACCAATAGCTCTATTCTCACCATATAGCCCCCCGTGGTTTAGGATACGCTGAATATAGCTTTATGGTATGAATAATTCATAGTTCTACTCAAGAGCATTTTCAAATCAAATGGGTAGTTGGGCAATTTCGTCTGCTTCTTTTGAGCATCAAATAATAATATGAAACCTTATCATTAGACACGCCGCGTCTCCGTTACGTTCAAATCGAATAGAATAAAATAAATATGTATATGACCCCATATAACGCCATGCGATGGGACCTTAGGCTCTTGGAATGAACTATTAATAAACACGAACGCCCCGTCATCACTCGTGACGTCGGAAAAGCACCATAACCGATCGCTCCCTCTCCCCCCCTCTCTCTCTGTGTGTGTGTCTTACACACACACACTTTTCTCTCAGCACTTTTACGCGCTCCCTTTGGTAGACTCGACTTCGCTGCCCAGTTCCCCAGGCCTCTTGGGATCAACGACAGCCGAGTACCTCTCGTCGCCCCAGCGAGCTCCGATAGTGACCCAAACATGCTTGCTGGGCCCGCTGCGCATAGTCTCGCGGCAGCCCGTCCACTGCTGTCGACGCTCGCGATCCATATTACTATTGCCCAAACCACCGTTCACGACCCACTCCTTGATGATATTCTTGATGAACTCGATCTTTCGGCGGAAATCGTTGGCCGCGGGAATACCTTGTAGCATGGGGTTAATCTCCGGTCGCTTGCGTGTAGCGTTACGCGTTGGTCGGATAGTCGGCTTAGCAGCAAAGTTTAGGAGGGTCTGCAGCGGATAAGACAGAACAGCTCTCTCATCAAGGGCAGTCTCGTCTAATTCGCCCGTAGTTGCCAGCTTCTCGGCTGCTTCCTGTGGGAGGTGCCAGAAGTGACACCATGTTCCGGTCGCGTCGAGGACAATCTTCGTATGGTCGGGGAAGTTGAATTGGAGATGGCCGTCGGCAAAGACCCAACAGCCTACGTCTCCAATTCGCTGGTAGAAGGTAACAACGTCGCTCGGGGGCATCGTCTGCTTGGTAGATGTGGGAACCTGTACCAGACCGGTGTCGTCCGTTGTAGCGTCTTGATCCCGCCCGTACGCCATCATGTAGTTGGCAAACTTCTTCCATAAGATAAGATGCTCCCGCTTGCGATAGTCAAAGATATCGCGGCCCACTGGTATCTTCCCGGGGGTTCCATCCGGGCCTATGCTGATTTCGAACTGCGCAGGATGGACAAAGACAGTAGATAATCCAGACTCGCCGTTGTTCTCGTAGAATTGTACCGCCTGGCTCATGGGAACAATCTGATTCCGATCAGGATATCCAGGATCGTGCCGTCGCGAGCAGTGCTGTTCGGCCTCCCGAACTAGGATGCAGCTTGGCGGTAGTGTAACCGTCTTGCCTCCTTTAGCACTACCAGGTATGCTCCTGAGCACGCAACCAACACTTCCATCGTTCAGGATATAACCCAGACCAAACTTGTTGGAGTAGTCTACCCACTTAATGACGATATGTGGTGGCGTTGGTGTTGGTCCTTTGCCCATAATAGCCATCGATCTAGAGTTAAGGGCACGCTCGAGTTCATTTTGCAAACGTTGAAGTCTGTCTAGCACAAAATCGGGCTTTGTATCCGGTACCGCCATCTTGCGTTCTGCAGGTCCAAATAAGGTCCCCGTAGGAATTTCCGTAGGCACCCTCGTTATTCTAGACGTTGCCTCTCGCTCAGTCTGCTTCTGAGGGGGTGCTTTCTCCTCTAGTGCCGGGGCAGGCAAACGCGCCTCCGCTGCTTTGGGTTGTTGTGTGGTTGATGATAGAGTTAAGGCGGCTACTTTTGATGCGAGATTATTCTCTGATGTGCTCTGAACGAGTTCTCGCCTCGGGCGTGACGATCGCATAGTGCTAATAGCACTAGGTGCGTTCATATCATCCAACGTACGAGATCGTACTATACCAGATGGTTTTGTTGGGCGACTTTGCGCCCGCTGCTGTGCTGCAAAACTCTGAGGCGGCGCTCGTAATAAACCGTTGACTCCTCCTTGCATTCCTGTACTTTCATCTTCTTTCTTCGAAATAGGCTGCGGGACCGCGCGGGAGGGTACTTGGACGAGATTTTGCTCTCTGCTAACATCATCGTAAGGTCTATAAACAATTCCTTCCACAAGTGGAATAACCGGAGTGAGTCCAGCTTTTTCTTCCAGTGCAACTTCTCTCCAAGTGCTCTTGTAAACTGATTGAGCGCTGTTCCAAGGCCCAACCTCACAGCTCCTACACATCTCCTTTAGGTTACGCATATTCTGAGCGGCCATCCGCGATGTTAGTTCCTTGTCGTAGAATTGATTTCCCTCAGGTGGATAATCACGTAGTTTTATTGTTATTTCTGCCGACGTTGGGACATAGCCTGAGAGGAAGAAGTCGTGTTGGACGATAGTGTCAGGGTCGGGCCGTAACTCGGCCTCTTCCAACATGGTAGCGACGACATCCTTCGCTTCCTCAGAGATATACTTGTTGGAACTTTCTGGTTTAGGCCATTCATAGTCCCGATTTTTGGCACGACGATAGATCTCATCCGTTGTTGAAGATTGGAAGGGCGGCTTGGACGTGAGCATGGCAAACCTATTACCGTCTATTAGTTATGAAAGTTATGAATCACGAACAGGATGATATGTTTGACTCACATGATGATACCTAAGCTCCATATATCGACCATATGGTCATGTCCTTTCTTCCCCTTCTCCAAAATCTCGGGTGCAATATAATTCGGTGTTCCGCACAACGTTGTACGACGAATTGTTTGCATGTCTTTGCCTGTAACCAGCAGTGCCGCCAGGCCAAAGTCGCCAATCTTAGCATTCATATCTTTATCGAGGAAGATATTGCCCATCTTCAAGTCTCGGTGAATTATGCCTTTGGCATGCATGTACTTGATGGCACCAGCGATCTGTATCGAGTAAAATCGCACCTCGGGTTCTGTCAATCCCTTCCTTCGCTTAACCATATCCATCAACGAGCCATTAGGACATAGCTCCAGAACGAGATAAGTACAGTTCTCAAAGGAAAACGCCCTGAGAAACTGGACAATGTTTTGGTGCTTCATTTTAGAATGAATTTGTAATTCGGTTTGGAACTGCTCGAGTGGTTAGTCTTGAGGATAGCCAGCAGCTGTCCTCTAGTGATCACCAACCTTTTGCTCCATCTTAGACGGCATTTTACTCCTGACGATTTTTAGTGCATACTTCCTCCTACTTTTACTCCCTGCGAGATATCCTTCGTAGCAGACAGCGAAGCCACCCTTCCCAAGCATTTTCCCGACTTGATACGCGGCTCCATCCTTGCGATCAAAGCTCGGCGGCTCGTAGACAACGGCAGGGGGCTGTGGCGGGGGCTCCTTTTCCTTCTGGACAACTTTGGGGGCCGGCATCGCTTTAGCTTTCGCAACGGCTACCACCCGGTTTGGGAGCTGAGCATTAGCATCTCTCGGGGACAAGGCGTCCGCATCAGCTGCCAACTTCGCTGCCAGAATTCGGTCCGCCATCGGGATGCTGTGCTGATGAAGTACACAAGATCAAACTTAGAAAGAAGCACGGCACGGCTGCAGCTTAACGGACGGTCTTTTATGATGATGTTGAAATTCCTAGACGCGACTGTTAGCACGTTTTACTAGTTACAGTGGCAGTTCGTAACAAATAAGAAAAGTCTGAATTTTCAAGGTACCATATAAAAAGGTACCATATGAAGAGGCGTGTGTAACTCGAATTAGGTCAAACCCAAACTTCTGAGTTTCTACGGCAGTGATGATGGTCCTTTTGGAAAGTGCGCGCGGTTGCTGCGGTTGCTGCGGTTGCTGCGGTTGCTGCAATTGATGAAACAAATAGGCGGTGTCACTTACACGTCTTGAAGAGCATTTGAGTTAATATAAACTCTTTTTTAAAATAAAATAGAATAAAATAGCAATTGTCGCCGAAATCGAAATTCGTCGAGCCAATCCCTCGCAGCAAAGGTGTTGTGAAAGAAGCAAGAGAGAAAGCTAGGTAGGTACGGATCTGTATTATGCATCTAGGTAATAGGTAGGTACAATATCATTAACGATCCGGTGTTGGACCAAAGAAGCAACGTGCACATAAAAAAAGTGGCCCATTCATTTACAAGTAAACGTTGGCGTCGTTGGGGAGGCAACCGCTAAAAACTTCGGTGCTTATCCAATCAAGTGTACCCCTCACCTCGGTGCGATCCACAGGTGCTATCGATAAGACGAGCTTCAGCTTCGTTGCTCTTGTAGGTGGGGAAGTAGAAGGTGCTTCTAACGATAGGTACCCTAGCGATACCTTAGCGATACCTTAGCGATAGTGGACCTTAGGTGCCTACGAAAACTTCCTAATACATAACCCAACCGACATGTTTGCTATCCGCTAAACATCCGAATTCTTACTCGAATCTCACGGTCCATACTACCGAACCGAAACCTACTTCCTAAAGGAACCGAGGCGAGATGGTTGCGCTGCCGTTGTTTAAATTAGCATCCTTGTTCCTAAGGCATATTTCCAAATATGGCGCTGTACGGTCATGGCTTAGTTCGAAAATGTAGCGTCATGAACCAAGTGCTGACGACAATGATCAGAATCAAATCAAGGTGCAAGCCCATGACCATCCGCGCTTCCGCCGTCTTGCTGCCAAGTATGGCCAATCGATTCACCAGTTGAACATGCGTCTATCCGTAGCATACCTAAGAAACGTCGAGGCGGAAACAAGAGCAAAGGAGAAGGCCGAAGCGCCGACAGTGAAAACGAAGGAGCAAATAGCGAAGGAGGAGGAAATTCGTGCTAAGCACGGCACGACAAACCAAGAGACTCGTACCCAAAAGTCCTTACCTATAATAAGCGTCTGGAAAAGGAAATTTAGGCCTCTCCCAGAAGCTAAGGCGGTCGACCTCTTTGCGGATGTGGTTGGAGATGCCTTCATCCTTTTCGTGGCCACGATTTTGATATTATACGAATACCACAGGTCCTCCCAAAAGCCGGACCCCAACCTGGAAAGGCTCAAGGAGCTCAATGCCCGCTTTGACGAGCTTGATAGGAGAGAAAAGGAGCTCGAAGAGGCCGAGAAGCGTCAGCAGAGCCGAGTACTGATACTCGAGGAAGCTTTAAGGGGATTTAAAGACCCAAAAACCCAGAAGCCACTCTTGCCTCCAGCGCCTACGGCATCACCTCCTGCTTAATAGGTAGACAGTAGCTGTAGAGTACAGGTCTATACTACTTGGGTAATTGGTATATCCTTACCATACCATATGATCTAACGAATGTATAACAATTATATATGAAAGCCGGCGTTGCTAGATGGTTATGGGCAAAGATAGAACTGTGTGCCTATGAAAGCTTAGTAGAGCACAAGTATCAGCCCCCCCCCTTATATATTGGATACCACTCCTATATATTTCAACACGATATATTCACTATTACTTGAACATTGGACCGCGCCTCAGCTCTTTACTTAACCAGTTCGTCGTCAATGTTCATTATGGTATCATCATGTGGTCAGTAATGAAGAATGGAAAGAACGACATGAAACCTTGTCCAGAAAACTAAGCTACATGTAGTATTTCATACAATCAATTGACTTTACTTGTATTAGGTAACAAGTGCATAATACTACAGATGGGCAATAGCCTAGGTACGGAAGGAACAGCTGTCTGCATATAAACTTGAGAGTCAGAACTCAAGGTTTAGAGCGTGTACCAACTTCACCTACGTACCTTAGGTAGACTTTAGTTCCAACATCTCAAGTTAGTTACATGTAAATCTTCATTTACTTTATACAGCCACAATCTACGACGAGTACTACGGAGTTCCAATTACATTGCCTTCCAACAGGTCATAATCGAACGTGCAAATGTCGAATCCTTTAGTCTGCTACTCCTTGCGTAAGCGCCCAGTTTGGGCCTCCTTAGCCGAGGCGCTTCTACGGGGAGGCAACAGCACCAGGTGGAAAGGTACATTTATAGAAATGCCTCAACAATCTATAACCCGTCGCAGGACAGCGCTAAACCCAGATACCAGAGGCTAAACTTGATACCCACGATGTGGCTCTCCCTTTACCGAATCTTGGCGGTACACCACAAGGGATTCTGCGGGCTATTCTGCTGTCGCCGCCTGACGTTGGTAAGATTGAAAGTCGAACCCGGATCCAACGACTATTTCACCTAAATGGAGGGCAAGACATCGCGATCGTATTCTTGCTTCAACAAGAGCAGGGCCAAGAAAGCCCTATGACGGCGCTTATGACGCTTCAGCTACTGTGAGATATAGTTCTTCTCCTTGGTATCTCTAGTACATATGTTGTCCTAGTGTGGCTAGGCTGACAAGATATAGTCTTGTCGATGAATTTGAAATACCTATCATCTTCGTTAATTCAGTTCAGGACGTATCGATCAACTTGATGGCATTTCATCGTCAAATCAGTATTAGCAACGGACCCCGAAGGACGGCGAACCCAGTTCAAACTCTCCTCCCGCATTGCTCTGACGGACAACTTCTGTCTGGGCATGCGGTTAATGTCCTAACTGATCTCACGTCCAGCTTTAGAGATTTAGTAGAAGCGGCGTTGACGCAGGCAGGACAGATGAAGATGGCGGAATTCTTAGGAAGTGACTCGCAAGGCATTGCCTCCTTCTGGGCAAACGAATATCTGGTTGAATGATGGGTCCTTGTACGTCGGTGGTTTCCTCTGTCAATACTGATATTGCATTTCGGATTGGCTACAGGATCCAGCCCCTAACTGAGATTGCTTATAACGTATGAGCTGGGTGGATGCAGCGCGTTTGAAGAAACTAGCAGTGCCATATCGAAGCAGTGAGCTTCAAAGTGAGGCATAGTGAGAGGGTTGGCGGCAACCCAGGGCTAAAAAAGGTGGCCGTGTCAACGACCAGATCAACCCGTAGGAATTAGACTCTTACGTCTTAGCGCTATAGTAATGAAAATATCCAATTAGTGAGTTCTTACGTGTATGCATACTAATAAGTGTCCTAAGCGCCGGGGCCAGAGGTTTGGCGGGCAAAAGCATTACTGGATCGTAATATGACTGGTCAATGCGGGTTAGATAAAGATCGGAATCGACTATACATAGATACGAGAATAAGACTACTTTTAGAGAGGGGCTATGTTGACGTCAACAGAGCAAAATGGAAAAGGTTGTGATAGTGACTTGGATGGCTACCGGCATTCGGGAACAGAATATTCTTTAATATGTAAATTTGTCACTTACTCTTGACCGATAATAGATATAATAGATACCTACGTTGCAGGTGGAGTAACATGCACATGCACATTGCTTTTCTTTAACAGACGTGCTTGTGGGGGTTTAGGCATTAGGGAGGGTAACATGGACTCGCTTACACGTTGGGCGAATGCTACCTAACATCTTCAACGTTCCTGATCCGTGTTAATGGGTTTGTATGTAGAGTTGGAATAACTAAGAACTAACAGATCGGCCTTGAATCGACTTGTGATGGAGCCAGTAATAGTTGATACTTTACATAGACCTGTCAACTTGAATGTGGATGGTTGACGCCAGGGCGGTAACAGCAGGGAAAGTCTTATTGGATAGAATTTATAAATGCCCCAGGTAAGCCACTTGCTTCTCCCCGCGCATGTGGCTTTCCGAGTAAGCGAGTCCAATTAGAATTCGGCAGGAACCGCCGTTAAGAATAAAGTTGGCCAATTAGAAATAATTTCACACAGATTGTTCTAAATGTCTCCATTCGTCCCCATTTCGCTTGCGGCACACCGCATATTACTATGTACAACACTTGCATACCGCATCCAACTTACGCAACGTAGATCGAATTGGCCTGTAAATCTCCCCGGTTCCCGCTACCTACACTACATATGTTCAATCACCTGACGATGCAAATCGAGACTCATCAGCTATCATATCATCAAGACGCTAACGTGCGGTGATAACTACACTAAGTATCTAGTATTACTACATAGGTAGGTAATTATTCGCTTTTTCTTGTTTTATTTTTTTGATAGCCCTGTAGTGTACATAAGGAACGGAAAATGGGGAAGACCTCGGCACAACTATGTGTTGTCTGGACCTTCCATAGCCGCCGCCTCGCTTAGAACTGGCAAGTCGATACGGGTTAGGATTCACTCGTACTTACACAGCCATAGAAAAATTGCATTCTTCTCGGGTAGGCTCAAACGTGGATTGAGACAAGCCGGAATCCAAAAGCTCGAAATCCAAAAGTCAATGAAGGAATCGCAACTGGCTGGTGTTTTTATTTCTAAGGTAAATGCGGTCGGACCTCTATCGAGTTCTCAAACCCTGGTCTATACCCCTGTCCTAATAACCCCTGATGTACCCCTCAATTTGGTATAGCCTCCCGGGTGACGGAGATAACCCTTGCCGCGAACGGCTGGTTGATCTTAACTAGTCGCTTCCAAACCCGATCTGCCTCAGTGTTTTCCCCTACGAAACTCCCCGTTGTTTGGAAGTTCTGGGCATTCCGTTATCCGAAGGGGCACGTCTCAAATTTGAAATGCCTATGTACCCAGCTGGCCGGAATCACTGCCTCAATCTCAATTGCCCTGGCCTTTAATGATCTAACGTTCGATAGTCGATTAGCGGCCAACCTAAGCCAGTCGAGGCGTCACGAGGGGCAAGCAGAGGCTCGGATAAGGAGCTATCCACGAGGTGAGATTGAGAGTGTTCTTGTGTAAAAGCTTCGAATTGCCGGGGTGATGAGGGCTCAAAGAATATGGAGACTTTGGGAATAAACCACATACATAACTTCTTTATCCCATCTAATCCCTGAAAACAGGGATTCCAGAGATGGGGGGAGATTGGGGTTGTTATGCAGCGGAAGCACCCAAGAAAAGCTTCTTATTGGCTATGCAAATAATTGTAGCCGCCGACGAAAAGCCCAATCACATTGGTCTCCCTCGATAATGGCTATTCTCTACGACCGTCCTCACGGCCGCAATACCCAATATACCAAATACCCAATACCCATAGCCACAAGTATGCAGCATTACCGCCTATTCATGTACCCGCACATCCGGGCCAAGCAGCTTGGTACTCTTTTTACCCAATCGACTGCTGGTTCACATATTGTATCCAACCTGGTTTGTCCAGCCCGGGCAGCCCAGGTTGTGATGAGAGCTGCTACGGTCGATAATCGTCAGACTCTAAACTATTTTGGGTTATTTGTTATTCGCCCATTCTGCACATCATGAAGCAGGGTACAATATGTACGTAGGTCTTCTCTACATAGATCTTGGCTATCTAGGTATTGGTTCTAAAGACGGCGGTCTCGGGATGGGCTGGTGATACTCTATGCGCTTCTTGAAAGACCCACCCTTCCTGGTCTCTTTCTTAAACCCTCTACATGCCACCTCGTGCCTGGAGACTTTTAGGAGTTCCCATTCCATACATCAAGAAACTCGGGACACCTCCTAAGTATCATCACCCTGTTTGATCCTCAACCCTTCTCCCATGCGACGAGCTTGAGCTTCACAAGCCCCCCGGCACTAGAACGACTTGGACGAGCTATGAAATTATGACATTGTGGAGCAACTACGAAGACTTAGAGATACAACTTCAAACACTACCTTGCTCTCTTATATCGCCTCAACCCAGTTGACACTCCACTGCTAGATAAGGTTGCGGATCATATACACATCAATTCATAGGCAGGGGCCGTAAAGGAGTCGTTAAAGATTTTCGATGCCGCTCGGATGCATGCTGGAGTTATAGACAAGATCTCAAGAACGTGGGTCTCGAACGAAGCTTAGCACTGTCGGCCCAGAAACGCCAGATACACGATACAACCCCGGCTCAGATCAGTCGGTCCTGACACGAGCCTCCCTCAACGGGAGCACAGCTCCCGGCAGGGGATAAGAGAGCTAAGGCTATCGGCCCTCCAATATAGCTTTTCAGTGCCCCATCCGGGCTTGGATATTCCCTAATTAGTCCCCATCTCCTCTTCTTTTCTTCTACTTCTCCCTCTTGGCTGCCAGCGCTGTGCACTCGCCGTTGATAACCTTCTTTAATATCGACACTTCTATTCTTCGCCAAGCAGGTCCGGCTACCTGGCATTTCCATTCACTTCACGATTGTTGATTTTTCGAGACGGCATTACCTTCTCTCGTTCGCTAGTCAACATTCGTTTGCACCTGGTGTGTGTTTTGTTTGGATTCTTTAGGAGGGCTGAGCGATTGGATCGTTTGGGGCTTCAGGAAGAAGAGAGAAACTAGGACGAGAAAGAGCTTTGGAATATCGAAGAACAAAAAAGGACCGATTTTTATTGAGGAATTCTGAGAAGGAATTTTCAAAATGGGAAAGCTTATCAAGAACCACTGGGCCAGACTCATCGTGCTCACAGCCGCAGCTTGTATGTGTTTTAATACTACGGGAATCTGCGACACTACTAACAGTCTCTTAGATCAAGTTGCTGCCGCGCTCGAAGCATTCTTCTGGCCTAAGATATTCTTCGACTTTATGACGAAAGCATTAGACCCGGCCGTTAAGCCGGTTCCAGCACTGCAAATCGTAAACCTGATTTTGGGGATATTGATATTTGCTTGGGAATGGCCGTTGAATCTGATCGCCGGATCATCGATCCACAGGAGCATGGAGGCTCGTCTCGCTACATATCCGCTTGCTGCACTCGCCTCGATTCTTATCTACCAGGGCACCAACGCGGCTATTTACTATCTGGTGGCAATGATGGCTTACTTTTGGGCATACAGTGAAGGCGAGGTATGTTTATTTCTCAATCTATACGTCATGAATCTTAGAGCATCAAAAGCTAACCCGTCAACTAGATTGTGTGTGCCAAACCATGGACTTTGCCACAGCGAGGCCGCTCCGGGGGATCCAAGGCGTAGAGGTAGAACGGCGACTGCCTCACTCTTGGCCAAGCAAAATGCACCCGGGGCCGCGTGTGCACGGCAACCTAACTTCTATTTTCACCCCTTTATCCTTTACGTACGCTCCCCTAGTTTGACGTGGGCGCTAATCCTCGAAATACCCCTAATGTTGTGAGGAAGGGAGGAAGCGAGATCCCCCGTGCATATGAGCAGCAGGCTCTTATTTCTCCTTCTAAGGAATGAAATACCCCGATGTATATGCATATATAATCACTATCTATTAAATAACGAAGAAAGCATATATTGAAACTACCCTACGTGGTCCCTTTTCCCTGTCTTGTGGAACTATGGCATTTGCAGATATACACAACATACCAACACCGGCGTTTACCAACCTGCTTTTTGGGCTTTTGACGTTTCTGATTTTTTAGGATTTTACAAAGTTCCTGGGGGGGGGGGTGTATACGAGGAGGACGAATTATGACGCTATTCCGAAATGTTGTGGTCCTGGTCTTGCTTGGGGTTGGCCCGATGTCGAGGACGGGTTTACGATATGATTACTACGCATACGGAATTGCCTATATTCGGAAGCGCTGGGCAGTGGCGGTGAGGCAAAGGTTACCATCCATCCATACATACCTACATACATACATAACCTATCTATGTACACTACTTTTATAACTACACTACATCTCAAACATCTCGCCATGTTCGCATGTGGCGCCTACACAGCAGTTTCTCAATGCAGTGCAATACAGTAAGTCGGCGATAATACGTACCAAAGAGTTGTGAAACCTTGCACAAATCCAAATTCAATCTCGTATTCGATAACCTGTCTTCATTAGAAACGGAAATTGGAAACAGAGACGCAAGATGTCGTTCCATGGTTGACATGCAAAAAAAGGAGGAGTGAAGCTTCGTCGTAAATTTTTCACGGGGTAGAATCGCGCGGACCTAGGCTTCGTCGTTTCAGATGCTGGCAATTTGACTGGGTTACGAAACGCCATGTGGATGAGTGTGGATGAGATGAGGCTCGGCCGAGAAGACCAGGATTGGGTTAGTTAGAAGGTAGGTATATAGCTAGCCATTATGAAAAAGCCATTTAATTGACATCATAAGGAATAATAGATTATCTTCACATTATTCACATAAAGATTCACTTGGTGCATTAGTTAATATTCGATCAACTTATTTCGCTAAGATTTATATGTCGCTAGCTACGACTATTTTGCAGATCTATCGCCATAATATTACTCGTTAGCTAGTAGATGATAGCTATTCCACGAGTATAACATTCGAAATCCGCCTTCGTTAGAAAGTCATTGTAACACTTAGTCAATGACATCCCTAACTCACCTGAGCGCTGCTTTCCCAATCGATAGCTTGACGCCGTGCAATGGAACAGCGTACCAGGTTGCACCGAGCGCTGTCGGTGAGTTGAATTACGACTCTTATCTGGAAACCTGACCAGTAACAATGGAGCCTCTCTGAGCGTCATTCTTGGGTCCCTGGCGTTCGGGAAACTGGTGCGATTTATTGTCAGTAATCGTGCCATTCTCTACTGTTGGGCTATAGGGGAGGCGGCCTACCTCAGACTCCTGAATTGTGCCAGACTCTAGTATCTTCTTGATAACCTCATCCTCGTTGGAGACACCAAACTCGTTCTCGAGTGTACTATTGGATGCTCCGTCCATCTGGCCTTGATTTCCTTGTCTGTTGGACATATCATGTTAGCCGCTGTCGGCAAAGCTGGACATACGTTGGGGGCGTGCATGAGTTGGATGGGGTCTGTGTTGGCTCCTGGCGTCTAAGGCGAGATTTGAGGTAGCATCTCGTTGGTCTATATCTTTCGCCGGGTTGCGGCTTGGGTCGCACGCTTGGGGGCCGAGTGTTGCAGAGATGAAGTGTGGGTAACACCGGTTCAGCTTGTAAGCGCCGGGGCGGTTACCGGTTGGTGAAAGGGGCTGGCCAACTGCATTGCCTCATCACAGCCCGCACCTTTCATGCCGCCGCCGATTATGGGCCATATATATCGTGGTGTCCTTGGTAAAGGTAGAGTGATATTGTGCTTGGAAAGGCAGGTTGTTTAAGAGGGGAAGGATGGCATGGCTATGCCAAGGTAAAGACTTACTTGTGTGTCACGAAGATCTTGAAGGCAGAAATGAAGTGAGCCATGGGAACAGATTTGTCGCTTTTCCACTTCTTGTAGGTTTCGATGTCATCGATGAAGATGATGAAGTCGTCCTCCTTGCCCTTGTAGTGGACCTTGACTTGGGTGGTTTCTCCTTTAGTCATGTTGGGCGATTTGTGTTGGGACTGCTTAGGGGTAGGTAGGTCAGATTGGTATGTTAGATGTGAAGTTGGAATAGATATGAATGTCGTGGGTAGTCGTGGGTATCAAGCTGATGGTTATGTTGTCAAGAGATGTTGGAATGGATGGAGTAACAAAGGAAAGTATGAAGAAGTAGCTCTAGGCTACCGAAGCTTCAAATACGCTACCGGAAAGCTGCTGTTTCCCTGTCTAGTCTGCACATTCGATCATCATGTGGCATGCTCTTGCTAAATAATAGCAACTACGTCATCATTCACCTATTGATTTACGTATTTACGTACAAACGGGTAGCTACCCCTCTGATCGTATACTGTTTGTTCCTGCGTCAGCTCCCCGCGAAAATGACTTACGTCACAGGCGGAGCTTATGACAGGGATCGACAAGTCAATTTACATAGAAGCTCTTTGTCTTAGCCCCCTCCCTTACCAAGTATAAACAACCTTTCCTTGTATCCTACGTATTAATTTAGGTACGTATGTACCTACCCTACGCAGAATGAGGCTAACACGAAGGCTCTGGAATAAAGTGGAAAAGACACATAGTTCCAGTCCAAGCCGTCAAGGGTACTTGGGTACATGTCCCCTAAAAAGGAGATCGATGTTATGTACCTATGTAGCTTACCCAAGCTGCCAAGGTACTTCGTATCGCCGCATTAGACGGGGGCTACCGGATATCACCCAAATAGTATACTGACCTACGTATGTAGTAACGTAAGGTGGTGAGACAGGTAAGGCTGCATTCCATGAGATAAACAGCATATTGTTACTAGATTCCGGAATACCGGTATAACCGCTGGGTTGGCTGGCTGGCAGGCAAAATACCGCCGCTCGCAAGTAACACAAGAACTTTCATTGTTCTACCTAACTAAATTGCTCCTGGGTATAATCATAGTTTGTCTAGGTCCGAAAGCCTGACGAGGCAACTGATAAAAAAGCAAAGCGTTTCACGGAATCCGGTACCGTTCCCCTGCCATTATGGAGAGAGAGAGAGAGAGAGAGAGAGGAAAAGAAAGAATGGTATAATCCCAAGCCAAAAGCCGTCCAGAACATGTATCTATACCCAACCCTGTTATCAATTATTGAAGTTGCCTTCCCTCATCTAAAGAAGCTTCGAATGCCAGACGCCACCAGACTCCTGTTGATGGCGCCGACTCTTGCCCACTTGTTATTTATAGGCTTAATATTAGTTAATGTTTCGTGTAGACGATGTTTCGCTCCAAGTCCGTGGTAGATAGCGTCTTCATCCCCAATGGATGACGGAGAAGATCCTGTTGAGAGTGTCGTCTGCCTGCTATCCCGTCGAGTGTGCCTAGATGATGGTGACGATCGTAAAGTATGAGCGCTCATTCCATCTCCTAGCCAATCTAGGTCGAATTTCAAAGGCTCGAGCTTCAATGTTTCTGGCTGTATGCACGCATCAATTGCCGATGAAATATCCGGGTTGGGATTACCAAGATGCTCGACCTCATCCCGAATCATTGGAAGTCTTGGCTTGATATCCCCATCAGTTGTACTGACTCTAAGGAGTCTAGACTTTGGTTTGTCACTGTTTAGACGGGGAAGATTGTCAACAGAGCCGTTGTAATGTGGGAGCTCCTCTTCGCTCGACTTTGGTACACTGGCAGCGCTTATGGAGCGCTTCGTAAAAGAGCTTGTGATGCTTGCGACGCTCAACTTTCGCATAACAGTCGAGGCTGAGCTACGGACAAGGTGCTCGCTTTTCGAGCGATATGTTATGCCGGGAAAAGGTAACACCTTGCGGCTCCAGACATCGGCTAATAAAGCCTCAAGGCGAGCTCGCTCTCCCCGGGAAGGGGTGAGAACGGGGATACGAGAATTGGTCGTCAGCAGCGATTGCGAGCGATTGATTTGCGGGGGGGTCGACGATGAATTAGCCTTCATCGTACTTGTATTTTTAAGTATAACTTGGCACAATGGCGATTTCGGCCCAACGGTAGTGGCTCTATGAATGGAAAGACGACGAGCAACGGTGCCTGTGGTTGGAGTTAGAAAACATCTCAAGTCTTCTCAAGTCTTCAAATGTGAACTCTGTGCCTACCTGGTTTTCCAAAGATTGTTCCAAGACTTTTTATGTCGAGGAAGATTGAGCTATAGAATATAGGTTCTGATAATTCATACGATTCAATGGAGTTTTCTCGTGTAAGACGACTACGCCATTCCTGTTCTTCCTTTGGAGAACAAGCTGTCATGATAATTTCGTAGAGTTGATGGTCACATTCGAAGACGAGCTTCCATGAGAAGGGAGCAGTGTGACATTGGAGACCTTGATTTGGTTAGCATACCGAAGATGAAGCTACAATATGGGCTAGGAAATGTCTACCTCGGCCATTGTCCACTTCTTCAACCTTAATATCGTTAAGACAGATACAAGCTTGAATGGTATATATTTGGTCTGCTCGACTGGCTGTAGCAAGGCACAGGCAGTCCTTGTATAGGAGCGTAACCATATATGCGCCATCCGCACCGTCTTTAGTCTGCCAGCACACATGTAGGGCACCACATAGGCGAACATGTCCGAATGAACGGATAGCCGTCTTCGAAGCCGCATCTAGCTTCTGCTACATATTTAGAAATAGACTCAACTACAGGGGCTGACGCCACATACCTGATTTGGGTACACAAGTCGATCCTGAAGTAACCAGGTCTGCTCCATTGTGGTTTTCATTCGTGGATCATCGGCGGCTCGGTTAAGTTCGGCGGTAGCCTCGCGCAGCCGAATGAGGACATTTTCGATCTCCATATGTGAGTTTGGACAGTCGCATACGGGCGTATACTTGAGAAGTTCGGCAAAAAGGAGAGGATATCTGCATATCCTTTGGATTGGCTTCTTGCTATTAGCGAAATTCTTGACATAATACAACGCTACGACTCACCTTAACCAAGAGATCACCAATAGTCAAAGATTTTCTGGAGTTGTCAAGATGATAGTTGGTAGCGCCTAACGAAGCTGCTAATGCTTCCAACCCTTTTTGATAGGTCTCCCATTCAGGTAGCGTTCGATGAGCGGACGCGACATCCTTGATCATCATCTCATATTTCGCACCATACTCTTCGTAGATGAAGAATCGATTGATCTGCAATGATATTAGTAAAGCCGTAAAACACTGGTTACAGTGGGACTGAGAATAGAACTGCCACTCGAAAAAACGTGTTTACATACCCTCTTGCCAAACACATGAGCTACCTCGGCCGCAATAGCTGGCTCGGCTACCACACTAGGTATGCCTTGGAACCAACTAGAAGAACCCCCATCGTCCTCCGAAGTAGAATCAAGACTCCGCCAGCGGTTATGGCTTTTAGAAGATGTTGGTTTCGGGGTGACCGGAATATGCTCAGGCTGGGTGTACTCGGAGTTAGGTACTACTCGATGAAGTTCGCCGAGAATCTCCTCGTGTAACTCAACAATATCTGTCAGGTTGCGGTTGATGGAGGAGCGAAGTCCCATATGCGGTGACGGTAGAGAAGCTAATATGGTGACATAAACCTAAGTTGAATTAGTGCTAGGAGCTTAGGGATAGGATGTCAACAGGGCAAATACATACGTTCATGAGAAACTTGACATCTCCAATATAGCTTTCTTCCGTGTTGATTATCTCCTCTAGAATACGTCGCCTTTGAAGTAGCCGTTCCGTCACCCCTGGGTCGTTTGATACTGTTCGCTCAAGGCACGTGCTATCCTCGGAAAACCGCGGTCCCGATGTCGATCCTCTGCTGCTACGATCCGCCCTGCTATGGCCTGACGATCGTGTAGTATATCTCCTTGGCCGAGTGATCACGCTAGCGCTTGCAAGACTGACGCTGGCGCTTCTGACAGCGGTAACAAATCCAAAAGAGGAACCGGAGAAGGATTTCCTGTGACCGTCCGTAGATAAGGTCTCATCTTCGAGCGTGTGTTCTGAAAATTCGGGGAAAGACTCGGACCGACTACGACTGCGACGTGTAACAGGACGATGTGCTCGCTTGTGTAAGTTCTTCATCCACTTGTGAAATGGGCCTACTGGCGGTGAAAGAGGTTCTGAGTACCCAACACCGGCCCCGTCATTCTCGAAAGTAAGTTTAGGAAATTCAGTCGAATGTGTCGTTTCTTCTTCGTTATTCTCTAAGGTTAAACCAAGGGCAGCTATATTATCCAACGTCTTCCAAGCCTCTTCGCAGTCGTTACGAAATACATGGGCATCTTCAAAGCTTAGACCTAGATCAGGAGCGGTTCGATTCAGCTTAAGGGCTGCGGTCCAATTGGTCTGACCGGCAACGCGTAGGGAGCTGGTAGTATGTGAACAAGGTCGAAGAGAATCGTTGTTCAAGACGGCTAGGGGCATGGTGATGAAGGGCGGGCCAAGAAATGCGGACCAAGAAAAAGTGAAGATGCAAAAATTGTCACCCAAGACACCAAAACCAACCGGCTAGGACTCGATTCAAAACATAATGATCAACAACAACAACGACAAGAGAACTATGTAGTGGTGGTAGATGAGCTGGAAGACGACGTGTCTCCCCTCGGGAGCATGGTTGATGCAGGTGATACTGCAAGTTGGGACATGCAGCAGTACCCTAGTTATTGGTAGAGAGAAAGAGAGATAGAGACGGGGACATCGAACGAGTGACAGCAGAGCTGACTTCGAGCCTGCGAAGGAAAGAAGCGAACAGCAATAGCGAATGGGCGTAGTGGGGGGGAGGAGGGAGCAAGGCGAAAAAACAATTGCTTCCCTAACAAAAACGATTGTTACTATGTAAAAAGCCAAGTAAAAAAAAACAGCTAAAAAAACTAGCTGGCCGCGAGCAGTTCCTTACCTGCGTCTCGGACGAGGTTTCGTAAACATTTTAATCGGGTGGTTTCAATGTTTATGAAGTGACACGACTTTAAACTAGTTAACTTTAGCGCACCTAAACCTACCTTAAGCTTACTCTCTACCTAACCTAGCTCTACTAAGGTACGTCAATTGATAGCAGGCATAGGTGCAGCAGCTTCACCCAGCTACCCGTAAGTTACCCGTAATGACACAAACTAGATAGCTGCGTCATATCGTCAGCACCCTGGTAACAAACGACATTCCGATGTGCCAAATGACGATCCACATTTCTTTTTTCATTTTCGTCAGCTATGTTGTCATTCATCTAAGATCATATAGTTCGAATGATTCCCCCTTCGGTGAATGATATCATGATATTGATGGTGGTCATGAAAACGAATTGAGAGGTATGAGAAGAAGACGAAGAAAACCAGATACGATACGAACGGTTTCGATGCGTGCATACATCTATCACACCTTCAGCACGAATACGACTTTTCGTGTACAAGAACGGACACCGTCGGTGAATCGGTGCTACCTTAGCAGACATTCCAACCATCCGCTATCCGCGTTCCAATGAGATGAGCATTACATGTACCTAAGTATTATTATCGATAAGCTGCTGATATGATTGGACACGGACCACATATCCTCTATCTCGAAGATAGAGGCGAGGCTAGCCAATAAAAACCAGCCGCCAAAAATTCGCTTAATTCTTCCACATCCGCCCCGCCCCACACTCACAAACCCACCCGCTCAATTGCAAAATCTCCAAACTTAGGCCCTGGGAACTTTTCATACCCTTTCTCTTCCTCCTACCGCGAAATTCTACTAACCCAACAGCCATCACTTACCACCACCAACACCTTCCGCGATGGCAAAGGAAGCGCCAGCCCGTACCGGGCTCACCATCGGTCTCAACCACGGCCATGTAAGATGAACCACCTACCTGCCCGCCTTTCTCTGTATTCGAAAAGCAAAAAAAAGAAAGATTTTGCGAAAGAAACAAAGAGTCGTCTCCGCCCGTCTCACCTCGTGGAGGATCTCTGCTCTTGCAATCATGTTTTTCTTTCGCGAATGCAGTATAGCAGACGATGGACAATGGGCTGACTTTTGGATTCTTCGGTAATTATAGAAAACCACTGCTCGCGTCGTCAAGCCTCGCGTTTCACGAACCAAGGGCCACCTCAGCAAGCGTACTGCCTTCGTTCGTGACATCGTCAAGGAGGTTGCCGGGTAAGTCATTCTCTCACACTTATATACATATCCCTTTGATACCCGTGCACTACTCGGGGTCGAATGGTCCCGAGGGTCGCAACACAATGCCCTCAAGGTATATCTTGATATTATCAAATCACTAACGTCTGCTTCACCACAGTCTTGCCCCCTACGAGCGCCGAGTCATCGAACTGCTGCGAAACAGCAAGGACAAGCGAGCCCGTAAGCTAGCCAAGAAGCGGGTATGCATCTATCTACGTCCCTTCGTCTTCAAACATCCCAAGACTAATCAAATTATCAGCTCGGTACCTTCGGCCGTGCCAAGAAGAAGGTCGACGAGCTCCAGCGCGTCATCGCCGAGTCTCGCAGAGCCGGTCACTAAACGACATGATCTCGAGTGGGAAATCATGGCGGTTTAACGGGGCGTCGAGGGAACCAAAAAAAAGAAGCAAACTGTTCGGCATGAGGTCTGGCGTCCGTCTTGGCATTAATGAATTTATGGAGGATCGGTACGGACATGATAGCTAGCTTTGCCATAGCCACGGCTATCTACCCGAATCCCAAATAGCCTACGACACGAATAGGAACAAGACCTGGGAATCTTGATTTGGCAAGCCAAGTTATATTCATTTCATGACTTAGAATCAATTCTTGATGAATTATATGCCATGTGAAAAGTCCCCGATAATGTTACATAAACTCCAAGCAGATGTTGATTCCCTGATTCTAAACCCAGCACACAAGACATCGTTCGTCGTATTCCTTTTCACTTTTTCCCGAACCCCTTCAGCCACTTGGGCTTCTTGAACCCAGACCCATCACCTTCGCCCCTTGGCTGGGGTGCGGGCACTGGTATGTTAGCAGCATTATGGCCCGCCTCGTCCTCGACTTCTACTTCAGGAACGTCAGGAACAACCACCTTCTGTGCGTGACCAGCAGCGCTGTTCTTCAAGAACGGCTGCTTCCGAATCTCAGCAGACACCTTGTCGTCCCACATGAAATTCACCAGCGTATTAGAGCTTAAGCGGTATCCGCCGATGAGCCTACTCGCGGGGCTGCTGTCGTCCTTGATGGCCGTCTTGCCGGGCGGCAGTACCAGCTTGAACGGCACTGCCTCGTTGGCCATAATTTTCCTGATCTCGGCGTACAGCGTTGCGCCCGTGTCGTCTGGGCCGAAGGGCCACTCTGCGGAAAAGTTGTCTGGGAAGCGGACCTTGATCTTGATAGACTTGACGGCCGCTACCCTGGCTGCTTCGGCGGCAGCCTTTTCTTTGAGCTCCTTGTCGGAAAGGAGGCGCCTGTTCTCGCCTGCGGCTTTCAGCAGCCTTTGATGGGCCTGCGCATGTTCGATGCGTGGGGCAAAAACTTCGTCGGATTCTTCTCGTAAGGCTGCAGCTGGCGTACCGGAGGTGGGCGCGGAGAAGATGGTGACGGGGCGGCTATCAGCGGATGGGACGTCGACGTCCATAGCGTCTACTGGAGGTGCTTGCGCCGCGGAAGAAAGGTCTGCGTCATCATGTTGAGTTGCTTCAGGCACATCCGTCTCCGGCTTCTCTTCTGAGGAACCACCCATCACACTATCCGAAGGCAGCGCATCAGTTAAAGGGGCAGCCTCATTATTTGTCGTCGATTCACTGCTAGACTCCTGCGCCTTCTCCTGGTTCGCTTCTTCTGTCTTGAAGAACTGACTCATCTCTCCCATAGCATCCACCAACGTCTTGTCAGTCTTCTGAAAAGATAGGCGTATCAGGACACCTCCCGAATTGTACCCTAACTGCGATAGGCTCTTCTGAAAGTCGGCAAAAGTTGACAGCGTTCTATTCTCGATCGTCAGGACCGGAGTCTCATAATACAATTGTCCACTACCTGCGGCTGCTCCGTTATTTGTTTGCGCCACGCCCCTCGCTGTGATGTTTAGATTCTTCCCCTGACTCGACTTGCCGCTCTCGAACTGGCGTAAAAGCTGCCATATCGCAATATCGCTCGGTAGCTTCTCCGTGATTCGACCGAATGGCGGGAATAGATTTGACTCGGGAGCCGGGAGTTGCAAGGCGACGTTGATGGCGGAGGGGGTATTAGAGCGGACGATGAGTTCGAGCCTGGCGCCGGGTGGTAGACCTGAGGTTCGCCATGTCTGCGACAGATCTAGCGTCTTTTGCTTGTGTTTAAATAGGTATTTGTTGGAGGGGACCTTGAGCTTCTCGCAAGCTTGCTCTAAAATATCTGTCAGGTAGGCTTCAGGATTGACCTTAATGGTCACCTGCTTAAGGTCCGTTCCCACAACCTTGACATTGGTCGCCATGTGTTGTAGGATCTGGTCGACGATATTCTATATTTCAAGTGAGACCAGTTAGACTTTCTTAAAAGACCTTTTTTAGAAACTTGAATGTCTAACTAGATAATAGCGACGTAATTTAACTCCAAAAGACGGAAACGCGTCCGATGAAAGTTGTCAGTAGAATATGAAAGAATATCTAAAAGTCCCTTTTCCACATGTCTCTAGGTTGTAGGTAGCAGTACGATTACATCAGCCCTTAAGATCGCAGCTGCGTCGTTGTATGTACCTATGTACATAGGTAGCTTCCATAATGGAGGGGCAAGCGGAGCACTGATGTTTTCTATTAGTACAAGTATACTTCTGTGCAATACAAACAGTACTTCTGTGATACCAGTCTTGATTAGCCGTCAATTTTCCGAGAAACCGTACCGGACTTGACCTGGCCCGATCTGGAGCTGAGCTGCCGCGCCAGACGTGTTTGCCTTGCCGACGCTAACGCTAACGTATCTTTGGTCTTGTACCTTAAGCTGCCATTACCTACAACCAAACCTCAAGCCCGCCCTCACCCACACCCACACCCACGCCCACGCCGCCATTGAGCTATCCTCACCACAGCGAACTGCTACTCGCCGACGAGACATCATCTGCGAACCGCCAAACTAAAGTCGACACACTTTATTATCACGGTCCTACCAAGCCTCGCCGTTTTATTTTTATTTTTTCAGTAATACATCCGACGCCATGGTAAGCTCTACGATAGCCAAGCTCCCACCTAACAAGATAATAATATAGCTAACGTGTAGAATTAGTCGTCGCCCTTCTCTATAAGTGCGCACTCCCATACTCCTACTCCTACTCCTACTCCTACTCCCAAGCCGAGAACAAATAACTAACCGAGCGAACGCACAGACGGCGGCGCCTGCGTAGCCATGGTAGGCAAGGACTGCGTCGCCATAGCCTGCGATCTGCGTCTGGGTCTGCAAGCCCTCACCGTCTCCAACAACTTCCCCAAGATCTTCCAGTACGGCGACGTATTCCTCGGGCTCACCGGCCTGGCCACCGACGTGTCCACGGTGTCGGACCTGTTCCGGTACAAGGTGAACATGTACCGCCTGCGCGAGGAGCGCAACATCGCCCCCACCACCTTCGCCAACCTCGTCTCTTCCTCCCTCTACGAGCGCCGCTTCGGCCCCTACTTCGTCAGCCCCGTCGTCGCCGGCCTCGAGCCCAAGTCCGGCAACCCCTTCATCTGCGGCTTCGACTCCATCGGCTGCATCGACTTCGCCAAGGACTTCATCGTCAGCGGCACCGCTTCCGAGCAGCTGTTTGGCATGTGCGAAAGCTTGTGGGAGCCCGATCTGGTGAGTAGCCATATAAACCCACCTACCTATACATGGCCTATAATATATGCGCAGACGAGCATCCTGCCCCGTCGAATTTGGAGCTTTTGCTTTTGTGTGAACGAAGACATGCTAATATACAATCGCAACCCAGGGCCCCGATGACCTCTTCGAAACAATCTCGCAGGCTCTGCTAAGCGCCGTTGATCGAGATGCTTTATCAGGCTGGGGCGCGCATGTGTACATTATTGAGAAGGATAAGGTCACCAAGCGATTACTAAAGGGCCGACAAGATTAAGAGACATATTATATCTGGTCCGGTGCTATCTTAGGTCTACTATCGTATACTAGATACCTCATACGCAAGGTAGATGGTAATTCGAACGGGGTGGTTTGGTCAACTCCACGAATAGATAGGGACTAGAAAGAAATATTTACGGGGGCAAGGCAAATCAGACATAGCAAATGAGCAGAGGCAGACACGAGATGGCAAATAGCCCGTTATTGTACTGATATCAAAGGTAGTAACTTAAGCAAGATGGCTAAAGTCAAGATGAAAAACCTCACGCGGAATCTCTTATGCTACTTTTCGTTCCATGAATGCATCGTATTTCTTATTCATCTATATTGCGCAGCCTAATTTGCATTTGCGGTGTAATACGTCTACTCTAGTCTATGTAGAACTTAGATCTATGCCCCGCTACGCCTTCTTCTTGGCCTCTGTAACATCATCCGTCGTCTTCTGGATGAAGAACTGCCTTTCGATGGCCTTGAGGACTTCATCGATGATACTGTGACAAATTAGTACTTTGCGGAATCAACTATGGTTAAGAAGACAACTTACATAACTGGTGCGCTGATGATAAGCACCGCTTTCCACTCATTCCAGTTCAGAGGCAGGATGGAGAACAAACTCTGGAGGAAGGGCGTGTAAAGGAGTGCAAAGTGGAGCGCCATCGACAAAGTGACGGCGTAGACTAGCATCATATTCTTCCAGAGGGGCAGGGTTAGCAAGGACTCGCTAGACGACAGGGCGTTCATAGCGTTCAGCATCTCGATGACGACGAGGATAGAAAGAGATATCGTCGATGCTGCTTTGGACATTTCGTTACCGAACATCTCACATCCGATTTCCGAAAACTCGGTGGAGCATCGGTGGAAGTGAGAAAGCTGATAGAAATTAATTTGAGGACCCTCGGGGTTATACATGAACCACCAGGCATATCCGGCAACAGTGGCGATACCAACGTAAGATCCAATAACCAGGTACCTGAAGAACAGCCAGCCACCTATGAGCGCTTCATCTCGCTTTCGTGGTTGTCTCTTCATAATATCATGGTCCGGGGGGTTGAAAGACAAGGCGGTAGCAGGCAAACCATCGGTGACGAGGTTGACCCATAACAGTTGGACGGGAATAAGAGCTTCCGGCATACCCAGGGCGGCAGTAAGGAAGATTGAGACGACTTCTCCGATGTTCGAGGAAATGAGGTAGCGGATGAACTGTTGCGTGTTGTTGTAGATAGATCGGCCTTCCTCGATAGCAACCTCGATCGTAGCGAAGTTGTCATCCGCAAGGACCATGTCGGCAGCTAACTTGGAGACGTCAGTACCGGATCCCATCGCAACACCAATGTCCGATTTCTTGAGAGCGGGAGCATCATTGACACCGTCTCCAGTCATGGCGACAACTTCACCGAGAGACTGGAGGAGATCTACAAGCTTTGATTTGTGACTGGGTTCCACGCGCGAGAAGAGAGATGCATGTTTCGCTGCTTCTAGCTGCTCGCTAGGGCTTAAGTTGTCGAATTCTCGGCCAGTGAAACTCTTTCCCTTAAGATCCTCATATTCTCCAAAGACTCCGATCTGGCGACAGATGCTCTCCGCGGTGTTGCGGTTGTCACCCGTAATAACGATAACTCTGATACCGGCGTCCTTGCATTGCTTGATAGCACCGGGAACTTCTGGCCGAGGAGGATCCAGCATACCGACGAGACCTAGTAGGGTAAGGTTCTGTTCTAGTTGGGCATATTGAGCTGTCGACTTGGCATTGTGAAGTAGGGGGTTGGATCCAACATCATCTAAGCTAGCAAGGGCAATAACTCGTAGTCCACGGTTACCATATTCGACGACCTCCTTCAAGAGCAGATCACGAAGCTTGTTGTCGATACGAACACGGTTGCCATCAGCACCAACCAGGGTAAACGCACAGCGCTCGATAATGGATTCAGGGGCACCTTTAACCAGAAGCTTTTGTTGGTCGCCGGCTTGGACAAGGACAGACATGCTTTTCCGGTCTCGAGAGAATTCATATGTGGCAAGTCGAGGGAACTTGGCTTCATACCAGCCGCTAGCGTGATGGACGCTGTCCTCAAGTCTCCAGTTTGTCGGTGCGCATGGTCCAATCTTTTCGGCTAGAGCCCTCAAGGCTCCTTCGGTGGGCTCTCCTACATTAGAGAAAGTACCGGATCGGGTATCGTACACGAGTCTAGCATCATTGCAAAGGGCAGCGACCTCGTTCATCTGGCGGATTGTACTTGAGCTTTGAGCAAGGTCCCTCACCACTTTGCCGTCATGCTTGATGTCTCCTTTCGGTGCAAAGGTAGTACCCTCAACGTCAAGCTCTTCTAAGTCGGTACCATCGGCGTTGATGTAGACGATCTTGCTTACGCTCATCTGGTTCGTTGTAAGAGTACCCGTCTTGTCCGAGCAAATAACACTGCAGCTTCCTAGGGTTTCAACAGATGGCAGGCTTCGGACGACAGCATTCTTTGCGGCCATCTTGCGGGTTCCCAAGGCTAGGCAGGTAGTGATAACAACGGCAAGACCTTCGGGAATAGCTGCAACACCAAGAGAGACGGCAATCTTAAGATAATAAATGGCACCCTTGGTCCAGTTTCCATGGCTTGGGTCCGCGAAGTTGGGGATGTTGATCAGCCATACGAGAATACAGATAACCGTAATAACCTTTGCCAAAGAGTCGCCGAAATCGTTGAGCTTCTGCTTGAGAGGAGTCGGCTCGGAAATCTGGGCTGTGATACTCTCGTGGATGTCGCCAATCGCAGTATTCGATCCAGTCAAAACCACCATCGCCTTAGCACGTCCAGTCACGACGGTTGTTCCCGAGAAGAGCATATTGACCTGGTCCTGGAGGACTGCCTTCTCATCATTCACGACCACATTATTATCCTTGCCCACGCTTTCGCTTTCTCCGGTTAAGATGGCCTGGTCCACGGCGAAACTGTTGCTTTCGATCGAAATAACACGGCAGTCGGCAGGTATCCTGTCGCCAACAGCCACCGAGATAATATCACCAGGAACCAATTCTTCGGCCTTGACCCGCGAGACATGTCCATTATTCCTGACCACGCTAGCGACGTTCGCAGAGTATTCTTGAAGCGCGGCGATCGCCTTTTCAGCGCTGCTTTCTTGGGAAACACCGACGACAGCATTGAGCACGAGAATAGTAAGAATCTTAAGAACCGGCCAAGTTAGCTTCTGGGTCGCAAAATAAGAAGCGGGTAAAACTTACAACCAAAGGATCGACAAATGCGCTCCAGCCACTTTCTTCGTCTTCAAAGAGAGCCAAGACGAAGGACACAGCCGCAGATCCTAAGAGTATTAAAACCAATTGATCTTTGAATTGTTCGAGAATAAGCTCCCATAGTGGTGTCGGCGGTTCGTCCGGGATAGCTACAGCAAGTTAGCATACACATCGACTTGGCTGTTTTCTAATCTGGCGCATTGCAACATTGCAACATACAGTTCTTCCCATGTTTACTTCGTAGCTCAGCAATCTGTTCATCCGTAAGACCAGCCTTTGGGTCTACCTTAAAGGCGGCTAAGACCTCGCTTGTAGGCTTCGCGAAGGCGCTCTCCATGGCAGCCGACGAGGGTGGCGGGACGGTGCCGCAGGAATTCTTTTCCTAACGGGAAGACTAAACAAATGCAACAAGATATTTAGATTGTTAATCGCTACCTATGAATGAGCATAAAAAGTGAGCGGAACCAGCTCGATCAAAAAACTTGAATCGATGGAGGGGTTGGCGATATGCGAAGAGAGTTTCTGATAGAATCTTTAAAGATGCCACATATCTTTTTTTTATTTTTACGATCACTAGTCTAGCTCTGAAAGTAGCTGGTTGAAAGTCGCCACAGAAAACCGAAGTTGCCAGAGTGTAAAGGAAAGGATGTGCCGAAGTAGGTAACTGTATAGATAGTGGTGGAAAGAAATCGTCGCTCTTGAGGTTGAATGTGGACCTTTTACACAGCAACGTGTTCTCTCACTTGCATTTAGCGACATTCTAGGTGGCCTCTATCGCTGTTCGGCCCTGAACGGACCTGAGCTGCAAAAGCTGGAGCCCCAATCTAATCCGACGCTAGCATCCCTATGTACATACCGCTAGACTATCTTAGGGTCCAAAGATCGATTTCGATTGGACGGGCTCCATGACTTGCATCATAAGCATACTAGGTTACATACCTACATGTACACACCCAGGTACCTACCTAAAATTGCAAGAGTGAGATAAACCAGCACGGGGATAAACGCACTGGGTCTAGATCTACTTTTGATTACCTACCTCACATATCAGGTAAATATGTGACATGTATTTCTGGCCAAGTTTAAATATAGTTCGGGGTTGGCAGTATATTTTCATATTGCACAAATGTCTATAAGGCGAAACACCTATGTACGTAATAGTAGACTGCAATTCCTTCTCATATAACTGTCTATTTGGGGGGGTTGCTATCTAGAAAGCTGCAAATGCAGCCATGCATCTGAAATCAACGGCCATGAAAGGTTATCGACCCCAACTCAGAGCGTACGCAGCCGTTCTGCATTAGCCCGCACAAGCAGCCCCCTTGTCTTTCCGAACTTAAAGTATTACCATAATCCTCGTAGTCCACCAGTTGTGTCCTCTCGTCGTAACTCATTTACAAGTCATCATCCTCATCCTCACCAGGCAGGGGCTGCTGAGCAGCGCTGTCCATCTCCTCCTGGTACTGCTTGAGAAGTGCCTCATCGACCACGGCAGTGGGGGGTGCAAGAGCGGGAGCAGCAACGAATTCCTAATCAGGTTAGCTATTGTGAATATCGACGGGAGCGGTCGAACTTACTAGCTGAGGGTTGCCAACGAGCTTGCGGGCCAGCCAGAGGAATGGTTTCTCGAAGTTGTAGTTCGACTTGGCGGAGATATCGTAGTATTGGAGGTTCTTCTTTCGGTGGAAAGTGATGGTCTTGGCCTTGACCTTGCGCTCCTTCACATCGACCTTGTTACCGCACAGAACGATGGGGATGTTCTCACAGACACGGACCAGATCACCTGGGATACAATTGTGAGTTAATACGAAAAAGAGATCGGGGATCTATTCTGCTTACGGTGCCAGTTGGGAACGTTCTTGTAGGTAATTCGAGAGGTCACGTCGAACATGATAATACCACATTGCCCATTAATGTAGTAACCATCACGAAGGCCGCCGAACTTCTCCTGACCAGCAGTGTCCCACACATCGAAGGTGATGTTGCCGAAGTTCTAATTATCGTTAGATATTTTGCGCCAGATAGGACGGATGCGATAGGCCGAGGCGAGGATTAGTCCGACTTACGGTCGTGAAGCCAAGGGGGTGGACCTCAACACCAAGAGTGGCCATATACTTCTTCTCGAATTCACCCGTCAGATGTCGCTTGACGAAGGTGGTCTAATAATCATGGTCAGTGACATGGTCTTCAAGATCAAGAGCAAAAGGCGGGGCAAATTATGCGCAGGGCGGCACATAGTAAATAGATCTTAACATGCCGGTAGAAGGCTGATAAGCGTCAAGATATAGCAGATGAGATCCAGAGAGGATGAATATATTTACCTTTCCAGTACCACCATCGCCGACAAGGACGAGCTTGAAGGTAGGCGTCTCGGCAGCCATTGTGGAATCCTCTGTTGACGTGAGGTAAACAGAAGATGGGGAAGACTAGGCTCGGCGTTAGTGGGGAATGACTAAATGATGGAAAAGAAAAAAAGCGTAGAATGGTATTTTGCAACCTCGATATGAGTTATTGAAGATGTATCGAGAAGCGGGCGGACGTACTTGATGGTATCGAGACAAGATCGCGGAGAATAATACGGGGGTGTTCGTAAAATAGTCGTTGAAATGATGAGCGGGCTAATGTTTTTTTGAGAGTTTCGAGAGGCGGCGGGACCGGGCAAGAAGATCTAATAAGGTTGGGTTTCCCTCTGGGAAAAAAAAATCGGGTGCACGGTTGCGGGGCAGCACGTGATCACCTGGGCATTAACGGAATGGGCGACAATGACGCACATTTGAGGTAGGAAACGACCTTCCAGATGTATTATTGATAGCAAAACGTACCTGAGTAGCCTGACGGCACTTGCATCGTTCCATTTATCATTTGCCTGCAAGGTACTTGAATTTAAGTCGTCAGGAACGGCATATCTCTCTATATTTACACCGTGGTTATCTAAAATATACCTACCTTACATATACCTGACTCTGAAGTTGTACCTTTTTTTTTTTCTATTTCTATATATATTTGTTGTTTTGATTGGTATTTCCTAGCCTTCTGTTATTGTGAATCATACATGTGTATGTACCTAACAAAGTACATTTCTAATACCTCAGCCTTGTGGCATCTAAAAATAAAAAAACCTAGGATTTACGTTGCTACCGTTATTGTTTAAACTGTGGAATTTAGCACTTATCTATTGCCTTCCATAGCAACCATCAAATTCGTTTACTAGCAACGTTTCATGGTACCATTTGAAATTCCATTTCCCTCTTCTCGCTGACTCACCCTCCACAGGCAGCACTCGACTTTTACATTAACAGCTAGAATAAAATGATTCACTAGGGACTCAAGGTGCTAGGCTTATTTTGGGCGTGAACATTAGGCAACTAGCAAGGGAGCTGCGGCAAACTCGCTGGCCGGATATTTAGGTAGGTAGTTTCTTCTAGTTGGTAACACGGCGAGCCCAACGACTTTTGTGTCAACAGCCCTGTTACAAAGGAAGCTGGGCAGCATTTAGGCTAACCTAGCCAAAAGTTAAATAGCATTTCGTATGTCAGTTGGATGACTGCTGGCGTGATTGTCTCCTACATACACTGGTTCGGGTTTTAAAGCTGCCTAGTTGTGCCGTATGAATACATACCTAAACCACATCTAAATCATTAATTACCCAAGCAGAAAAAAATCAATGATTATCAATACTATTTGTCTTCTCTACCCGTTGAAAAAGCCTTTGCCTCGACTGGCGCTATCTCCATTCAATGCGAGAAAAAGAGGTGGCCTATTGCAAGATGCGGAAATGTTCGCATCTATAATAGAATCAATAGTTTGATACCGTACCGTATGGTATAATTAGACCATTAAAACTACCTATAGCGGTAGAATATGGCATCCCAACAGGCCTCTTCCTCCCCAATCCCGCCGTGGAGTTAAATTCAGCTGTAGCTCTTGCTTTTGGTTGGATTCTATTCGGCGGGTTATCTTAACAAGAATCCGTTGCTGTATAGAAGATCAGTCTTATGGCCTAAACCCCGCCTTAGCGCCTCGAATTCTCGTAGGGTGCAACTTACACCTTCATTTCCTTGGACGCACTCTGCGACTTTCTTGAGGCCGTCATGGTTTCCCCTATTAACGTAGCCGAAATTTCGAATTTCATCTCCGGGCTTCAAGCCGGCTGAATCTGCCGGGCTGCCTGCAACGACGCTGTTCACCTTCGCGAAAGGTTCCTCCAAAGTTGCCGGGATCGAGTCGCCTAACATCTCGGTACGGTTTGCTGAAGCGGGCGCGACATCATCGGCATCTTGTATGCTCGCAAAATGTTCATGGAGGTATTTCTCTAAGGTATTGAGGAGGTCTTTGTAGTCGTTTTTTAGGCGGATGATTCGAGCTCGGGTGGTACGTACTATGGAGGGGGTTAGGTCAAATTCAAGAGTGTCTCTGTTGGGGGGAGGGAGCTCCTACTTTGCGCAACGTCAATATCTGCCCGAGGAAATCCATCGGCCGTGGTCAAAGGCGTTTCCATATTGACACCATGCTGTAGATAGAATCAGGACCGTGTTATAATGGGCTTGGATGGCGACCACTAACCGAGTCAAGAACGCTACTTAGGGCTTTTAATTCAGCTTCCATATCGTCTTTCTTGGCCTGAAGTTCAGCAAATGAGAGATGCTTTGCATTTCCATTTGCTAGCGGCCGGGATGAGGGTCCCGCAGGAACGGTAGGTGCGTGAATGTTGTCCATTCTTAAGGGAAGGCCCATGATAATATCGGATGAATCAACTCATCATATGTTGAATATTAGAAGAAGATGATATCACTTTCCCCCATGCGCTTGGATATGCGCTTTAGTTAAGGACTAGTTAGTTGAAGTTGAAGTGAAGTTTAGGCCCGTAAGAAGACGCGTCAAGTGGGATGGCGGGGTCGACTACATATATGTACTTAAAGTACTGTACCTAAATACTTCAAATGGGTATGTGCATGCATATAGGTAAATGTGGAATAGTCCGCTCTGGGTATTCTTTAAAGTCATATGCACGTGGTCTTATATTCTGTTTTACCTTTTATTTAGGTAACCTAGTATATACATGTATGGCTAAGTTGATAAAAGCAGACACGATCGTTTCTTTAGTAGTTATTGCCTAAAACTATGCTTCAACACTTTTTAACTACACGATCCTTCTAAATAGTGATGGCTGAGATTAGGTATAATCAACTGTCAGGCACGGCTTTTCAATATCTAGTAGTGGGAGCAACTTTGTATTGATATATCAATTTACATAGGTTATTATCTAGCCAGTACCCAAACATTAAAATGGGATTCTGTAGAAACATGACCAGTTATCTTAGAAAGATTTGCAGTTTATAAGGTTACTGTTGCTAAGATTATGCTCCTTTTATAACGATAGGTATGCTGATAGGTATGTTTTGGTTGACTGGCTCTTTACAATATCTTGTTTGTTTAAGTTGGGCTAGTTAACTACTTAATTCAATTGTAAAGTGTGCAGGTTGGCAAATACAGTTAAATGACTGGCTTGGATTCATGCTTGAAAATTAATGATGTAATGTTGTTTGCTCCTAGCCCCTGCAGGTCCAGCCTGGCGGATACGCGCAGGAAACTGCTGGGCGGTATCTTGCAGAAGGAGCGTACAGCTGTAGCGAATCGTTCGCCTAATTGAGTTATGATTTGTAACACAACTCGCACGTCTAGCCGTGTCCTACTTCCTTAAATTCGTACTCGGCTCTCTCGGTACTCGATAATCTGTGAAGGGACGAAAGGTACAAACATAGGTACCTATGTCACGTACCTAAATGAAAGATACACAGATGCACAGTGATATCCTGCTAGGAGAAACGCCGCCCCAAGCTGATGTAGGATTCGACTTAAAACAAGGTACTTGCGTGCTGGATCCACGAATTTCAGAAGATCAGGAACAGTCTACTAAGATTCTTCCACAACAAAACTCGGCACAATCCCGAGATATCTCACGGCTTCATAATTCCACATCATCCAATTCACTTCTATAAATCATACAATGTACGCTATTGCGCTTCTAGGCCTTTTGGCCGTGCCGGCCACTTCGAAGGCCTTGAAATACGCCATCCCTGTGAGCCTTAAAGCCACTGACTGCACGTTCCCGGCCAACTATACCGTTTCCAACTTCACCATCTACACGGATAGAACAGACAGTGGTAAAAATAGTACCTCGTTCCTTTTCGATGATCCGAGTACTGGAATCAATACCAGCTGCAGCCGCAATTCAACCTCGAAGCTGAGTGGCTCTAACCGATGGCCCTGCGATGACTCGAACGTTGCATTTATTTACCAGACAACTGGTATCGCAGGCCTAACCTTGATTGAGGCAGCATGTCCTGGAAAGTACGTAGATTGTTTCTATATTGACTCTCTACCCAACGCGATGACAATGTCAAGATAGGTAGCTAACAACGTATAGTGTTCCTCAATTCGAAGCATCTGGTCTCATCAGGCCAGACCTGGCTTGCACAAATTCTACATCGGGAACCACCTGTGTGGCTAAGCAATCTCCGATTGTAGGAGATTTCGACAGTCTCGAACCGGCACCACCGCCTTCTCGCTGAGCGTTGGTAAAAAGACGATAGGAAACAACGGGAAGTTGATGTTGCCTACGACACGTAATTATCATACAAGCTCTTCATGTGATTCGAATAGATGACTATTCACAAGCAAGATGGACGAGACGTTGGGTTTGCTTAATCGGACATTCCTATATCAGACGAGATGGTGTTAGAGCTAGATAAAAAGCCGCTTCATCGATAGTTACCTATTATTAATTGCTTAATTGAGGCTCAATCAAGATTCTTACTACTTGTGTAGCTTAATGCTTAATTACTTAGCATGCGAAGGCACGTTAGGTGTGTTAGAGCAGAACGGGAATAGCGGAAGCTCAATCTAGTAACCTAGGTATTACCTAAGTCTTGTACCAGCAATTCCCCAGAACGGTATACCTTACCCCGCGTTACCAACTACCAGTAGGTATACTATTAGCAGTAGCTAAGGTTCCTATTGGCCACAGCAGTTACCTCCCTCGTCATTTCCTGACTTGTTAACAGCGTATGCATTGAGTTGGGCAGGTGAGCCCTAGCAATAGCCAGATCGTTAAGAAGCCAAGGGAGGAACCTCGTCTCATCTGTTAATGTTGTTAACGATATCCCCTTTTAACCATAATAACTTTAAAACATTACATTACATCGACTCCATAAACTAGACCCTGCTAAAAAGAGCATTGGCGCGATGCTTAATGCACCCACACAACGTCAATCTGGCGTTTTAGAGCATCTTCATTTTCATCGTTTTCATCATTTTATATAATACCTAATAGCCGACTCACCTCCTTATTCAATCTTCTCCATCGTAGGCCACGAGCCTGTCTTCTCTAGGACATGGCTATCTTCGATATTAATCTCTCAAGCAGAAATTCTCGACACTACGCACCCGAAATCGCTACCAAACCTGCCCTATAGTACGATGCTGATCTCTTTGTGGTTATTGTACTTAACAGCCACCATCGTGGCAGGGTCCCCCCTAGTGGACCAGTACCCTCTCCGAGAACAGAACGATGCTACGACTGCTGATCATATCTCGAATGACCTCTTCGCATCTCTCGAGCGTCTCTCCCGCCTAGTAGATATAACTTATTGCGTCGGCACCACTGGCATCACGCCGCCCTTTTCCTGTGCATCTCGATGCAAGGAATTCCCAACCCTAGATCTTGTCGCGACATGGAACACCGGAGTTTTGATGAGCGATAGCTGTGGCTATATTGCTATAGATCATGGGACGTCGCCAAGCGGGTCTGATAGCGAGGGCGATACCGCGGGTAACAGAAACCAAGGGGCAATTATCGTCGCATTTCGTGGCACCTATAGTATAACGAATACCGTTGTAGACCTAAGCACGATCCCTCAGGAATATGTTCCATACCCATCGCCAGATCAAGGAGGATCTGAACCACCTAAAGAATCAAAACATACTTGCAAGAATTGCACAGTTCACATGGGTTTCTTGGCATCGTGGAAGATAGCCCGGACCGTCGTTCTGCCAGCACTTGAACCATTACAGGAACAACATCCCGACTACCCGATTTACCTTGTCGGCCACAGCTTAGGTGGCGCCGTCGCAGCGCTCGCAGCGTTGGAGCTCAAAGCCGTTTCTGGCTGGGATAACATTGTTGTGACAACTTTTGGCGAGCCGCGGGTTGGCAACGATGGATTCGTCAAATACCTTGATTCAGTTTTCGATCTTGGCGGTATGGGAAAGCAATACGAAGCACAAACATATCGGCGGGTAACACATGTGGACGATCCCGTACCGTTGCTTCCACTGTCGGAGTGGGGATATAGATCTCACGCCGGCGAACTTTTCATTACCAAATCCAATTTACCTCCCGAACCTTCGGATATTCAACAGTGTGCAGGGGATGAGGACTCGAGGTGCATCGCTGGCTCGGTTGGGGAGCCGCTTAGGACGGTTGGCCAAGCCCTAATTAAGGAACGAGAACACGATGCTATGATGCGGACCAGTGGACTCTGGGATATTCCTAGCCGGTTCAAATTGTGGCAATTGTTCTTTGCGCATCGAGACTATTTCTGGAGATTGGGTTTGTGTGTCCCAGGGGGGGATCCTATTGATTGGGGCAGGGACAAATATCCTAATTTCACTACTAGTGATGAGCTATGAGTCACAGATGGGTAACATGCTTTGTTTACCTATCCGAGATGAGGATCGGGTTTATTTCTAGCGTCTAATCTGTTACAGTGATCGAACAGAGGGGATCAAAATTGATAATGCGATCAGGGAAAAGAATACCAGAATACTAATTAAATTACTCATGTAGTATGAAATAATGCTTAATGCACGTATTGGCACGTTTAAAGCTAGGTAGGCAGTCTATAAATGTCACTATTCAATATAATCAAACGTTATAATTAGAAATCGTTAAACTAGATGTTTTTGGGTTACCGAGTACGGCAATGATCACAATCTACGGGCTAGGGGCTACATGCGTATGTACATACAATCAGACCTGGAGCGATGTTCACATGTAATATGTAACAGTTACCTATTATGAGGCTACGGAGTACGGTGAGCAAACCCGATGGAGTGGGTTCAGAGGTCATGAAGTCTTGGCGATAGTACGGTGAAGTCTGCAAGATGGGGTGTTGACGGCTCGTGACAGAGCTATTTCGACTGACCGCGCTTAATCGCGTGGGATTGACTTCTTGGGGGAGAGGAGGGACTCGTGACTGGAAGAGAAGGGTGCCAACTCAGCCGGCACCACTAGCCTTAGGAAAGTGATGACAACGCATGGGACCGACGGACCACACGATGATAAGACCCTGCGCGTTTGGGGGGGGGGGGGGGGGGGCAGGGTGGGGGGGGGGTTTGGAATGTATAGGCGCGGGACGGTACCTTTTCAAATTGATAACATCCATTATGAAAACATTATGATTGAAAAAACAAGTAGG